CCCTTCAAATGAAAATGTAATCTTGCATCATGCTTTGTGTTTTTTCTTGTTGAGTTACCTGTTTGTTCAAACTAAGCTTTTGAGACTGAAAATTGGATATCTACAGATAACACAGACATAGAACTCAACAGTGAGGCATAGCTTATATTTCCATGAGGGATGGAGATAAAAAAGCTGAAATTCTCATTAGTGCTGCTTTTATCTTGCTGCAAATGTTGGACTGTCTTTTCCCAGCTTTGAAAATGAAGACTGTAAATTGGCATGATGTGTTACATTAGGGAAATGTTTCTTAGAGTTTAAGTTTGGAACAATATCATAGATGATCCCGCGAATATTTATTTTCTCAAAGTGTTCATAGACACACAGGTCTGAGTGAATTACCCTATGTTTACAAGTGCATCCCTAATGATTTGTAAATCATCATACTTCACTAAAAGGATCACATTGTAGGGTTACTGAGCATTTTGCTTAATCTTTTGGCAATGAAGTGAAAGTGGAATGCGTTTAATCTATGCTAAGACATACAACACTGCATCTTGCTTGAGTCAATGTAGGCATCAAGGCCATCTGTGCAACAAATGTCAATACCATCCAACGCAGCCCTTGATAACGCTTAGATAGATTTTATCAGAATTGCACCCAGGATCCCAAAAGACTTGTTAACGCCCTTTCAGTCTGATGAAAGTCTTCACCAATACAAGTGAGTGCCTTAGCTAGCCAAACTGATAGAGCAGCACGAACTACTGCAGATGATACCATTGCTGACTTTGGCCCCATCAATAGTCTGGCAAATAGCTGGGTTGGCACTATTGTTTCTGTGGTTCTGTATGCCAGTATGGCAGCAGGTCTCACACCTGGCTGTGGCCTGGCGGACTATTAGCCCATTTATCGGTCCACTTGCATAGAGGACAAAAATCGTTGTTAGCTCTCTAATTTAGTAGGGCCTGTTTCCCAAACACTGCATTCCCTGTCACTGCTACTACCCACTGCTGGCCCAGGGAGGGTGTAGGCAACCATGTTCGTCCACCGTTAAACATAATTTCACTAGCTGATTATTTTGAGCTCTCACAAAGTAGCTTTAGCCAGACAGCGTAATATGCAATGAAGTTAACGCAAGCCTCACAGGTCCTGCCCCCATTTGTGTGGATGGCCAGACCAATCAGCAGGAGCCACCAGAGTGGTGACAAAGATGTGATCCCTCTCTGGCTTCCCAGTACAGACATTAGCAGAAGAGGGTATGCAAACAATGTCACTGTACCGTGGTAACTCCCCTTTAAATAGCAGACACAGTTGTCAGAATCTGCCATCATACATTCACATTTAAAAAAAAACATGAAAAACATTTTGATAGAATGCTAAATGGCTACAGAAAAGCATTGTGAACTAATTCTTTTTAAGGGCACACGTTATAATAATGTCACCCTTTTTTTTTTACCTGTCCACAGAGAACTAGAATATCCTTTGAAGTCCTCATGATTTTTATCACACTGACCAACCCTGCTTTGAAATAAGTCTTGCCTTTTTATTGAAAATATGAACCACCATTTGAATGTGGAGAAAAAAAATGTTGTCTGTATTGATGAACTTAAAATTTACAGTATTTGTGACAAAATAATTTCCACTCAAAGGTCCACTTACTAGCATTTGGGACCTAGGGCTGCATCTCACACTCCAGAATGAACTTCCATGCTCTAAATCCAAAGACCTGTTGCATTGTATAAGCGCAACGCTCTATTCCTTGCACTCCAGTGGGGAGCACTCCTAAACTGCACTGTTAATCTAATCTACCTTCAGTAAAGTGGGCTATTGCAGTTCTCTGCATTATTGCAAAATGGAAGTAAACTAGTAAACCATGATGATTGGCCAATCCTGACACCAAACTGTCTGAGAAGTACCATGTGCAAGCATTTTTTAATTTGACGCCATAGATGGAAAATTTGTGGATAGCTGTACGGCTGACTTTCAGAATGCAGCTTCCTCACATTAACGTTACCTGAACAAATCTGAAATCATCTGTTTGCTTGTCACTCAAATGAAGCAGCGGAGGAACCGCAAATGAACAGAAAAACAAAAATATTTGCCAGATTTCAGCCATAGCACACGCCGCTCAGGATTTTTCATTTCCTTCTCGTTATTGCAGCTCTACCTATTCACGGGAGCCACCTGTTAGGTGAGTGCGGTGGTGACGTCAAGGCACCTTATTTTTTGTTAAATCTAGCTGGATGCAGGTACTACCTGGGACTGTTGCTAACTTTTGTAGGCCAAATCCATTTTTTTTCACCTATTTTAACCAATCTTGTATGTTTAAATATTAGGTTTTTATTGTTTCTCGTCTCATAGCAAAAAGAAATGGATCAAATGTATCTTTGGAATCTTATAGACTTGGCTAAGAAATTATGGAACAGTTCTTCTGCTTGAATCTAATGGCCTTGTGAGTCTAAATTTCAAGGTGTTGTTTTTCTCACACCATGTTCTCGCTGCAGTCCATACAGTGGTGATGTCAAAATAGACTACACAAGTTTAGGAGGAAAAGAAAAAGAAAGTGTTGCTTTTCCTCTGCACAGTCTGTGTGGGCTGTGCTGGCTGAAGTCAAAACAAACACAATTGTACCCATGGCCAGCAGTCAGGAAGAGGCAACGGCATCTGTCGAGGAAGGCTGTTATTTGTTTTCCTCAACTTTTCTGCTTTTTCTTTTCCCCAGGACAACTCTCCACCTGCTAAGAGTGAAAGACATAACACAGAATGGAAAGCCAAAATGCCAGCTGTGACCCTATAGGGCTGTCTAATGTTTATCCCTGCCCAGTGCCCGTCAGCTGTCCAGTCGGTTCGGATGAACACGGTTAACAAGCACCTGTGTGTTTACTCCTCACCTCATCAACAGGGAGAAAGAAATGGTAGAAAACAAGGGCAGATGGGAATCGGCTAGCTAGCTAGCGAAGACTCTCGGGGAGATCTCAGCAGTGTTCGATCAGGCTTTCTCTCAGTAAACAGCCTGGGATATTGACTATTCTTGCTCGGGTATTCATCTGTGATCATTTCTCTCATTTTGATATTGATTGAAATGCAAGCACACACACGTAATAGTTCCAGTGTGAACTTTGATGCACATAAATAAGTCAGTGAGCCTTTTTTATACTTGACTTCCCCTGAGCAGGCAATAAAATCAGCAAGGATTGCAAAGAATCTTGTTAGCGAGTTAGGAATAATTTTATTTCCTCAGATCACAGCAAACATTAGAGCTCCATAATGATTTGAGTGGTGCGATGGTGATGAGGGTGTTAAAGTTGGAGCACCAGTGGGTATTCTGGGTAGCTGTGTGTGATTATGTAAGTATAATGCAATGTATAACAAGCTGGTTCAACACAGTTTTCTCCCTGCTTTACTTTGCTAATCTTTCTTTTCCCTTTTTTGAATGGATGGAGAATTTGATGTTTGCTCCAAATACCACAGTTCATTTTTACCACGTATCGAGTCGGCAGGAACACTTGATCCAGCACAGTCTCAGCTTGTGAATAATTCCAGTTTTCTGCATTCCTCTTTAGAATAAGAAATAATTTGCCCATCATTCTAAGCAGACCTCCAAAGACAGTAAATAATGCACTAATGTTGAGCTCCTCAGAGATGGAGACTATTAAATTAACTATTTTCTACACTGAATATTTGCTTTACTGACTGTATGCTTATCCAGCCCCTCAGTTTGTGGCACTTGGCTCATTTCTTCTAGTTGGGTTTGTGTTGTGTTCCCATTATCATTTGTTCCTCAAGGTATGCAAGAAACAAATTACAGAGTAGCGCTTTTGCAAATGTGCGCCTTGTTTTTCATTAGTAAGGCTAGGCTAATACAGGGTTTACTGACCTGGGAACAGCAGGTGTACTCCATCGTGCTGGCACCTTTGAGCGGCAGCACTTCATTAGTCGAAGCAATTACTTTTGGGCAGTCGAGGTTTCACCTGGGCTCCATGAGTGTGAGCGTGTTCAGCAAATTAAGAATATGAAGTCACACTGACCCCTCAGTGATTGTGAGGGACAGAAAACTTTTCTCTTGCAGTTTGCAAGAGCATTTGGAGGATGAGAGTTCGCAATCATCATAATCAATCATTAGTTATTGGCACACTGTGCTGTTACTTGAAGATCTGGCCGGCATTTTCAAATCTCATTTAGTTTTCAAAACGGAAATTTCTCTTCACATGAATGTTAATCAAATGTAGCATTTTTTCTTAAATGGGAATGACGAATGATAAATTGCAGAACTTTAATAGCCCTGCTTTAGCTTTGGTCTGAAAGAAGGAGGTTTCCAGTGACACATTTCCTGATAAACACAAAAATACCATCCAGTGTGAGGCTTCCTTGTTTATTTCCTGTCTAAACACCCATCTCATCTACATAATGATATCCTCCCAGTGCACCTTTGGTATTATTCTTTATCACCTAGCATAATAAACTCTTAGCCCCCTTGTTACCAAATTATATAGTTGCTATAAAACCCTACAGTCACTGCACTTAGCTGCTCCCCTCTTGTGACACATTCGGTTGATCATCAACAACATCATCAACATTTTCAGCCTGGTTCTGTCTCACGGTAAATAAATGCACGTCCCATGATCCCATCTGGTCTCTAACCTCTCTAATTGACACTTCACTTATTAAAAAATAAATAAATAGTTTTAAGACTAATTAGATCATGAATAATTTGTGCTAAGTCAACAGGTGACTAAATTTCAAAGTTTACCGGGAGACAACCCTGCAAGACAAACGGCACGTGAATGGAAAAAACAAGGCCAGCCAAATGTAGGGCAACGCTCCTGTTTGCCCCCCTCGCCTCGTCAGGTGACCCAAACAAGGCTACAAGAAGCAGACATATGTGTTCTGCAACACGGCTAAGCTTAAGGGAACATGCTGTGTAATATACACCACCTGTGTGCTTTCCTGGCTGTGGTATTACTGTGGCTACAGTCGCCATGACTGGCTCAGCAGAGGTCATTTGCATACTTTATGACTCTAGGTAAAAAGGGACGGCAACCATGAGAGGTAGGCAGGGAGTGTGTGTGAGAGAGGGGGAGAGATAGAGGAAAAGATAGTAAAAGTGTGGCTTTTGGCGTGAGTCATAAGGGCTGGCAGTTAAAACTGGTCAAATTCATCTCTAGGCTGTAAGATGAGCTGACGGGTGAAAGCCAAACATCTTGGAGGTAAGTTGTTTTTGACAGTTTGTTTTCTCTAACAGGACACATGTTTTGTAGCAAAGCCTCCTGTGATGCTGTCTTTTCTTCTTCTGCTGTTGTTGTTGTTTTTGTAGCTTGCTCTCCTACTCCTGAGGCTAGCTCCGGCTCAGGCCTGGGTATCTATACACTTGTCTCTGTTTTTTCCTCCGCCTGTCTTGTCTGCAGTGGATCAAATAGAGTGCCCTGAGAACTGCTTATCGTATTTGAAAGCATTTAATAAACCGCTCTCCAGGCCGGCTGCTTTTTAAAAATGGAAATACAGTAGGAGAGAAGGAGTTTTTTTTAGTGCTATACAATAACAGAATAACAAGATTAAGCACTTATTGTTTTGTGTTTTGTTATAGTTATTGACCAAATAAACGAAAATCTGAACACACTCATTTTGTAAGGGCTTGTTTGCTGAGTCAGAAGGGGAAAGACCTTTGGCCTGTGCTGAGCAACGTTACGTAAATGCTACTGATTACCTGAGCCTAGACTGCTGTGTGGCCTACCTTTGTACTGTACACTGTAAAAACACTGCAAAATAACGTCTACTTGAATGACATGTCTTAATGATTCATTAAGTGTCATGAACATTTATCCGATCTTTTTTTATTCATCATTTTCATTTGTTTCTAATGAATGAGTAATTAGCTGCTAAAAGTGATTGACAGGTTGCCCCGGGAAGCACAGTTACCAGAGCTTAGAAATATTGCTTCTCTAAACTAATTACCTGTAATGACTGACTTAATATCAGTGATGTTATTTTGACAGACGCCACTATCACAGCTTAAAGTATCTGTGATTAAAAGTAGTATTTGGTCAGAAGGGTTGAATTAGTGACAGAATTAGAAGCACGCTGATTTCTAATGTATTAAGTTGAACTTCATCAGTGCTTTACACTCTGTGTGTCTTTCATTCACACACAAGCGCACAAACAATTTTGTTAAAAGGCTTTAAAAAGAAAGCTTTTAGGATGTGAATTATAAACCAGCTGTTATCAACCAATCTGATTAGTCTTCGCACTTGGGGGTCTGTGTCGAAAATACATTTATTAAGCAAGTACTTAAACAGTTTTCAAGAAAAGCTGCACACACGCTTTTCACAAAAAAACCCACAAGAATAAATATCTTTCACGCAGGTGTGACTAAATTCCCCAGATTTGTTTGTTATCCTCAAAACTAACATTGGTGGAACAAGTGCCAGTGCTGCTGTCACCAGAGTGCATAATGTTGCCACATTGTCCTCTCAAGCATGGCATAATTATGTCCAAATAAGTCATTATAGTTGCATGCTCCCTCCAGTGTAGCAGATAAATGAACAGGTTTATTTCTCTTCACCAGTGCTGCTTACATTGTGCATTTGTTATTTTTTTTATGTGGACATTGATGAGCTTTGAATCTACAATAAAAAAAAGGTTAAACATTTTTTAAATGAAATAGAAGTAGCATTAGTGCCCCCAAGATTTTTTTATTTAAAAAATATATATATATATATTTCATATATTTATGCATCTCTTGTCCTCTCCAGTGAGGAGGTTGACCATGAGCATTGTGTAAGGATGTGTGTATAGTGTGGACAAGGCTGAAATATGAGTTGAACTTCCTCCAAAACCTTGTAGTGTGCTGCAGAAGGTCTCTGTACTTCTGCAAGGGTCTAAAAGATAATCAAGAACCGTCTTTGGGTCAATAAACTCTCTTCCCTGTGAGCTTGGCAGAGTGGGCACAGGCAATAGAGGTGCCGCAGGGAAAACAGGGTGCTGATAGCAAGTATGAGCGAGGTTTAAGTTTCCACTAGCTGTTGAGTGCGGTGGATACTGCAGAAAGCGTATGTATATTGTGGCCACTGGCTTAGATTGCGGCTGAAACTTTAAAAAGCTATAACAGACAGGAAGTTATTGGAGCATGGCTATAGTTGTAGCAATGGATAGAAAATTCAAGCAATGTGATGATTCACTGCTGCCAAACATCAAAACTGGACAAATATGCAGTATCCAGGGCCTGTTCACTGAGTTATATTTTTGAAAAAACATCAGTGTTGTGGAACATAAAGAAGAAGTGGATTATGGATTTGTTTGAAATGTTTGTAAGGACATTTTGATATTTTTTTGCCATGAAACTAGGTCACTGGTAGAATCCGCCATAAAGTAGTAAGTAGGTAGCTATAAATCTTTTAGGTGAGAGAAATTATATGTATTTTTCACATAGTCTTAAGATGTATCAAACATTATATATTCCCTGTCAGGGTTGGGATGGTTACTTTAAAAATGTAATCCGATACAAATAGCCTAATTACCTGTTAAAAATGTTGTCAGTAACCGAATCCGGGTATCATAATATTAAAGCAACGTAACTTGAGTACTTTCCGTTTCTGTTGGATTACCTCAACACCAGATATGCAAATTAAACAAAAGAAAAATCTATCAATAAGATAACATTTATACGTAGAAAAGAAGATGGGAAAACCACAATTTTTTTGCTTCAAAAATGTGTCCTCTCAGTCCATTTTTAAATACAAACTTGCCTTTCATTAAGCAAATTCAGGCTGTAGGCTATAGGCTTAGGCGGCACTAGGGCATCAGATATGGGGAAGCTAAGTTATTAAGACGATTTTATGGTCCTCCCGATGACGATTTCATAAATTTCATCATAAACCTACTTAACTGTGAGAATTTGACTCTAAGTAACAATCAAATTTCATATTATTATTCTTCACACAAATGTACATTAATTTATCCAGAGCTCACAGAGGATCACAGTCATACATCTCATATGAATGAAAAAGGTGTGTGTCTATAAACAGCGGCAAAGGTAGATAGAGGATCTCAACCCCATAATTAAATTTTACCAACACATAGACATAAGAGACAGTTGAAAATGAATGTAATGTAAGCCACACCATGTGAGTGTAAGCCCATAATGTTAGATACAGGAGTCGCTGACCACACCAGGAAGGGCCGAGGCACTTTACACACAGACCACCCAAAAAACACTGCACATTTTACTAACAGCATGTTAGTCTACCCAGACCACAACAGCTTAGAGTGCGAACACATCAGCAACAGATCAAATAGGCTGCTTAAAGAGAAAGAGCATGAAACAGCTGAGGACACAAAACGCGACAAAGTCAGCACAGTTTCCAAATCATTCTGATTGTTAAAAATATATTTATAACTCCCCACTGACGTTGTCAAAGCAGCAGAAACTGCTTGTTGTTATCCAACACTTGAGGACATTAAGTTTAACAAACTAATTGAGTTTACTAATTTTACACTGCAAAAAATAACGGGAAAGGTGTGCTCACGTAGTGACATGACGTGTGATAGAGAAGCTTCCCCACTGATCTCAGGACAGTGACAGCTTAATAAGCCTACAGTTAATACCAATATGTGGGTACTGACTGGCGGATCTGCTACTGAACTGAGATCAGTGTGATACTGACAGCACTATAACTAGGTGAGGTGATTTATTTCTTTCAGTGATCATTTTGGGGAAGCTAAGCTTTCCCCTAGCCTCTGAATAGCACCGCCTATGCCTATAGGCCATTTTCACAGCTGGTAGGCAGAACCTGCGCTGTACTGTGATGTTGTTGCCCTTTCTGCTTTAAAGACCAAAAAATTGAGAAATTTCCACCCAGTGAAAGAATTGTTTTTACTTGAGGCCATGAACAAATTGGCAACTGTAAGATTAGCTATAGTTTCACTCTAAACCAGAGTGGTTTTGTAGTTTGTGCACCACAAATGTGCATGCTAGTATATCATTCTTTATCTTAAAATGTATTTTATAACTGTAATCCTCATTACGTTACTTTGTTACATGTAATCTATTACTGCCCAAGCCTGTTCACTATATATTTCTGTTCTGTTTTTTTTAACTATATTTATTTATATAATTTCTATTCCTACCTCCAACCATCATACTCTCAATAGTTTTATTACATTCATTTGTTGTGATAGTCTACTTTTACCCACATCTACAGATAACAGTTTTAATCATCTCTTGTACACCAGTATACACTATAATTTAGAAGTTTTCTTGACGTCTTTTTTTTAGCACAATGAATCAGTTTTGATTAATGTTGTAAAACGAATTGAAGCAGCACTTTCAGGGGTCACGCTGGTGATTAAATTGTTCAGCAATTAAATCAGCAGAATGATCAAGCTGGTGTGCAAAAAAACAACTGCTCACGGTGAAAAGTGTTCATTATCATGTATTACCTGTAATTAAAACAAATAACATAAGTATCTCCTTGAACCCACCTTCTCACAGTATACGGTATGAATTCCTTCTGCAGCGAGGTTGCTTATGATAGAGACAGGGTTGGAGAGAGTAAAAAGACCAATTGAATGAAGGAGCATGGGGACCATTATACCCTTCAGAGGGCTATAGAGGCCCCCTTGTAACGGATGTTGCAGACATTCTCAGCCGTCCTCTGCTCTCATGCCATATGACAAATATCTGTTTACTCTTTCGATCATCCTAGGGGCTGAAATAATGCACTTTGCTGTCCCCAGTCCCCAAACGCTGGGCATGCATCAGCACTTATATCCTCTCAATACTTTTTTCCTTTTTTGTATCACTGCATTCTGTGCCTTTCTTGGTCCTTTCATGGGTCTTTCTTTGGAACTAATGATACTGTGAAAAGCTGATGCCAGAGTGTGATGGCCACAGTCGTGTGAAAAACAAGTCCAAAAAAGTGGCAAAAAGAACTTACTTCAATTATTCTCCCGCTCCCAGTTGTAGATTAAAATGATGATCTGGAAAACAGTCTTCACACTTTATGGTTTTTGTTCTCTTGAGAGCTGTGTTTCATTGTGTTTTGTAACACTGCGGCTGCAATGCAAATCACAATCATATCCTCTCTTGTTACTTGTTATCTGTTCTTTAGATGTGGAATTGAAAAAGAGTCCTTGAGCTGGGCTTTTCCACAACACTTGCCCACACACACACACACACACACACACACACACACACACACACACACACACACACACACACACACACACACACACACACACACACACACACAAACACCATCTTCTACAGACACATCTCTTTTTTCAGATACCAACACAACTCACGCACACACATTTTTGACGTATGGGTTGAGTATATTCTTTTAGAGATGTTGTTTACCCTTCATGCTTGACGCGATTTCAGAGTGGAGGTGGTACCGGCCTGTCCTTCTCTTGCGCATTACGTGTTTCAAAAGACGAGGCTTGAAAGCTGTGCAAGCGAATGTAGCACATACTCAATTATACAAGCACTGATGGAGTCGAGTGGTCATGCGTATGCTAGGCCTCTGTGAAGAATCTGGCTGTTTATACCCTTGTTCAGCTGCATCACCACCATCTCCTTCCTAAGGTATATACGATGTTAGCCATCAGCTGAAAGATAATGAGTAATAGACTACAAGAAAAACTACTATGGAGAAAGGGATGTGATTGTAGTGCATACATCCTACTGTAGTCTCTAGTAAATATATGGAATGCATTTGATAGCTTAATAGCAGTAATTACATAAAAACACATGTGGCCTATACAGCAGTACAAATTGGTATTTCCACCAAAACAAAATGTTAGTCAGCTCACCTCTCAACAATATCCTGGAGGAGATTATTGGATGGCCTCGAGCGTTCTAATTCTATGTACCATTAGAGCTCTTATTTGGCCATTTGGAAATGTGGAAGCTTCAACTTCCCCATGACAGTAAATAAAACATCCATGAAGTAGCAGTAAATAATGTAAACACACAGAGGGAAGCTGGAACCTCAACAGAAAGAGGAAATGGAGCGTTAAAAGGTGGCACATTTGTCAGGACTACCCTTGGGCTAAAAAGCCCATCCCTACCTGCCCCCACTTTGTACACATCTTAACAGTCTCCACAGAGCATCAGTGGAAGTGCTCTGCAACATGTTTTAAACACAGATAGGTAACATACCTTGAATATTAACAATTAATAACTTTGAGTTGACTTTTGAGTATTTAAAAGCCTGTCTTGCATTTGTATTTTTTTCTACTCAGTTTACTGCATGTGTGTTTTAGAAATTCATCTTTTCATTCCGTAGCTTTCAGTCCACACACAATGAAGATATATTTTCAGTATGGAAATCTGAAATATCAACATAGATTAAATTACATATTGTGAGTTAATTATCAAATGTCATATTTGTTTGTAGTTAAGTGCAGGATAAATCAATTGTTGCATTTATTCCCAACTATCCGTGTTACTTTAACAAAACTTAACATATCAATAAAGGCCTTTTCTTCTTCCAGTTGTTAGAAAATGCACTGTGTACTACAGATTATTTGCCTTTTGGTTAAATACATGGACTTTACATAGAGTACATCACATGTATATATGTATATATTTTATAAGGAGTACGGTCTAGACCTGCTCTATTTGAAAAGTGTCCTGAGATAACTTCTGTTATTAATTGGCGCTACACAAATAAAATGTAGTTAAATTGAATTGAATATGTATGAATGATCCTAACCATGGGTGAAACTGCCAGAGAAGACAGCCTGACATAACTTTAAATTCCAAATGTGAATTGGTAAAACACTCAATTAAAATTACTTACTTACTCAAAAACATTCTTGTGGTAATGAATGGGACCTCACGGCAGGCCAGTGAATGAACTGTTGTTAAATGAGAGACTGTCAGTTGTCGAGTTTTTAATAAAGGTCATACTTGATGTAGCAGTGTAAAAATGCCAAGGCGGATCTATTTGTTTATTATCTGTGTAATCAGTGTTCAGTGGCTAGTAAAACCTGCAGTAAATATTTAACAGCAATCTTTGGTTCACATGAAAAGTGTGGCAGTTGCCCATGTAGGTTCTGTCTTTTATTTTACTCTGGTCACCCCCCCTCCCAAAAAAAAAAGGCTGATTAATTGACAGAGAATTTGTAGCACAGCGGTGGTTAATGAGACAAAGAGAACAGTTTACTTTGCCTCATCCCCCTTTAAGAGGAAAGGTAAGGAGATTTTGGTTTTGACCTAATAGCTTTATATGCTGGACATTAAGTAAAACAGCCCCTTGCTCTTTAATAAAGATTCTCATACTGTAGATCCACGTGCTGAAGACATTGCCCCGTCCCGAGATTTGCTGAGTGTAGGTGATAATAATTCTTCGAACAGGTGCTGCACCATAAGCCCCAAGGCCTGGGGAAGTGAATGATTAGTGGCACTCCCCCAAGATGCATTGCTCCTCTGTATTAAAACCAAACTCTGCCTTTTATTCCCTCCAGGGTTTATTAAGTGGGCCAGTTGCCATAGCGACGCTTTGGCAGGATATTGCCAGGATAAGCCGTAATGGGTCTCCTGACGCAGTTCACTCTGCTCCTGTGGAAGAACTTCACTCTCCGGAAGAGACAGAAGGTACACTTGTGCTCACCAACCCCCTTTGCAAATCAACGTATATATGCTAAAATTGGTCAGCAATGGAGGGAAAATGAGAGTATGGTCCCAGGGTTGTGTCATCAAGGGCAACTAAGTTATTCATGGGAGGGACAGGCAATAGGAGGGATTTACTACGAAGATTGTCTCCTATAGAAGTAAGCCGCCTTTAACTCTCCCACAAGAGAACAAGAACAATCTTACCTTAATGCCGACCAATTTGAAGTGTCACCTTCAATTTTTGTAGATCTATCTCTTGTGCACGTTATGTCACATTGCCTGTATTTTAGTTCTAACAAAGCCAGTCTTTGGCCTAATAGAATGGGATAGGGAGTGACGAATGTTAAATGCTTTGTTTGAAGGGCAAACACTCTATCTGGCTCTTTTTACAAACTCACTGTCACAGCCTGTCCTCAGCAATGTTATCCAAAACTTTAGAATCAGTACATTTTACAAAAATGTCACCAGGCAATTAAAGGTTATTAATTTTCACTCTTCAGCTGAAAGCTCATATACACCAAGTGACATTTCATTTCTTTTTACAATGCACTTAAGCTACCCATGCCCATTTAACTTCTGTTACAATTTTAACTGCTTTCATATTTCACACTTTGAACTGACAGCTCAACTGCTTTCGGTGTGAATGCTTCAAATTATGGTTCACCTGCTTTAAGTGCTTACATTCTAACTGACAATTCATCTACTTAACAGGGATTAAAATTTAAAATTGAAATTCAACTGCTTTCGGCTCTTAAACTTCAAAACACTTCAAACTCTCAGTGCTTAAACTTCAACTGGCGCTTCAATTGCTTTCAGTTCTTCAACTCCCATGCAACATTTCTGAAAAAAATTACAATTCAAGACATTTTAACCTGTTTGCACCTGTGATTTTCAGCATAAGCGAGAACATTTAAATTTGTCATCAGATAATTTATCCTTTTCATCTTTGGATTATGTAAAACTCCTTTTTCTCATTTGTGTATGCTAACTTTAATATTCACAAAATTATTTAGTCTAACTAAATTCGAATACTTGCTGAATAGAAATGATACAGACAAGTCAAACTATGTTCATTTACATCTACATTAATATTGGCATTTCCTTCATACAACTAAAAAAACCTTTGCAAACCTCACTGATTTAGAAAACTTTTCACATAATATTTGAACCCTGCTGTTGAGTTTACTAGGCATTATCCCATTGCCCAGGCCAGTTCCCTGAAACCCAGTCATTCCTTTGTCACTCTTGTAACTGTCGCTAGCCAACACATGATCAGCCAATGATATATGGTGGTTATAATTGCCTCTGATGTCACCCACAGCAGGCAAGAGGTCACATACTGCAGGAAGATATTTGTCGCAACTGCATCTCAAGGGTCAGAACAAGTTGTCATGGAATCTAGTTAGACTTATGAGTCATTTCGGAGGCAGATATAGGCTAGCTGTTACAAAGAGCTACAGTGTATTCTTTGATTTATACCCTTGCAGTGATGATAGGAGTCACATCCACCCACTTGTTTTGTTAGGGGTTCAAGCACAGCAGTGTGTCTGTTGCCAGAGTAGAACAAAAGACATCTTCACAAAAAAAAAATCAGCTTTCATCAAAGTTCATACTTTCTGGGAATAACTCAAGGCAAAGTCATTTGCAATTTTACAACTTTGTATCTGGGAAACATCCCCCTTGTTAATGTTCCCAACCAGCAAAAAGAACAGGGTGGTATCTTTTGTACCAGGAAGAAATATGCGCCTACTTTTTCCCTAAAATGCATAAAGGGACAGTGGTGGTTTTGTGCATAGAATGTGGGATATTTGGCCAATGTCAACATGAAATATTGTTATTAGACAAAACCAGTGGGAGTTAGCAAGGACAATGGTGCTTCTGGAGGGCTTGTGGAGGTTAATGACCAATTATATGAATGCCTCACCAAGCATTTTAAGATTTTATAACAGGCATGAAACTGATTTTATGGTCCAGTATTTCACATAATTTCATAGGAGGAGATTATCTATTCACAAAGACGCTGGTGTCCGATGGCAAATGCCTGGGGAGCCAGACATTGAGAAAGTCCCCATGATCTCTGTGTTCCCTCTCCATGCCTTTTCTTTGGAATACATTATGATAATTCACCCTCTCAGCAGAACTACATCCTCTCTGACACACAGACTGGAGGGAATTAAAGGACAGAATTAGAAATTCTATCTAGTTTCTTTGAAATATATGCAATGTAATTTTCTGCAATTTTCTCATCTGTAATTCATTGACAAAATTATATAACTGATTATTCACTGTATGCCTATATATACCAAACTAAACTAAATCAAATGTTTTCAATCCCCACCCCTCATCCCTATTCTACTGCAGACACCCTACTTCCCATGGTGCTGTGGCATAACAAGCAATATGTATTGTTGTATTTTCCTCACCTCTGCCTGCCCTCCAGTTTAATTATGAAGACAACAACCTCTGTATAGATGTCTTCCCTTATTATTTGTGCTAATGTGCATCATCAAATACAGTGTCTGAACATGTTACCAACGCAGGAGTGGGGAATTGGTTGACTGGAGCTTTCCAGCTGGTTCCTCTAAGCAGGTCACTCCAGCAGAGATGTTGGGAGGGATGAGTGTGCAGGCAGACCAGGTCAGCTGAGGTTACCGTGAGAGGGCTCGGTGGGTGAGTGCAGGGCTTGCGGGGTGGGGTGGGGTGGGGCTGTCGAGCGATGGCATGCCAAGGGACGCGTAAAAGCCTGGATGGCAGAGGGTGTGGGGTTAAAGAGTCAAGGCAGGATGAACTGCTGCATTGTAATATCTCATTGGAAGTCATCCGCTGGTAGATATTACTCCCTGCTGAAAACACTTAACTGCAGCGATGAATTGCCTTTATGAAGTGAAATCTACTGTTGCACAAATGTTACTTGGCCTTCAGCTTTCAGAGGTGCATGTTACCTTGACTCATGTGTAAAGAAAATGCACTGCTTCAACATTTACACAGTGGTGGTTCAGATATGTAAAATCTCCAAACTCTAAGGTCTTGGTACTTTGGCTCTAGAATATCGTTCTTGGCAAACTGAGGGTGAAATATGAGAAACAACTTAGTGAACAAGTACAGCCTTGAGGTAATTTATTTGTGCTTTGTTGGTTTTTCTCTTTACCCGTTCCCTGAGGCTGAAATAAAAGCTTGGCATGTCACATGGTGTGCTATACCTGCCGGCAGGTATTGAAGTGGTTGTATTAAAGCAAGGAAGTGGTCAGTACTCTTCATCCAGAAGCGGATTAAACGTGGCGAGGAGATGATAAAGCGTCTGTGATAGTTTAGGCTTGGGGAGTCGCAAGCAGAATTTGCTCTCTCAATCCCATAAGTGCTTCCAGTAAAAGCAAGACCAACAGCAAAACATATGGACTATGACATTGTAAACACACTCACACAGATACACACAGCCTCCTGAGTTCTTTTCAGTCAGTCATATACAGTATTTCAACTGCAGAAACACAACAGCTTCTTTTTGCCTTTTAACTAGTAAGTCACACATATTTACATCCACGTTACATCTTTAGAGAGATGTCGCATTTTTAACTCGCGAGGAAACTATGCAAATTATGTGAGCCATAATGTGTTCCAAAGACATATTTCAATAAACAAATTATGAAAATAAGATTGCTTTATTCTTTGTGCAGGTGCGACTGGTCGTAGAAGTGGTATGGCCTCTGTTTCTCTTCTTCATACTGGTGTGGGTGCGCTCCACCAATAAGCCTTTTTACAAAGGTCAATGTAAGTACAAGCCCAGTTGTAATGTTAAACTGCATTTAAACCTGCTAGTACTCTGATTGTGTGTTTCCATAATAACGCATAACTTAAAGCTAATGTAAAAATAATAACCTCTGTTATGACACCACCTCCTCTATATTTCCAACCAACAATGTGTTAGTCATGCAGCTGGGTAGATATATACAGTAAGAATTCACCTCTATTTGTTTAGGCCACTACCCAAATAAAGCCATGCCATCGGCTGGCGTGCTGCCCTGGCTTCAAGGTATGATGTGTAACATCGACAATCCCTGTTTGAACTATCCAACGCCGGGGGAGACGCCAGGCCAAGTCAACAACTTCAACAACTCCATGTACGTACTGGGATGTTTCCTTTTCTGTCTTCTAAGACATTAAATGTGAGGATTAAAAGGAATAATATGGTTATGATTTCAGATATTACATATATTTATGATCTTTTTTTGTAAACCAGAATTGCTGGGATGTTGATAGAGCTGCAAACCCTCCTGGTGAACGGATCTATTCTCAGCAAGGCACAGTTACTATCAGATGACATCAACCAGTGGACTTCAGTCCTGTCACAGTCTAACCCTGGTAACGGTAAGGGAATCTGAATCCTAAAATCTTGATGCACTGACTTTAAAACAATGAAACTATTCATGACAGGATCCTGTTTTTAAACACTGTCACAAAAATTGGTGAAAAGAAACAAGGTCGAAGTGTAGATTGGTCTTTCTTGATATATAAGTTTTATTGCTTTATTGAGTAATGGTTCAAAAAATAATTGGAATAGAAAATACTCAGCCTCAGCAACAATCACTCTGCTATGTCTTTATTAAGTACTCTCCATCAAGGAAAGTATCCCCTTCATGTTGGTGACAAGTTGGAGGATTTGTTATTCTCCTTTATCCCTCAAAAACAATGGCACGATTATTTATGATGCAATTTGCCATGCAGACTGACAGATCGTTTGTCTTGATAAGTTGCTGCTTTGCATTAGGCTCATTTAGCCTGATGATATTCAGATTTTCATACGGCACCTAATTTGCAAAAAGAGAAAGGGGGGGTGGGGGGATTTTGCTGTTCAACAAACGGCTCCTGGGCCATTTGCATTTTGGGGTCGCTGGCTTGTAATATACAAGATTAAATCCATCAAAGATCTAAGCCTGGGTATAATTAATGGCATTCGCTGTCTGACGAGAGAGCACAAAAGGTCATTAACAAGAATGGGGAATGGAGTATTATCAAAAGACTAGGACGGCAAAGGCGATTGTGTCCCTTTTTTGGTTTTTACCCAGGGTTGATTAAAAGGCTCAGGTGGCCACTTCAATCAGAAAGACAACAGTGTTCAGCAAGAGCGCAGAGCATGTTCTTCTTCCCCACAATCTAACCCTGCCCATCCCTCTTGATGCTCCTGCAGTCATGAGGGGCATAATAATATGTGTTTAGTAGGAATCAGGAGGTGTTGTATAGAGTGTAAGCAGAGCATCAAGCCGCATAATTAATTCCAGACAATAGTGAATGATTGTTATTTTTCCCAAACATTTATCCTAATTGAACCTTGAATCACCCAGTGTAAGTCACTTCCTTCTCTCATCCTGGTAATTGACTGACTTGCATGTATTACACTTGCAAAAGGGCTGATCTAATTAAATTACGTAACCCCTTCATCATATCAGCAGCACATGTGGAGTCCCAGAAAGAAGAAAACACATGTTACATAGATTCAGGATGTACATGGGTGTGTGAATGTACTGCAGTGGGATCCCTGCTGCGTTGAGCCATTGTGAGGGCAGGTTAACAAAGAGCAGTTGATCGGTTTTTGAAGCCGGCTCTTTAAAAACCCGACTGTCTGTGGGCAGCTAATCAGGAGAAAATGGCTGGTTAACAATCTGGTACGTGTTTAGCAACATATTATCTCCTCTCATGCAACTCAAGTGTTCAACCCCTACTTGCACCGATGAAGGATTTAATTGGAACAGTCGTCTAAAAAATATAATTTGCTTAAGGATAAGGATGCTTTGAAGATTTAAATTTTTTTTTAACAACATGCACACATGAATTGTAAAGAATTTCTTTACATTATAAGTCTTATTTTCATAGATTTGGCCATTGTTTCTATCAGTTGTTTTAACATTATACTCAGTAGCTGCACTACAGTGATTCTGAAGACAGCTTTAACCTTGTCCTTTCAACAACAAGAATAAATCCTCTAGTAGATCAACCTTCCGTTGCAGTGGAAGGGCTGCTGTCCTATTAGTTAACACGACAGGCTCCTCCATGGTTGGCATAGGTGTCCATGAGGGAAAATGACACACATATTTCTGCATGCACCCACATTTGTGAACAGTAGCGTGGAAAAAAAATACAGAAGGATGGACAAAGAGTCGAGGCAGAGACAGAAAGGCTGCAAAATATCTGCAGTGCAGATCCCAAGTATTGAGGATTTCTGCCGAAAACATAGACTCTAAAAGTCTGTAAATAATAATTTAAAAAAACAAAAACATTTACCTACAAATTTTACATCTCTGGCATTTTGTCAGCATCACAAATGTAAACTAAAGTACACTGCTGTACACTGTACGGTATATCCTATTGTGTATCTTTGTTTTTCCTGTGTATCAATTGCTGTTCTTCAAAAGTAATGATTCTCCATCTTTATGTTTAAGGTCAACCAGTGATCCTAAGGAGTATTCTAAGAGACAACGAAACTTTCTCCACTCATCTGACAGAGAATTTGTCAGTGCCAACAGAAGTGGTCCAAAGCCTCATGAATGCTGAGATCAAACTCAATTCAGTGAGTATCTTTTTGCAACTTGCATGTTGGAAACAGGGGAAAAAAAACAGTGTCCAATAAGGATGCCATCTGTTTTGTAACAAGATGTTTCACCTCCCTCTGTACATAAAATAATTTAAATGTTACTAAAATGTTCAAAGACCAAGTGTGCCAAGAGTGTTGTACTTGAACATTTAAGAATAAAATGTCCTGGCCAAGGACTGCCTCCGGGACTCTTTGTCTTGACAGTCATAATCAAAGCAAACTCTAGTATTTGCTTGACAGACAAAGTCGTTTGAAGCTGCCTACAGTAGGTAATTTGGAATGAAATGAACTTGCAACAGCAATAACAGCGTCTTGTCTCTAAATGCTCCCCAATTGATACTGTGGTATGTACCAAGTAATATCACATGGGCTGCAAGAAGGTAATTATGTTTCACTGACATTGACAAGGATGCTTAAATACAATGTGCTCTGATTAAAAGATCCCTACTGTGTATGAGGCATTCTGATGATTGTAATGGGCTCCGGTGCAAACTGTACTATGTGCACAGAAAGTAAAACGTTATGAGCCATTCTCTGCCTTCTGTCCATGCTTCCTGTCTTGCTTGGTGTCACTGTATATTGTCTGGTTTGATCCAAAATTATCTGTGTGTGTGGGTGTTCATTTGTGTGTCTGTTTTGAGAGTCACTGTAGTCGAGTACTGTATGTCAGTATTTAATAGATGATATAATTAATATGAAAACATGACTTTACATCTGAGTTTGAAATGTGCTTTTGCATACCGTCTGCTTGCACTACAAACCCAAAGGACACAACACATGAATAAATAAAGTATGGTCAGATGCAAAGTTCTGTTTGTCAACTTCTACCAAAATTGGTGTTTATTTTTCAGATGATGGGCATCCCAAGGCCAGGCAACCTCAGGAGCATCCTCTGTGAGGGGACAGATCTGGATCAGTATGTCCAATTTAGCAGCCAAACTGAAAGGGAGGCTTTTCAAAATGTCAGCTGCTCCCTCACTCCACAGCAGCTGATTAACACCCAACAAGTACTCCTGCAAAACCTGGATACAAGAAAAGTGCTTTCTGAGGTGAGCTTGTCTTTCTGTCGCCCACACACAACAAACACATCTCACAACCTGTCTAGTTTGAGTTTGATGAGACTTGAAGGAATTTTGCATTGGAACTCGGGCACAATTAGTCTAATTTTGACAGAAGTTGGAGAGTGAATGCATTAGGGAACTGCGTTTACACTAATTGGCCTGATGGGGACACTGCAGTAGTAATACAGGCCATAATGTCTGCATTTGAAAAGCCCTAATTCCTGCTTGGCAAGGTCACCCACATCTTGCATTCTAACAAATTACACTGTCTGGGCTAATGAAGGCGATATTAAAAATGTAAATTTGAAACGGCTTTGTGACATCTCAGCCACCACTGGAGCAATTGAGGAATAACTTGCGAGGATTCATTTGAACCCTCCATCAGGCATTTTAAAGACAAACTGAAGATACTGCGGCAATTGTGCATGCAGTATTTTTCCATAGGATAATCAAACAGCATCTAAGATTCAGACCTAGGTGGCCTTTTTAGGAGATGCCCTGTCACCTTCCATGTTGTGCCACTGACTGAAGCACATCATAGCCCTGTATAGCCTCTGAACAACAAGCATACACCGCTTTGGTTATGTACTGTTAGTCATGTTGGCTCAGTTGAATCATTGGCAGCTCCTAAACAGCTCAGTGCTGTGTTCATTCAGTGTTATGCAAAAGAGGTGGTCTAACTAGCATTTGCTGTCGCTCATTCATGGGTCCAGATGTGGCAATGGCAAATAGTTAGACTGTTAAACTCACAACAACAAGTAGTCATGTAATCTCAGCACTCAGTGAACCCAGTGATTTAAATTGTGACACGGTAAAGTGCAGAGTCACGATGGCGATACACCTTTGTGGCTGTTGGCACTGAAGTCATATTATGAACTGTTATCAGTGCCCGTCCACACTAATATTTCACAATTTAATTACAGTACTGACATTATCAGTCTGAACCTAAAAAGTTTTTAAAGTTTGGCTTTGAAATGGATTCAGAAACAGTTGGAAAATTTGTAGCTAGAGCTAAAAAGAGTTACTTCAAATTTTCCAAATCTATCACTGATAGACACATTTGTTTTGTGCATCCGTTAGTGCAGGGTTGTAGGTACAAACGTGGTTCTAAACGACTGAGCATACCTTTTACGCCTAAGCAAAAATGAAATGCCAAGGTAGTGTAGGTGGTTTAGTATGCCAAAATTTCCTGTTGAGCCTTTCTGGCATTTTTTTGTGTGGGAGTTATGATAGATAGAGCTAAATACGAAAAAAATTTACTTGGATGCACAAGGTAATTTTCAGCATGGACATTCTATCAATTACAAACGGCAAGATAAAACAATCTAAAGTTTAATACGGTATAAAAGTATTGTGGGCACATAACTATAATTCTTGCATGGCTTGCAGTAAATTGAATTAAAAGACAATGATGTTGTGTGCCAACCAGTTGAATAACCACTTTCAAAGTAAAATGTTTTGCTTCTCTGGTTCTGTGACTGAAATATCTTTTAGAGTTCAAACGTCCTGATGCATCTACATACCAGTAACACCTCAACACGTATACTGTATTACTGCATCATTATCTAAATTTGTATTTTTTACATTTTGAGTGAGAAATCATTTTCTGTCACATAGGGTCTAAGTTTTTAAAATTGCTATTGTCATGTGCCCCTCTCTTCAAGTGATTTTACTAGAATGCGTGCAATCAGGTGGGAAATTATTTATTAGAACCAATGTTTTCTTGAGTTCTTTTAAATCTCAGAGTTCCCTTTGGGATGATGAAAGCCTGCACTTTTCTTTGAGTTTATCTTTGAGAGAAAATATATGGGACAGCAAATCCAATAAATAAGTGATAAGGCAGGAAGTTCGTAGGAGAGAGCATTTGAACAATTTGAGCCCACAGGCATTTTCAGACACAGAAAAAAAAAGAAAGGCCAGACAAGATATGGTGGAAAAGCTCTTCAGCGCCGCAAGCAAATGGATGGAAAAGAACATCAAGCCTTCACACTTAAAGCTTGACGTTGCTGAATGATTGTGATAACAACAACATAAAGAAAAGGACAAGGGAAGAAGTCAGAGTTTATCACTGAGGTAGATTTAGACATTGGTTCCACAGGTTTGTGGAAATCATTTCAGAACACAGTATAGGGAAAAACAAAAAGCATTTGAATATATGTGGCGCTCAACAAAGGTCATTCAAATGTCAAAGTGTGTCTTTGATAGCATAATCTCCTTTGTAGTTCATTAGCTCATTAACTTTTTGAACCATTCAACATATTTATGGTTATATTATTCTTGTAGAATTATTTTTTTTCTAATCAGCTTACCAGGTTAGCAAAAGAAACACAAACACAACCAGTGGAGTCTTCAGTAACAAAGTGCAGTGGAAGCTTAAGAATTCTTATCTCCTAATGTGACAATGCTCCTTCCATCCTTTCAATCTCTCCTTCTATTGATTGCTCACTGGTGATTTTCAGCGGTTTTGCTCAAATTTGTCTGAGACTCCTGCTCTTTCTTACTAAGTCTCCTCTTCATGTCTGCTTTGCAAACACTGAGAGTAGAAGTGATCCTAAATGAATGTGCTCGAGATGCAATCAATAGCCGGGCTTTTGTCCAAACCATGCTTGAATGGGCTTCTATTTGTGAATAGAGTTTTATCTAAAATTACTAATGCAGTGCCTAAGCCCTCTGATCTTCCCACTCCTACCTATGTCTTGAATATGTTTCCAAGCTTTATAATTTTACTTCCTAAAAGACAACAACAATCTGGGCTCCTAATTCAGCTTATACTCAACACTTGATGCATGAAAATGACAGTGGTTAAAAGGGCATGCCATTTAGTTCTTCTAATTGGACGCATACTGTGTACCTTTAGAATGTCACTGTAGCACACAGTAACACTTGTCATTTTAATGCAACTTTTATTAACCGTTGCCAAGGATGATGATGCCAGAATAAAATTTACAGGTCAAGATGCACAAATTACTGTGTTTATTGCCATCATATAGTGTCTTGACGGGAAAGGCTGATACAGAACTGGTATTTTTAGGTAAGGTGTGGCGGTAGATAGGTGGCAGGTTCTGATAAAAATCTAAATGAATATGGAAATTACAACTCTAGCCACTGGTTATACAATACAATAACATATTTTTTCAGGACATAGTTTAAAAAAAGAGAGAACATTTGAAACAATTGAAAAAATACATTAGACTATTTCCTTCTTAAGTTTTGGCCATGCATGTGCATCCATTCACACCAAATGTTCTAACCCTCCTTTAGCTACCTTCAGCGTTGGATCTAAATGGAGCAGACACAGCAACATTGATTGGGAAAACCACTCAAAATGCATTACCAGTGATTGAGGAGGTGAGTGTTGTCCCTGTACACTGGACTGGACTCCATATTCTTATTTTATGATATTGCTGTTATTTTTTTACTTTTTAACTCCTGACTTTTCTTGCATCCAGATGGCCAGGTTGCAGAACTCTGAAATCTTTAAGGCAGCAAGTTCATTGGATTTCCAAAGGGACATGATTGGCAGTATCAATATGCTACTGTGCGAACAGCGGCCTGACTTCAATTCCACCAATATGCCCGTCAGTTTAAGCTCACCTAGACAGATGGCTAACAACAAGGCAATCTCCATTATGGGCATTATGGGCAACAGTTCCGGTAAGTGCTGCAGCAAACTCCTTTATAAAGCCAAGTTGTCACAGCACTTCTATCTTAATCTTGGATCTACATTTTACTTTTACAGCACTTGGTGTAGTCATGGTAGTCAGAAACGGACAAAATTGGTTATTATTTTAGAAACCAGTAGGCAGTAACAGTGCACAGTATCACAGGAAATGGGACATTTTGGTAATTTTGCAGCCAGTGGTATAAAGCAAAACCATGCTGCATTTGGAAAAATATTTAATCAGAAGGAGTGACAGAGGATTGCATGAATCATAACTAATCTAATAAAACTATTTTTCTCCCCTTTCAAAGCAGTGTCATGTCAGAATAAAAAAAAAGTGTGTTGACAATGTTATGGAGAAAACAATGTGGAGCTCCTGTAGCCTTGCTAATGGCACACACAATATCAGTGCAGCAAGGCTCAGTAGCCATGTTTTGGGTCAGGTGTGTTGGTAATGAGACTGAAAGTAATTCTGTTAGATCAAGTACACTGTATAATTAATCATTAGTACTCTAAGCAGATTCAATGCAAACCACAGCATTTCCTGTTATCAAAATATGCATGCATGTGATAAAAAAACAAACAATGATTCCTATTTGCATGAATTAGTGGTGCATGGAACACAATGCAGTCAACGGTGCACAGGATGTGACTACTTGTGCACATCCAGGAACCGGGCACCTGTGGCACAGTTGGCACCTGTGCTAGAGCTGGAAACTGGGTTTGATTAGGAATACATTATCGGCGGCTGTGTCAGCGGCTGGCATCAATCGTAGCCAATCAAATCAGCTCTTCTCATTCCATTTAGAAGCTGTGTGCTCCCCACCCTGACATAATGATGTTTTCTTAATGGAGAGGAAAGTCCAGAGCAACTTATCCCAAGTGGAAACTGATGTTGTTTTCTGGGTGGAGCAGAGTCATACAATATATAACATCCTAAACATGAACATATGGCAACCCAAACTTCCCACAGAGGACAGATGGTGTCACTAAAACACTTTTTTGTGTTATAAACTGGTATTTTGTTCTATTCAGTAATGAAATACAACCCAGGCAGCCATATTGTCAGCGTTTGTACTCATATTCTCTGGTGCTGTATTGATTTCACTAAGCCTGGCTCAGTTTGTAAAGATTTTTTGGGGAAGGTGGAGTTGTGATGGAGTTCAGTGATGCCTTTAAATAGTCCTGTAGCTGTCAAAATTTCTGTGTCCAATTCATCCCCAGGATGTCATTAGGTGAGTTTCCATCCACCTGTTTCTATGCACATTTACGAATGCAGAATTAGTACCACCTACTGGTTGTCTCGATGAACCAACTCCTAATAATCTTATAATGGTGGTGGATGGAAATAAGTATTTGTTCACATTTTTTTTGCAAATCTTCTCAAAATTGGGTTAAACTTTTTTAGACATTTGGATGGAAGCCTAGCCATTGTCTCCCATACTCCTGATGATTTGCAGTTGAGTATCCTTCACTGCTTTATCCAACTAGAGTTGTGCCTGGTGCTACTTATGATAGATGTATTCCAGAAATAAGCGTTCTCTTGGCTGCAAGGATTTGATTAATAAAAGAGGAAAGATAGATTCTACGAGCATTTGTGGAGGAGATTCAAGAGCCAAGTACTGATATGAATCACCCTTTGATCTAACCCAGTACACACTCTGCTTGGCTGACATTACTGCATCACAGTGTGTTTCTGTTGCTACATTTGGTCGAGTGGTTGAGGACTTGATATCAAAGTAAAATAGGCATACATAAAAGATGCTTGTGATTTATGTGACTCAGATCTGAAACAGATGAGAAGTTACTTGTTGAACACGTTGCTTGTAGTATAAACACGTGGTACAGTCAGGTACAGTACTGTATATGTGCTTAAAGCTCTTTCCATCAAAATTAGAAAAGGTGTTTCTCCACTGGTGTCAGAGTGCACTGAGTGAGTGAGAAGTTTCATGGGCTAAGAAACAAAACAAAACAAAAAACTCACACTGTGGCCTGAGGCCTGTTGAGGAAATAAGGCATCCCCAAACTACTGTATGATGTTTCACCAATGATTAAGGCTGATCTTTTCAAAGGCATTGTTTTGTTTTATCAAACACCTGACATGATCCAGCATATGATGTTATAGTAAGGTTGTTGTTCACCCCAGTGTTGTCTGGAAAACCTCCCTGAGCTACCAATTTGAGTTACAGTTGACTCATGTACTTTGAAAGTAACAGTAGAAAAAGATGCCTGTACATCATTTAATGTTACTCTGGATTTTCAGTGGGTTAACATTGTGAAGATGACCTCCTCTAAACAGACTGGCAGCAGTCCGACATTATCAGTATTTGTAGAATACCTGTTTTTAATTTTAATCCGTGGGACTTGAGTATCCCCCAGGAAAAAAGTAATTATAGATTATCACACACCTGGATGTTTAGTCCTGACCATGTGTCTGGTTTTGATGCATTGGTGGACCCTCTTAGATTAACAAACTTTTTATCATTGCACCTGTTAAAGTGCACCTGATTCTATTTTTAGTCATTTAAGGGATGTTAACTTTTTCCACATGGGGATAAGTATTTGTTTTAACAGCACAACTAATTCCCAAGTAAAGTTTTGTGCTCTATTTCTGCAAACATAATAATAGATTTTTAGAATAAAGGTTTGGTCTGCCTCATTTTCTTGACTGGAAGGAGTATAGAGGAAAGCAAACCATTTTCCATGCATTTAAATATATGGAAGGATTGTGCAATACATGTTGAGACTGTACTGTACTGTTAGTGTGATGTACATAATTGATATTTGAGAAATATATAACCAGACAGAAATAACTGAGAAAAGAAATAATAATAAAAATTCCAAAAAGATTATATGCACATAGGCCTTTCTTTCTAGTGCTGTACAAAGAAATCATTGTTATCATCGATCCTTATTAAAAGGAAAAAAGTAAATAAAAGAAGGACAGCAATTGTTGGTATGGTAGGGAAAATCACTGCATATGTTTGTTCCATAAAATCCTTGAGAATTAGATCTTCTGGAAACTTCTTGCAGCCTCTTGCTCATTAGAGACCATGCATTCCTGTTTCATTAAATGCCTGTTCTTTGGAGACTACTGCACAAAATTAGATTTTAATAAGAAGTCCCTATTCCCTTGGAATAAAGTTACACTGTAAAGTGGAATTGCATGCTAGTGCCAGCGCAAATTAGCAAAAACATTGTATCATCCATTCAAAATAAGCACCAACGTCTCTGTTAGCATGCTAATGGCTGTTTTGGATTTGCCGTGGCATTTCATTGTGTTGGTCTATGTACAGTTAAATGAATCTGGATTGTGCAGTTCGTCTGCATAATGGCCAATTACAACTCCTTTGTAAGTGTAAAAGTACACTCAAAGGAATAGCAGAACAGCAATAATAAAGGCCAACACTAAGGTTTGGTTAACGGCTCAGGGACGTTCTGTTCCCAATTAATGGTTTACAGCAAAGGAAAACTTCTGAGTCACTATGCAGAATAGTTGGGGTGGTAACAGTTCTTCTAGACAGTAAACAATAATTTGAAATAGTTACCATTTTTTAAAATTACCCAGTAGATTAGCATGGGTAACAGTGATTAAATGGCTCTGCAAGGTCATATACCTACATTTACATATTTGTTTAATACATTTGCTTGTTGTTTTTGGAGGCTCTTATACATACCTCTCATTTTAGAGGTTGTTTTCATTGCTGTTACACTTGACATTACTTGATACCATACAGAGTTATTTAATGGGTTGACTCCCTTTAAATGAAATAGTCAAAACAGTGAGAGCACTATGGAATATAAAACCGGTGGTTTGACTTGACCTAATATCGTAGCGGGTATTTTGTACCGACGGCAAACATCAACCTTTCAAATTAACGCATCTACTGTTGTCAAAATAACTTTTCCCTCTTTCATTTAGCATTGTCCTATTTTCACTAGTATGATTTTTCTCCGACATTGCGCATAACATTTCCTAATTATCTCGAGACTCACACTGTCATCCTCTGAGTATTTGCCCATGGGTTTCTCTTTGAATCATTAGTAATTGGTTCCCTTTAATATATACTGAAGGCCGAATACCGGCCTATCGAGGCAGTTGTTGGGAGTAAGAGAGGCTCATCTTTTACTGCTGAATGTCAAAGCGGCCTCTCTGTCTTATGAGAGAGCGACTTCAATGACATTTATTCACGCTTATTTGACTTTCTGTTGGAATGCTGCAAGACAGCACTTGATTTGTACTGCTCGTAGGAAATAAGTGCTGCTTTATTGATGTATGGGTTAGTTCACTTTAGACTGGCATGTCATTTAAGGTGTACATGCGCACTGCACTGTATGTGTGTGTGTGTTTGTCTGTATGTGTACTCTGATTGTGCATTGTAAGAAATGCCTGAAATATGAGTCATGTGAACCTAGAGTAATATCCTTTTCCCATGTCTGTACATGTGATTGCACGTGCAAGATAGTGTGTGTGTGTGTGTGTGTGTGTGTGTGTGTGTGTGTGTGTGTGTGTGTGTGTGTGTGTTTGTGTGTGTGTGTAGCACCAGCAGTTGCAGTGTGGCGACGGCATGGTCTCACTGTAGTGCTGAATTGAGCCCATCTCCAGGGTGCAACTCAAATTGATTAAATTTGCCAGGTAAGTTGAGGGGCTGACTTGAGGCTCCAAGCAATTATTTGACTGTGGCTAAAACTGGTGTAAAGAACAGATTCTCTTGTTCTTTCATACTGCCGTTTTGTAATAAAGTACAGATCTGTTGTCAAAAAGAACTGCACAGCTCGTGAGAGTGTGTAACCTCTGTAATCTGATGCTTCCTTTAGCACACAAAATATCAAAAACGGATATATCTGTCCCACGATACAAAGATACCTATTGCTAAAAGTGTTATAGATTTGTCCCTGCCATCTATATCCATTCTCCATTGTTGACTAGAATTCTGTATTCTTTGTGTCTTGTGATTGGCCCAGGCATGCTGCTTCTCATTCTCATAATCACTTTCATAATCAGAACATTTTTATGAAATAAGGTAACATACTGTATGCTACCTTAGCATGCGACAGGTTATAACATACAGGAAATACAGTGGTATATGCAGTGTGCTTGACTGCATGTGCTACTTGTCGACTTGTGACCCCACCTTAAATTTCACTTTCATCACTTTGTGTGTGTCTTTGAGGTCTTGCAAAGCCAGTTTCTTTTAACACTTTAAATCCTGCATTCTGTACGTCCATATTTGCTAGCTAGCAGTCTTCTTCTTCTTCGTTTTTTTTGACACTGCTTGCTTGCATGTTACTGCCACCAACTGTCAGTCAGTGGAATAATATAAAACTGCCGCCAGGAATGGGTTTTGCGTTACCTGCACGATACAAACAACTACTACTACTGGTGAAAAGCTCCTCAGGGTACCTTTTTAAAGGCCCGAATAGGTGAAAGTGTTTTTCATTGGGAAAAAAGCAAAAACTGTGAGCCTACATATTTATGTGTGCATCCCATCTTGGGCCCAGACCAGCAGATTTAGAACCTCTGCATTAAGGTGAACATCTGTCTTCTTTGGTTCAATGCATCCATTCAGTCCATTTTGGAAACCTAAGCTCTTTCATCGTACTGTAATTGACAAGCACAATATGAAATTGAATTGAAAGTAAACAATTACAATTACAAACAGTTCCTATTTCTTAAATACTTTCTGAGGGACACCAAACAGCAGAGAGCTACTGAGCTGTCTGTCACACACATTTCCTGTTTTTCAAGTGTTATGGTTGCAAGAAGTGGCATCTGTGCAGTCTGTGGAGGGAACAGCTGGCCAGACTCAGACTAAGGGGTGGCCATTAGCTGCCTGTGCACAGACCTCCCAGGAGCACCTGAGAAAGATGGCCAGGAGGCAGAAAGGCTAACATTTAATTGCACTGAAAATGGCCGCTAAAATCTCCCTGATAGGGGAAACGGTTGCCCTGGTGAGATGAGAAGAAGTGGAGGGTTGAGGTTGCGGTCTTGACAGGGGAAAAATGAAAAAGGACTGGAAAAAGCACTGATGTAATGACAGGTGTCTGAACAAAAGGGACGGCTGGTTACAGATCAAAAAGGCAGACGGTCATACTGACTGGCAGACGACACACTGAATTGATCAATTGTCTGATTAACTACTGCAAGAATCAGATATTTTCAGTCAGAGCAAGGCAGGCACCATCCAAGTGCAGGCTTTCTTTCTATATCAGGCTCCATTCCTTGCAGTGCAGGTCCTCATGTAACCTATTCAGCACTCTCCCAACCTGGCAATATTCACGTTGGCAGATAAGTTAAATTAGTAATGATCGGACTGCTGCTGAGCATATTGACTTTCTTTGCTCGGCTCCACAGAAGCTTTTTCCTTATGTACTCAGGTCTGAACTCTTGGCTTGTGTTTTCCTCTACCTGTGTATTAAAGTAATAACAACTTTTAATAACTTTTTGTAAATACATCCACTTTGCAACTCTCTGAACGCTGATGCATAATAAAGTACTTTACCAGTAACTGACCCTATATCCACTTTAGGAGAGCTTTTCATTTTATAAACCCCTTTTCTCAGGAAAAAGAAGCAGCAATGGTGTGTTTTTAACAGATAGAATTAGATACTGTATATGCTTTATTATCAACAATAAACTGTAAGTAAAAATTACTTCATCCAAAGATATAATTGCTGACATTTTTTGTGGGATTTTATTTTTTGTATCCAAACCACTTGATTAAATACTGATGGCGAGGCAGTTATTGAATCAAGATGAGCTAACCTATCAACAATTCTATGACAATCGTTTGAATATGTCCTTGCATGTTTCAGTTCTGAATGGATGCTGATAAGACTCTATAAACCCAAAGGTTTCTTTCCTAATCTAAGGGCTAGAATGCAACCTAAGGTGGTTATGGGTTTTGTATGACTTCCGTGGCAGTATCTCTTCAAAACTTGTCCAGATTCTTTAGAGCCCCAGTTTTGCCCCTCATTTTATTGTAATACTCTTAACAAATTCCAAAGCACTTAAAAGGGAATAATTAACATATAGGCAAAGGAATATACAAATAGAAAGCCAACAATAAAAACCCAGAGCACCCAGGGGACAAAAATAACTTATAGAAATAAAAGAAAATGTAAAATGGAGTGCGGCAGTAAAAGCCGAGCAAGCATTCACAAAGGCTTACAGTACTTATGAGTAATGTTTTAGGAAGGAAAAAAGATAAGATGTAATATCTGAGTCATAGTGCTCCAAAGTCATTGTCAGTTTGTTAGTGCTCTAACATTACTCAAATAAAAACTAGTTATTACATGGCTCGCCTAACAATATGCTATACAATAAACTATATAAACACTTAAGAACAATTCAGCCCCTAAACGTTGTGTTAAAGTACCCTTAGCTCCTGTCAGTCCTGTTGGTTCAAAGTACTTGTGAAATTGTTGCGAAGTGATCATTGCACAAAGGAACAACATTGTAACACTTACTAGTTGCGATGGCTTCAGAAAAATCGAACAAGTATCCTTAATCAAGACTCTACAAAAAGGAGTCATTAGTAGCAGCCGTTAGAAGTAATAACTATCTGTTCTGAAGGGCAGTGATTGCGTCAATACTGTCCCTATGGTGTAAACTCGAGGTTGTTTGGTTCTTTTCTTGCATTTTACCAGCTCTATATGTGTTACAGTGTATTACCTCAGCATTGCTTCTATTTTTTATGCACCAGTATATGTGATGTTTTTTTGATTTGTCAGTTAATGGATGCATGTGTCTGATTTTCTTATTTCTGCATGTGATAAAAGTGCTTTTCTCAAATCTCTATTCATAGGGGGAATTATGCCAACTTTGATGTATAAAAATGTTTAAATATAAATATGATTTCACATGTCATATTAGACAGAGGTCTACTTTATTATTTCAGTAGATATGTCTGGTTTAGTTATAAATGTGAATTTAAGTGGTCAAGATGTATGTTTAATGGTTGAATGAAACTCATAATTTCGAGCTCATGTGCAATATTTATCATTTTTGTTTCTTGGGTGCTGCAAAATCTCTGATTTCTTGCAGATTTAACAGCTTATTTCGCCTCTTTCCTCCTGTCCCGTGAAAGAGCATCAGACATTTCTTGGTCTTGCCTTGACTTTCCCTGTCTTCTCTCCTCTCCTCTTTCCTGCTGTAGATGATTTTTGTCAGACTCTTGTCGACACCCTGGAGAGCACACCTGGTCTGCGCTACATTTGGAGCACCTTCAAGCCGTTATTGCAAGGGAAAGTCCTCTACACACCTGATACACCTGCTGCTCGCCTCATGGTGAAAGAGGTAAGTCTAGAGAGAAAAATATAACATATTTACATGCATGCTGACTTCTCATGCCCTTGAAAAGTAGCTGAATATCTTGCTCACATTGGTGTATGGTATGAGCAATTTTAGTGAAAGCTGAAAACATTGTTTTCCATTTGTTTGTGGATACATTTGAATATCCTGTATGCAGGATCAGACCAATAACAGGTATCAGTAACTGTGAAGAAGCCTCCAGTGGAAGAATAAAAAAACAATGAATGTCACACAAAGTTACCACCAGGGGAAGAAAATAAAAACAGTGCACTAGTTAGTCAGGAGGTCTGTTCATGGAACCTGGTGAATGTAATGCATTTTCATGACATGACATTCCTCCAAGATATTAGCATTGTTTTGATAACTGCATAAGCAAAACAAACAACAGGCAGGCGGTGAGGGTTTTGCATCGAGAATTCGTAATGAGTTCACAGCAAGTGGCCCAGTGCTGGTGCAGAAGGCCCCTTTCACACCAGACATTCAGATTGTTTACAAGTCAATGTTCAGGGATAAATAACCCCATTTACATTCGTCACCATGGGGGGTTGCAGCGTTACAATGTGATGAGTTCCTCTAGGGATTAGCTGAAGTATTCAGATGTGGAGTACTTTCATGTGTGGATTGGCTCAGAGCAAACAGAATAGACTCAGTGGGTATGCTTTCAGTCAGGGAAAGGTGAGTTAACTTTATTGTAAAATAATACTGCTTTTGTTGTTTTTGTTTCAGGCAAATAGCACATTCAACGCCTTGGCTATGCTCAGAGAGCTTGCTGATTCGTGGGATGAACTCGGGCCACGTGTCTGGGATTTCCTTCAAAATAGCCCTCAAGTCAATTCAATACGGGTAAGACTCTAAGAAGCACTATTACAAAATGTGATTATTAGGTTTTCTGAAAAAATCTAGTTTCTCAACTGACAGGTAACAAGTTTTAATACTGAACATGTTTATTTTTACAGAAATCTTAAGAAGTTACCTTGTAAACTTGTTATGTACAGTCAGGTTTCACCTGCGGTACTTTTGGCTTCAGCTGGATAGTCTCAAAAAGCAGCTTTTGTATTATTGTATTCCACATTTACCTGTGCAGTACAGACTTAAAGGTTCAGTGTGTAACATTTAGGAGGATCTATTGGCAGAAATTGAATATAATCTGCATAACTGTTATAAAAATAAGAATCTGTATGTTTAGTTACCTTAGAATGAGCTGTTTATATCTGCAGACGCCGTTGGTCACCTTCCATGAAGGCTGCCATGTTGGACCGCCATGTTTCTACATTAGCCCACAACAGACAAACCAAGCACTGGCACTAGATAGGGACGTTCACACTTTTTGCGAATGTCATAGACACTGTGGTTTCTCCTTTGCGCTTGAAATGGGAGGGGGAAGTGAGGGAATTGCAATCTGCAACTACACCACTAGATGCCACTGAGTCCTACACACTGGACCGACATTTCTATTACTGGGCCAGGATTGTCCGACATTTCTGGAAATGTGCTTATTTGCTTTTTGGCCCTGAGTTAGATTGATACCACCCTTGTATATGTATGATTAATATGAAGCTACAGCCAAGAGACCATTAGCTTAGCATAAAAAGTAGAAACAGTTGGCCTGGTTCTTTCCAAAGGTAAAAAATCTGCCTACCAGCACCTCCAAAGCTCACTAACTCACTAGAACATGTGTAATTAGTGAGTTGTTTTTCTGGCTGGTTTTCATTTTTTTGTTGTTCCTTTTTTGCTTTTTTAATTAGACTCTAGCACATCAGCAGCAGCTGATTTACTCTTTTTCTCTCCAATTCACTGCAGTTTCCTATTCCTAGCTTGTCATGAGACAACCTCCTTCATTGCTTTGAATGCATAGAGACAAAATATCCTGGTATTTTGTAGCCGAAATCAGTAAAAAAAAAAAAAACGAGGCCTGATATATACTGCAGGTGAGAATATACATGTCGTGTATATCAATTTGTTGCACCTTCTGTTAGATATGGAAACCGAGGGAGGAAAGTAATTATGGATAAGTGCAGGATAATTTTCATCCTGGCAGAAAGGATTATCTATAGAAGTAGAGGACATGGACTCTTCGCCACCACTTCTCTCCCTCCCTCTCTCCTTCTCTCTCTCTTTGCCTCTTGCCGTATTTCCTTGACACTGACATTACTCCGGTGTCACTCCAAATGAGCTTATAGGCAGCTGGAGGGAAGCAGCCATTGGGAGCTCCATATAGCCAGGGTATTCATTACCCTAGCCCTAACCTTTACACAAATGGGCCGGCAATCCTCCTTTGTCTTCATTTTCTTCCAGCCCGGCTCTCTCTCTCTCTCTCTCTCTCTCTCTCTCTCTCTGCCTCTCACTACGAAACTGGTGGCATCGGAGGTTTGTCATCTTCAGAGGTCCTTCAAGGTCGCAGACCCGTTTTACGGTGATGGACCAATTACCATCACCACCACAGCTACATTTGAGACAGAAGATGTACGGTGTAGCGATGCATAGAAGGACATACTGTACAGAAACAGCTTACAAATAAAAGTGGGTTAAAATATGTTTCATGTAACTGCCTATTACTTTACATAGTGTTTACACGTTGTAAGTTGTAATCCTTATTTTTTCAGTCCTGGTTTATTTGGCGTCACCCGTGGTTACCTTGGAAACAGCAAGTGTGGTTTAATACTTCAGAAATAGAACAGAAGAGCATGGAGTATTTGTTTACTGTACAGCCAAACAGACTCCCTTTGTTTTAATAAAGAAGTCAGTCAGTAATCCACCCTTTTTCATGTCGCACCATGAGCAACTGCAGTCTGATTTCATGCTGCACATGAAAGTAGTTCATGTAGTAGTTTTCCACACAACAGTAGGGCACAATAAAGTTAATTACCTTTCTCAGAGGTTGGAGGTGGCATTTCAATGCAACTCTTCATCTAGTAGCTCACTATGGCAGGTATTCTTCGTTCCATTACTCCCTGTCACATATGAAAGTGATTAACTACCCAAGTGTGGTGAAAATGTCTTGATTGATTGATTTTGTGCTTTTAATGTGAAGCATCAGCATTAGACCACCCTATTTGCATTAGGTGTAACTAGAGTCAGGCTGTTATCAATACGATTCAAATAACATACAATTATACTGGTTAAGCGCATGCCTTGTTTTAATCTATTGTGGCGGACTCCGCCACTAAAAATAACAATAATAATACTATACAGAGAGGTAATTAGTGAATGTAAATACATCAAATGGCCGACCATAAATTTTTATTAAAAATGGCGTTTAATTTCATGAAAATCTGAGGGTTTATAACTTGAACTCAATGCTTTAATTAAAAACTATGAAATAAAAAGGACCCATACTCTCTGCAGAAAACAACTTTTATATTCTGGATATAGACCTTGTTTAGGAAGGCAAATACATTTAACTTCATCACTGAGAGATCCGCTCATGACGAGCAAATTAATTTGACACATGACCCACAAGGTTACATGGCATGTCTGTAACTCTCTTGCGCAAATACCACTGAAAATTATGCCACATGTAGTCGTAGCCTGGATGAAGATTTCAAATAGTGAGCTGACTTAACAGATACGGTCAATTTGCCGGCGTGACCACTGTAATTCCAAAATGACTCACAGACTTTAAAATATACACATTTTTGATGGGTCATGTCCTTGATGTCGCACCCACTAAGATGGATGCAGATTTTTTTTTTTTAAAAGGTCACATGCAGCATAGAGATTACTTAATATGACACTTTGTCTTAAGGTTAGGCAGAATATCATCAGAAGTGTTGACACTGAAATGCCACTGCACTGGCCAGAATAAATCTGAATCACAACTCAGACTTTCGCACTTTAGAGGCCATATTCTTGATTGACATACAGCGCCCTTTCTTCTTCAGTCCACACAGTCCACTTTCAAATGTGAACCATGCATATTCATCTTGTAGAATGATTGGTTTGGAAACAGTAGGTATGTTTTTTTTCCTAAAATTATAAATGGTATTTGATGGCTGTTTTAAATAACTTATTATCTCAATGGATTTAGTTTCCTTTTCAGTGTTCCTCTGTGTACATGACAGGTATATAATCACTCTTATGTTTAATTTTAGTTTATGTAGTAAGTAACACTGTCATTATAGGAACAGCGTTGTAGTAATAGTTAGGCGGTAATTTCACAGCAGCATGGAAATACTGGGTGGGAGTGAGGGGGAATGGTAGTAGCTACTAAATAGAGTGCAATGCGTTTAAACCAACAAGTGGGAGTAAACTGATCTTATTATGCAAGAGCCACTGTATTGTTTGAGGAGCTCAGAACTGTTTATTTCACACAACATTCTCACATATGCATATTCATGTGTTGTATACATGTAAGGTTTAGGTACTGAAGAGCAAGGTTGTATTTGCTTCTTATTCACCTTGATCAGAGGAGTTGCAGCTTGATCCATGGCTTGAGATGCCGGAAAGAGGCTTGACATACATGGTTCTTGCAAAGTGAAGGGGACAGAAATCAGCATTTGCCTATATGTCTGTTTCATGCTCTTGTATTTTTTACGTGTGTGTACAGGCAGTGTTTAAATTTGCATTCATTTTCACACTCTACTCCTTAATGTATGTCCATGTAAATGTGCATATGCTATGTGTGTGGGGGGGTACTGTACATTCGTAATGTATGCTGCGCATAAGCACTTTTTGGCCGTGAGAATAGTTAATGTTGTATCCCAGAGCCTGAAGTACAACAGTGCCATCTATCTTAACACTCCTAATTAATTCAGCAGAAGAATGAATGTCACAGCCACCAACGAACAAAGCTGACCTCCCTTGCTTTCTCTTCTAAAATAATACCCTTCGATCTAAACCGCTTTGGTCCTCAGTTAGATTCCATTGCATTCATGCCACATTCATTCTAAACCCCTCACTTGCAACCAGAGTGACTATAATTAAAACCATCTTCTTGCCTTTCTAAATCAGGCTTTGCTGGCGAATCCAGTGTTTGCTGCTGTCCTCAACCAGCGTCTCAGCGGCACAGCGTGGACAGCCGAGCAGCTGGCCAACTTCCTTTACAATGGGCCCCCGGAGGATCGTCCACCCGGCATGCCGCCCTACGACTGGCGGAACGTTTACAACAACACTAGCCAAATCCTGAAGCTTCTCTCCAACTTCCTTGGTGTATGTAATTCTTTTTTGTCCATGCTTTTATTAAATGCGTAGCACCTCATGAACATGACTTCCAGCCCACTCATGCACTTGAGGGTTCTCTGACCTCTTCAGTAAAGTGAGAGATTTGATTTAAAAAAATAAAAAACATTCTCTGACATTTAAGTTTTAAAAAAAAGATTATTCTCACTGGTGAGGAAATTGGGAATAGATGTTTTTCTGCCCTCCCTCCACTGTTCTCTTTTAGCCTCTCCCATCTGTGTTATTTATCTGGTTCACCTGATATTACCCATGTGGTTTCGATGGTTGGAGGTGGTGTTAAAAACAAGGGCTATATGACCTTTAAAGTGCTCAAACAAAAGCCTTTTTGTAAAAAAATAAGTTGATAAATTCTAATGTATCAACTTTTTTTCTGGGTTGTGGGGTTTGTTAAAAACACGATCCAGAGGAGGTAACTTTAGCCAGTGCAGCAGCATCTTACACAACCAATATACAGTCGATTACAATTGAATTTTTCACAGTGTCAATGGTAATTTCATTCTGTCATGATATTTAAACAATTTGCAGTGTCAGCTATTCAATTACCACATATACCCTTGTTTACAGACTTGAGGCAGTGATCTGGCACTAGTCTTGTATCCATGACACAATTGCTTTCCTTTGCTCCTCTTTCTGTTCACAACGGTGACACGATGGCAAAACATCAGGGGTTCTTCAGTATGTATGCTGGGAGCTTCGCATCTAAGTCGCAATGTGTCCATGTTCAGCACAGTGCTTTTTGTTTCTTAGCTCTGTTGTTGCTGTATCTGTGCTCTGCTGTTGTTAAAACCAAACTCAAGACTTTTCCAGATGACATGTCCGGGGATTTTTTTTTTTTTTTGGGAACTTGCTCACTCATTGAGCTTTTGTGTGTTTTCAGAGAACAAGCTGCAAAAGGGGCTTTGGTCTTTTATTCATTAAAGTTTAACACCCTTGACTTAGCATGCTGTCAAATACACAGGAAGATCTGTCACTACATTGCTTCCATGGTAATCATAAAAAAACATTGTTATGGGCCTGACTATAGTGAATCTGTAGAAGCATCAACTAGAGTGGAGTCTCTAAGTAGGAACACATACACACACTTGACATTGATACATTGATCTGTGGCACAGTTTGCAGCAAAATCCTTCTTTCTCTGTGTTGTGTGATCAAACATGTACAGAGCTCACACACACCCCCTGCCACACTCACACGGACACATTTCAATCCACAGGTGGGTATGATGGCAGTTTGGGCCCTTGGGGTTAGCCATACATGGCCAATGAAATTCCAACATAATGCAATCTATTTTCTGACTTTGCTCAAACTGGATACCAGGATAGGGAAAGTTATTAGACGTAAAGGTTGTCTAATAACTTTCCCCTTGATGTCCTCTTATCTGGGTGTATACATCTCTAGGGAAAAAGAGAGCTTTCTTTCAGTGTAGGGCAGAATACTTTTAGCACTGATGAGGCAATGTAAGCATGTGGAGTAGCCATAAGACAAAAAATTCTACACAGTACACAATTTAAACTGACCATGACTGACTGCACTGCATAATCTCTTTTACTGTTGGATAGAAAATTAGGAAAGTTTGCTTTTTCATAGCTTATCTTAAAGACAAACATCTTGTTCATCTGATGAATAACATAATTTAGCCTGATTTAATTACTTTTTGGTTACTCATTTTGTAAGCACAGTCTGCATGGTGAATAACCAAGCACAATTCATCTTTAGAGCAAACTGATTACTTTAGGATACATGGAGAAAAAAAACAAGCTACCAAGTGTCCACAGTGCTGATACAGATTCAGCACATCGAAGCGATAAACGCCTTGATAATATGTGTTCACAAATGAGTCATTTGTATCCTTGAAATAATAATCTGTGCGAGCAAATTAGTAACTCAAGATCAATGCCCAACAATCTGTGGCCATTTTATAATTGGCATGGCTTCTCTCCATGTTGCCACCACCAGCGTAAACAATCAAGCTGCATCCCTTTAATAGCACAGGCCCAAATTAGAGCTGCTGCTACCCTGCTTCATTTATGGCTGCCCCACAATTAAATAGGATCATGGTACTGATGGTGGAATTTATGAAAAATAGATAAGAATAGGAATAATCATGCAAACTGCATAACAGGTCATTATGAGTGGCGTTCATGGCAGCAGTAAGACTAAAGTAGTATAATTTCATCGTCTTCATAACCCTGAGATATATAAAGCTATATACATAGCTGCAGATTGAGAATACTGCATTACAGTATAGTAATGTTCTGCTTAAACATTAAGGACATTGGAGTAATTTCTCTAAGGATGAATGTATGATCTACCAAAGTCTCTCCGACATGAGCAGATAAAATTGATGTGTGGTATGTGTCATATCTTCTAAAAGAACTCACAGTATGCACTCACATGGCCACTTGACCATCACATTGGCTATGCAGTAACTTCATCATATGTTTGCAAGTGTTAATCACTTAACTATCAGTCTGCAGCAACCGCATAATCTCCACAAGCATGATGCTACTATGAGCAAAACAACTCAATGTGTTGCCCTGGATGTTCCTCTGAATTAGGCCAAGATGGGATTGGCAAGCTATCAGTGGTGCCAATTTCTCTGTCCAGAGCCCGAATCAGATTGTTCATATCAGACAGCTTAGCCTTAGCTGCTGGCCCAGTGGTCAAAAACAACAACAGAAAAACCCACCCAAAATGCATAAGCAATCTTACTCTATCCAAACAAACATCATGGCTTGTAGTGACAGAGAAATAGAGACATGAAAAGCTGTAAAGGCCATCTAGAAATGCGGTAGACTTTTGGGGTGGCTATTAACATGTACCTCCTATACCTAGTTTATGAAGAGCATTTTCCTCCATATATTTCTCTCAGCACTTGTCCAAACTTTGGGCTCATGTAACCATTCCGACGCTGCGACATCCTCACTTGTATGTTCTGAACCAATGCTGTGTCTGTGATATTTTGTTTCCCACCATAGCTTGATATAGAATACAGACTAGAGAATCCTTGGGGGAAATAATAAAACTATTGCGGCACTGAGATGTGTGGACAGCTGTCAGGTGTGACTGCCTCCCAGGATGGCTAGCTCATTATCGTCTCATGGAATAGGGGACAAGGCTACAGAACGGGGAGTGCTAGCGAGGCTGTATCTCATTTGCTTGTCTGAAGCCCAAAACATTTCCCACCCCCTTGCAGCTCCAGATAATTTGGAACTAGGCTCTGTGTGGTGTAGTCAATAGCTGAGTGACACTTTTTGCTAAATATCCATCTGCCATTCTGTCATTGAGTTCATGCCTGCCTTTTGTTTTATTCCCTCTTTTGTGGACACATAGTTTATATAGAACAGGAATGATTTGCTGTAAAAGAGATGATAGAACATTTTTGTGATACTTCTGTGTTTGTTGACAGTGTTTAGACCTGAATAAGTTCGAGGCAGCCCCCACTGAAGGCCATCTGGTGAGCAAAGCACTGGAGCTTCTGAAGAATGATACATACTGGGCTGGAGTCGTCTTTGAAAACCTCCAGCCAAACTCCAGCCACCCCCCTCCTTATGTAAAATACAAAATCCGCATGGACATCGATGAGGCAGAGCGTACCAGCAAAGTGAAAGACAGGTATGTGACGCAGTATGAAAATACTACATTTATTTACTGAACTGCCTTTTCTTACTGGCTCTTCCTGTGTAACACATTTTATAGCTTTTGTTTGAAGGAATAATATGACATTTTGGGAAATAGGCCTATTCGCTTCTCCTCGAGAGTTATATGAGGAGATTGATTCGACTCTCATATCTGTATGCTAAATATGAGGCTAGAGCCAAAAGATGGTAAGCTTAGCATAAAGACTGCAAATACAGCTGGTCTGGTCTGGTTCAAAGATGAATATTGGTAATTAAACAGTGTTAATTAATGAGCTTTAGAGGTGTTGGTAGGCTTTGGACAGTGCTAGGCTAGCTGTTTCCCTCCTGCTTCCAATTTCCACTACCCAAGTATTTATGCTAAGCTAAAATAAGCTAATAAGACGTGAGAGTGGTATTAATCTTTCCTTCTGACTCTGGGCAAGAAAGCTTTCCCAAACTTTCCCAAACTTCAAAGTATTTCTTTAAGCCCTGTGATTCTGGGTTTTATTATGTCCTTCCGGTTTAAGAAAAGATCTGATCTTTTTTTTTGTTTTTTAAAGTTTACTCTCAAACAATATGACACCTAAAAACAGTCATGATACTCTGACTGTATTTCTGACCATTCTGGTTGTAGTTTACTTGCCCTTTGCTAAGACAGATCATGGTGTGCTTGCTTTTAATAAGGTCATGGTCTCCTGGGGCCCGGGACAACTCCTTTAACGACCTGCGCTATATATGGGGAGGCTTCGCCTACCTGCAGGATATGATGGACCATGGCATTATACGAACGCAAACGTCAAAGACCCAACCCCTTGGTGTTTTTGCCCAGCAAATGCCATATCCTTGCTTTGTGGATGACGCGTAAGTATAAAAGCTTTTATCTGTCAGCCGTGTGATTAGTGGAAGAGGAAGAAGGTATTACAGCAATAAAATTCTGCTCACTCTGGGGAGTTGCCACTCACTGCCACCACATAGTTGAGTTATGGTCTTCAGTTTATCAGTCACTTAGGCCCTTCAGATTTCCCTGTGGTAGCTTCAAGATGCTCCCGCTTATTTGTCTAACTTCCCCTTTCTTTGACATCCATGGTGCTTTTCTGCTAGTGCCTCATGCTATCATTGATCACAAATGAAGGGACTCCTCTAATAAAGCGAATCTGCTTAAAGTCAATAAAACAAATGTAACATCCGTGAGGATAAATTTAAACATTTATTGAGGGTCAGAAAAAAGAAAAGAAATGAATGAAGACAACAAGTGCAAGAGTGGGCTAAAAGTATTGATTTTAGTCAAACCACAGGAAATTCCTGAATAGTTGATGGATGCTGAATTATTCAAGCAACCACCATGGGTCCTTTCCTTCCTTGTATTTCTGAGGCATTTCATTCGTGAGCATACCATACCCCACGTCTCACACAGCTCCATCATCTGAAAAGATTGACATCAGGACTCCATCTGTGTTGTGTACTGTATATATCCTCTGATAGCACCGGCTTCTATCATGTTAGACCATTCGCCTAGGGACAGTAAACGATGGGGTATCACTCTTGATCTTCCACAGCCAAGATTTCCTCAGAGTCTGGGAAATTACTCGCATCCACACAACATGATGATCTCCATTAATAAAGGAAAAGCCCAGTGATGCCATCAAGAGAAAAGATAATTACCAGGGAGATTTAAGTCCAACAACACAATACGCCCTTTTCAGTAGACACAAAATATTTACACCCCGTGGGAAAACACAGTTCCAGAGATTAGGGATCTAATTTAAAAATATTATGTGCTTTGGATGGCAGAGAATTTACAGTAAAGCAACCTTCAGAGGGTGTTTGGATAAACATATTTAAAGAGGCAGAAGTAGGACGAAGCATGAAAATTATGACTTCATATTGAAGGTTGCATTTGGGCTGCTAATATCTACAAGCATTGGAGTGTTGAATGCCTGTTTTGAATAACAATGCCCTATTCTATACCACATGCTTGTCTTGGAGACATGAGAAACATGAAGACATTGGGGCCTTGAGAACCATATTCAAAGTGATGGCTTTATTAATGTTGTTTGTATCATCCAGGGTTTCTATTGATTGTGCTTATTTCCTTCTGATTTATATTCACATTGTGGAGTCAAGATGAAATTCAGCTTCACTGCTTTGCGCTTTATTTTGTTGCTACTTTAAAAAACCTGGTTTTAAGACACATATTGCATATTTCTTTTTAACTGCCTAAGTGGGTGCGCTTGATTTGGCATGCCAGGCAACAGGATAGTTTCAGAAGTACTAATTGGAGGGAAGTTGAACTAAATATTGCGCCCAGTGGAGATATTCATCTGAGAGGAATTTTGGCATTTTGAATTAGCTAAATTACAAAATCATTCCCTCAATACATTAGCGGGTAGACACACTGCAGATGGAAGAAGACTGACATCCCTGCTATTGACGTTTTTTGCATTTCCATTCCATACCTTTCTCCAGGACAGTAACAACCAAAACTTGGCACCAGATTCCTCCATAGTATATTAATACACAGTGTTGTTAGAGGTTCCAGCATGCCACCTCTGATAGTGGTTTTGGACAAGCACAAGTTTCCTTGCACCCTCATTTAGGATTCATTGTTGTGATAGTGATCTGAAATTAGACAGTCATGTTACAGCTTATTTTCTAATGCCGGCCCCTGTTGGAAGTTTCATCTTCCTAAAACAAAGGATTAATAATTACAGAAGATAAATGGGAGCCATAAAACACTGCAATACCCTCAGTCCCTCCACCATTTACTCTTTCGCCTGCCTAGCCATTTGGGCATTTCTATAAATTATTAACACTTGAAAACTGCTATTTCATTCATAAATAATTTAGAGTGAAATCACACAAAGGAAGATGCACTACAACACAGAAAGCTATGGCGGGGAAAAACCTTGGTGGTAATTATTTTCATCTCGAACTGTGTAGTGTCATGAGCCAAGAGGAAGGAAAGAACATTGTGGATTCAGATGGACATGTTAGCAGTTTGATGTAGCTGTTGCTCAGTGTAGAAAAAGGTGTAATCTGACTTTAAGATGTCATTAAAAATCATCATCATTTAGATACTTTCAGATGCTGCAGGTGCTGTTTAGAATTCAAGAACATTGTATGTACAATCAATGGATAGAAAATACCCTGTTGGTCACATACAAAGTATACATGGTTCCAGTAGCAGTATAACATGCAATATATATTAAATATAAGACTAAATTGCAGTCATTTAATTATTACAACAATTTAGGCTATATCATATACATTTACAATATAATTTCTGACAGCAGGTCAGGAAAATGTTGCCATGACTAGTTTCTGTGAGAAACCTATCACTTCCTTTTTATCTTTCACTGATAAACTTCAACTAACACAGCAGTATTATCTACGCTGACCCCAACCCTCATCAACACTCCTTACATCAGACCTGCCTTTTCAAATCATTTCCTTTTTTTGCGTTCCTCATTTCCTCCTCGCAGCCTTTGACTGTATCTCACCTGACGAACTACCAGCGATCTGGGCCTCTGCAACCTGCTGACCCTGTTGGCATTTCAAACTTGAGATAAGCAAACTTTATTAGCTCCCACTGTCTTCGTATTCACATTGTGCGCAGGCCTCAGATGACGGTGTGGGATAAAGCTTGACCCTTTGCGGGGCCTGATAGCATATAAACTGGTCCTTTATCAGCGGCCTCTGAGCGGCTGCATGCTCCTGAATCAGAGGAATCTCTTGTTTGGCTACTGAGGCTGTGCTCTCCCGCAATAGGTCTTTCACATTCGCATGGGCTTGATGTGAGATCTAAGGCCGCTTTCAGTGATACATAACGCAGGCCTGCAGTAGATGTAATAATATTGATTGATTAAACTTGATTTATGGAATAATCAAATCAAGGATGTAAGATGAAAATGCTTTTGTCCATCTACAGTAGGTCATAATACACTGTAAGTCCAGCGCATATTGTTTTTCATATTGTTTATCCATGCTTACATAAGAGAACACTTGGGAGCAAAGACATGTACAGGAATAGGCTGCATTTTGATTCATTTTTACTAAGGCTAATAAACTATTTAGATACCAGGATGTCCAGATGCTGTATTTTATACATGCTAAATGGAAATGCAAAGCCTGAGTGTGTAGCCAATCAACATGTTGATTACCGCTGAAGCAGAGTGCACAATGAGAGCTGTGCATTAATGAGTTCATTTATTCATGTATTTGATGCTGTGTGACTCTTTTCAAGACTTGGCATTTAACAGCATCAGATGGAGGCACAGTGGCAGATCATGCAGTATTCATAGCGTCCAAGCACATTAAGTTGTGGTGCATTTGTAATGTGTAAAGTAATGTAAACTTTTAAACATAGGTTCTTTTTTCTTTTGCAAGCAGAATCACAAATGCAATATGTAGACAGTTGTGTCAAGCCATTTTGTCTGGACTATATGTTGAAAACAATACTTCTGTAAAACATTTGAGTAAGTGCATGAAGGCTTTATGGAGGAACACTGGCAATGGAATCATCTTCAAAACAAAACATGGTTGTTGTTTTTTTTGAACATCTCAAAATAAACCAGACTAAACGTGTGCAATAATTGCTATAAAGCCATATAAATCATTTAGGTTACATTCAATTTAATCTCTGATTTCATTTATTTTTTTTCATTTTGAGGCAACGTAAACAGCTTTTTCCAAAACCTGGAAAACTTAGAACTTGCCACTATGATCTAAATAAAACATGACTCCATAAATTTCTTTAATCCACATTACATTACATTCAAAGAATTCATTTAAACGTAATCAGTGCTTGGTTAAATAAAAAATGTTTCGCTCTTAAAGGTTTGTTGGCTGTTCTCCAAAAATATAAATTAGTTTGAAAGCACTTCTAAAAGATGAGATTTTATTTTATGCCTGCTTAAAAAATTGGCTCTGGCTTGTTTGTAAATTAATAAATAATGCTACATCACATATTACATCATAGGGACCTTGCAAATTCCACTCAGTTTGACATAAGATATAACTGACAAACATAATGCATTTCATGTAAGACCAACTGAGTGGAATTTATCTCTCACAGGTTTTGACCCCACTTTGATATAACTATGAACATACTGTACAGTACATACCATTATTATCTCCTACTGACTACTAGGCCTACTTCATGTTAAAGAATTTCATTTGTCTTTTTCAGAATAGATTAAATGATGCTTCTTGGCTTTTGCAAGTCTCTTTCTTTCTTTCTTTCTTTCTTTCTTTCTATTAATATTTATAGAAATATTCACACAGTACAGAACTAATGAAAGCAGTGCATCACTATTAACAGTTTTTATAAATGTGCTCCTCCTTTAAATGTATGGCTGAGATCTGAATTTTAAAATTGTATGATAATCTTTAAACTCTAGCTGATTCTCAAAACTTTGCTTCACTGTTGGTTGAAGGAATTATACATAGATTTATAGATCTGATCTTGCTGTTACAAAAAACACATGACATATGGATTCTACTTTTTATGCCATAACCACATGCACATTTTTCCTTAAGCAATAATTTGTACCAGCAATGAGATAATCCACATTGAATAAAGTCTGTTCCCTTCAATGAATTGCTCATTTCTAGCCAGCCAAGGAACTCAACGGTATATTTGCTCAAAATGAGACAGGAAGCTTTTTTTTTTTCTTCTTTTTTTTTTTTTTTTTAGCATGGTACGCCAACCTCTGGGGAGGCTGTGCTCTACTATCTCTTGATTTACTGAGAAATCAGTCTTCCAGCTTCCCTAAATTTAGGTCAGGCTGCCAGTGTAACTGGAGCCCCTTAACACAGACCCGCCTGGAGTTCTATTACTTAAGCACCTTTGATCGATCAGTGAATGTATAATTCAAGAGCATCTGGTGGCAAGGTTGTCAGTGTCAGACACGGTGTGCATGACTGATCTCTCCCCCTCCAGTGCTAGAAGTCACAGAAGGAGTTAACTCACACAGGCTGTCAGCTGTTACAGAGATGTTAGGGTAGAGTCAGGAGCAGATAATGCCAGAATTAGTATTCAACTTGATGCATTTGCTACTCGAGGCTGCTTGCCTCCCTAGAAAAGGTGCTAATGTACGAGTTAGCTGGTATTTGTTGAAGTGTATTGATTTCAGACTCTTCAATTTTGAATCTCCAGGTTCAAAGAGGCTATTTTATTTATGCAATCTTGTAACTGGTGTTATTTGCTCTGAGTCTGAACTTTCCGAAACTCTGTGTCAACCAATCCTGTCTTACTGCTTTCAAGGCCTAGTTTGTAAGTGAGCCATCCCACGAGGGCAGTGGAAGCGTCTTGAAAAACAAGTCTGTCTCTCTCTCCTTCAAGTTCTCATATAACTGAACTTCCTCTAAGGTCTCAGTGGAACTAATTTAATCTCTTTGTTGTGTTTGCAAGACTTTCATCATCAGTTGATTTATTGACAAAAGTGTCTGTACTAAGCAATATTTTGCATAGACTCAAGCTTAAAATTAATGAACTTGTACTTGCCTTGTCCCTGGTAACTTAGTACAATGTCAAGTTATTGTCTGACATGGAAGCTGTAGGTTAAAAAAAACTTTTTAAAGAGACATTAATTTATAGCAGTTTGAAAAGAAAAAAAACGAACAAATTGCTGATTAAAAATCACCTCTTGAAATAAGCACTTATACAGGGCTACCTAGCAATTATGGTAAGTAGATGTTTGCGTGAACTGCTCTCACTTGGCATGGATTCAATAAGGCCTTTATAAAAAAATAACTTTCATAAAAATGTGCTTTGATCAATTGTTTATGTTAAATCACTTGAAAGAAGAGCATCATTCTGCCAATTACAGCGCATTCACTTTGTGTTTCAGCTCTACATCCTTGCTGAGCAGTGCTTTGCTTGCATTATATCCCCGGTATTTATGGAATGCAAGCATAAGTGATATGTGAAATCTATACTTTGTCCAAATCTATTTGATATGCCTCCTTCACTGTCTAATAAAGCAAAGGAAGCACTTTGTTATATTGGCAGAGGAGGAGATATTGACATGGCATTTTGGTGGCATTATGAAGCCGGTTTAATATCACCTTATTGTGTTGTAACAGCATCAAATCATACATCATCCCTGGCATGAGGTGCGGCACTAAATGGCTTGATTGAGCCGATGCACCAGGTTTATGAAGGTTAGCGCAGTATAAAAATAAAAAACGCCCCAATGGCATTGAATGCATGAGTACGAGTCTGATTGTCTTGATTGTCCCTCATGATAACATTTTTAGTATCTGCAAAATAGTTTCCTTATACTTTACCAGAGCAAGTAGAGGGTAAGACTGCAAAAGGGCAACTTTTAAATTAGAGTGTGAATTTAAAAAGCAGATTCACTTTTTGTTATTATTTTTTCTGGTTATGCGTCCGTCCGTCCCTTTCTCGTTATTTCTTAAAACGTGGCACAAACGTCCTCTTGGATTCAATGAGGACCTGATTAGAATTTGGTAGTCAAAAGTCAAGGTCATGAAACACATGTTTGGCCATAACCTAAGAATTGATGTTGTAGTTTTGGCAAAACTTCATACAGATGTTTAATGGGATACAACAGTGATGTGATGACATTTTTTATCAAAACGGTCAAATGCCAGCTTTGCTGTGAAATGATAACGTCCTGGAAAAACATTATAAACATTGCTTGGCCATTATTCACCACCATTACTCGGGAACAGAAGAGGAGATTGTCACCATATTCCACAGTTGGTCGGATACTAAATTGGATTGAAGAATGAAGTGGATAATTTCAGATTTCCCATACATGTATACACCCAGAAAATGATTCTGCAGTGCATCTTTTGAATTTTTATCTTGCGGGATGTAAACAGCAGCAAAAAGATAGTGATAATCATATGGTTTCATCTTCACATCAAATAAAAAACAGTGTCCATCCACTTTGACTGCATTTGAGCACCAAGCATCATTGCTGTAAACAGAGAGTCCGCCTCCTCTCATCATGCACTGTGTCTGCTCTGAACACGGTCTGCCTGTCGAGTGCTCGATCCGGGATGTTGATGGAGCAGGTCTCTGAAGATGTGGGCGCAACAGTCCCAATCAGCCAGGAGCAGCCTTTAGTCCAAGTATCATCTGAAGAAGAGACGTTACTTGTAGGCACATACTGGAATTTAGGCCTATACAATCTGCTTTAAACCCTCTTACTGAGTATCCATAGTAGTACCCATCTGCCACTGTTGCCTCCATCACTCTATCACTGACGAATTTGTCCATATACTGTACACTCCCATTGTTGACATACAATCCTGACCTTTTTGATTGCTTTCTTCTACAACCAGTTTCATCCAGAGTATTGGTGGCATCCTCCCCATGTTCCTGGTGCTGGCCTTCATGTACACTGTGTGCATGACCATCAAAGGCCTGGTGCTGGAGAAGGAACTCCGGCTCAAGGAAGTGCTGCGCGCTGTTGGCATTCAAAACGGCGCCCTTTGGTCTGCAACGTTCACTGAAAACATTGTTCTGCTCACAGTTCCCTGTCTGCTCATAAGTATCATGGTTAAGGTCAGTAGAAATTAGTCACTCAGTGGAAAGTATCAAAACACAAAGCATACAATATGAAAATAACTAAGGTTTGTGAGGTTATATTCTTGAGAAAGTTTTCATGATAACAAAATGCTCATATGTTTTGGAGAATTGTATCACCCTTAATGTGACTGCATATTCCCGTACTAAATCATTTTCATTCAGGAGATAACTATATATATAACTAGATATACCTATATCCACCCAAAAACACAATGACACACATGACAGGCTTCAGTACAGCTCATAAAACGCAGCAAAACCAAGCAATTTGACCAAATGCATCCAACCAAATAATCTGATGCTCTCACGGGTCATACAGGTCAGGGAATTGTTCATGCTTTGTGTTTTGGTATTCTTGCTGTTGTTAATCATAACCAATTAACAAATCAAATCATCACCCGTAATTCCTCAAATGAACCTTCTCGGGCTAATTAATTGAGCATGCAACCAAAACGACAATACAGTCAAATTAAAATCACAGCCGTTGTATCTGCCTTTTATTTCCCGTAATTGCGTCACCTCTCCCTCTGTGCCTTATACATAAAGAAGGCTTCTGTTTTGTCATTTGAGAAGTGAATGATCGGTACTGTATATTTCTGTGATTGCACTGACAATGTATTATATTTTGCCAGTGGAAGGCTGTGCACTATTTTTGCATTATTGAATTTGCAAGGTAATAATCATAAGTGGGAGTAATAGTGGTGCACCAAAGGCAGAAAAGTTCAGAGAGAGGCTCTAGTGTGTGGACTAAAATACATTTTGCAGCCCAGAAGTTCTTTTTTTTTAATATACACTGCTCTGGTTTGTATGAAAAAATAAGATAAATTGACTTTGCTTATGTGAAAGAAATATGAGCAAACAACATTAATATTTGGCTTGTTTGTTTTTTTCTGTGTTAACTAAAACTAAAGTTACAGTAACCCTTCCAAAATAATATGAACTTGAGACTACTCATCAAAGCACTGTGTTTAGATTTTATATTATCGAACATTTTTAGCAGCCTTTGAGCTCATGCATAATGCACCCAGGTTGGAGCAGTATGGAAGAACAATACCTTATATATCGTCATGCTCGTGATGTACAATGCACTGTAAGTACAATCATCTAATGGGTCTAACATCATCAATCACTGGAAAAACTTTGGAACAAAATGCAAAATCGAGTTGGTGTTATTCCCAGAAAAGAGGCTAAAGAAATGTGACCAACATTAGTTATGTGTATTATCATTTGTCCTATTTAGCAAATACTAGAAATATGGTTTGGGCTGTGAATGCTTTTTTAGTTGTTTATATATGGATCCCTCTGTTAAATCAATGATTTGGTGAGGATATAATGGGCTTGCTTATCTGTTGGAATGATCCTCTGCTTAAGGATTGATTAGGAAAGATGCAGAAAGCAGCGTTATCGCGAAATGGAGACCCTTTGTGCCTCCGGTGACATACGATGTACCAGCGTTATTATTGGCCTCCTTTAGATCGAGCGCATCCTTCAACGGCTCCTTGTTCTGTAGCCGTTGTTAATGAAATAAAAAGGGATGGTTATTTTATATCGGTCTAATCAATTTTTGCAGTTTAATTGGAAAATGTGGCTGGTAAATAAAAACTGATATTTGAACAGCTGGGTGAAATGTAATTTCCCATCAGCCTAATGTGTTTGCAAGCCATCAACAATTTGTAAACATTAATAACAATAAATTGAGTTAGTTGAGTGCCTTGGAGGAGCAACTCTGAGCGCAATGTGTATTCAGATCACAGGCCCATTCTAAATGATAATTTCACAGCCATTTTCAGCACATTAATAATAATAGCAAATCAAATGGTAATTATCATAAGGCTGTATCTGGATTAGGTGTGACAACAACAACTTTTGTCATCTGCACCTGAGTCTTCTGTCATTTTACACTTGTTTTCTCTTCCATTATGGAGGAGGTAATGCATGTATTATTAGGCATCTAGACTGATATATTTACACTGTTTCCACACTTGGCTCCCATCTCAAACCAGCTGAATGAAGTCACTTGTTTGACAAGATCTTTTGTTATGAAAACTAACACTGATCAGGGATGATCAATAAACGTTTCCGCTCCCAAACAGGATGTCCTTGTTTTGACAACGTGAAACCACCTTGCGAATGTTTTGTCATATTTGCACTCGGTCATTAAAATTTGATTAATTTGTTGTGCACAACAACACTGGGCACTGAGAAAAGAATGCAAATGACACCGTCAGAGACCACCTTCACAGTTGGAAGACAGCTATTGACATCCCATCAATCACCCATGCACAAAGGACTTAAAAAATGTATAAAATGAGACAGTATTCAGCCAGAAATGGATAGTGGTGAAACATCACATTTACCGTAGTTCTTCCATTTAATGCTACTTTTTATTTCCACTACAATATAATGAGGAATATTGTACTTGTTCATGGGCATAGCACAAAGTTCTGCACTCTGTACATGCTGTAGGCATTCTCTATGGCCCCTTCCTGCATCCATAGCTATTCATTCTAGTATGTTTGGCCCTGGGTACACCTGGCGTTACGTGGTTCTTGGGTTATCTGATCACAAGTGGACAACTGTAAGTACATGTCTGAATGCACCAGGGTCGCATTGAGGACACATTTAGATCCGATTGTTTCATTCATTCAATTCTGAAAGTAGGATTTTTACTTGGAATTGAGTAAACTTACATTTTGAAATAACTATTCTTACTGTAATTTTTCCTCTGAAAAATGGCATACCTATATGAAACTTGCTACATGAAATGTTCAAGAGTACTGTCAAGTGCAAGTGTTTGGGATTTTAAGTGCCACTATAATGAAAAGTCTGTCAGTTGCCAACAGACTTAAAGTCATTTTTCTCCTGGTACTAACAAAAATCTGTATTTAAATATCTCCCCTGGGGAAGGAAAAATGCACGCAGAGTGCATTGTAATCAGAATTCTTATGGACTGCAGTGTGATAAAATCTTAGCCAGGTGGAAATGCACTTTACAGTTTTTCTTTAAGCAGTCATAGTGAATATTTATATATTAAAAATGGATCAAATGACCGTGTACATTTGAAAGGGGTTGATGAACCCACAAAGAATTATCCCCCTCCTCTCAGCTCTATGGAGTCTTGTCACCTCTTTATTTGGGTTTGTGTCCGGCAGCTTTACTGTTTTGGTTCAGTCTCACAGCTCTCATCAGCACCTTCTCCACCAGTGGACAGCTTTTTTTGTTCAGCAAGAAAGCTCTCAAAAAAACCCACTGTATGCTACCTGCCCAGCAACAAACAGCAGGCAGACAATGTTAGCTACTATCTGGTGAGCATAGTGGAACATTTAGCAGCTAAAGAGCCAGCTATTTCCCTCAGGAGTAGGAGATAGCAAAACTGAGCTAATAGGAGAGTGAATATTGGAGGTAACTCAAAATGAGTGTTTGATTTATTTACTTATGATTTGGGGCACTTAATGCCTTCATTACATACAACAATGGAGAGACGACAGGAAACTAAGGAACGAGAGCTCCAGTATAGGTCCTCGGGCCAGATTCAAACCGGGGATGTTGCAATTTGTGGTCGGTGTCTTTACCTCCCTACTGCAAATGTATGCTAATGTTGCTCCATATCTGTTACCGAATGTTTGTTAATGTTTGTATGTATGAGTTTGCTGATAATATGTCATTGTTGTTTTTACTGCTTGTTTCTTCTGCCCCCAAGTGGCCAAATGATAGGCTAATGAAAATCAACCAAACAAGTTTAGAGGTTACCCAATTTTGCCTTTTCCTGCTACCTCAAGCAAGCCTAATGCTGACCTTCTCCACCTTCCTAAATTGCTTACTGAGATACATTTATAAGAAGGGGAGAATCAAGGTAACCAATATTAATTTAAATCTTTTAATATTGGTATAAATGTAAAGGTCTGGGATCAGATGTCATTATCCAGGAAAGGTATCCAGATACAGGTTACATATTAGTACCAGATGTAAACGGGATCATTGTCCTGTCTGGTCTGGCTCCTCCACCCAACAGGTTCCTCCGGACTCTGGCCCGCTCCCTCCCATTATACATGACTTTAGCCTGGATCTACTCAGTGGCCATGATCATTAAGGCTATCGTCGCAGAGAAAGAGGCCAGGCTTAAGGAGACAGTGAGGATCATGGGCCTTAGAAGTTCCATCTATTGGCTGAGCTGGGCAGTGTCCAGCGTTCTGCCGCTGGCCATCAGCGCTATCCTACTTGCACTTATACTGAAGGTGATTTGAAAATGATTTAACAATGATTCAAGGAGGACCCAACACTACTTTTGGAGAGTTTTGACCATCAAGCCTCTTGGACTAATGAGGCTTTTGTTTAAAATAATGAAGATGCTAATTTGAAGAGAAACCTCAGCACTAAAATTGGATCATTTTACTTGACGCCAACACGGTTGTTCATTTAGTCTGTGAAATTTAGAAGAGTTTCTATAATGAACATTCTTACAGCTCCATGTAACAGTATCCTCTATAAGGTTTTTAATCATAATTGCATCCATTACAATAGCACCATTATCCTAACAGTTCAAGTGCCTCTTTGAATTAGGCTCGGAAAGAACATCAGCATCATGGTGTAATGTGGGAGAATGGATGGATTCACAAGTAGCTCACTAAAATTAGAGAAGGGTTCTCCTTCAAACGGGCAGACTAAAAGAGTGACATATTTAATGACTTTCAGATTATGTAACAGAATATCAGTCAACCAGAAAAATGTTCAGGTGTGTCAGAAATATTGATGTATTGATACACCAGATGTTTTAACCATTTCAGAACTCTTCTACTCTGCCTGTTATATTCAAAAAATCAGATATAATAATCACATTTTCTGAATTTCCTTGATAAATAATCTGCAACGTAACCTCTTCTACCAAACCTCAAACTTTTTTGGTGTTCTTTTCACATAAAATTTCTCCTTTTTTCCTGTCTTTCATTTGTTTGTTTTTTCACAGTATGGCAAAGTACTGCAATACAGCGACCCCTCAGTAATCTTTGTCTTCCTGCTGGTGTTCTGCCTGGCCACCATCACTCAGTGCTTCTTCATTAGCGTCTTCTTCTCTAAGGCCAATTTAGCAGCGGCGTGTGGTGGCCTCATCTACTTTGTCCTCTACCTGCCGCACGTCCTTTGCTACGCCTGGAGGGATGTCATGGGTTTCCAGGCCAAGGTTGTTGTGGTAAGTCCATCTTTGGCATGGTTTTTAATATCTTCCCTTACTTTTATCATACTCGAGGGTTGACTGTATTTTGAGTTATGTTCCTTGGTTATGTTTTTGCCACTATAATCACACTTTGGCAATCACAGTCCTTTGTTCCGTATCCTTTTCCTTTTAAATCCAAACAGACACAAGCCTGATTTGATCGGTGCTGGTTGTTATGAAAGGAAGTGAATTCACTGCCAGTGTCAATAATATCTGGAAGAGATCTGCCTTTATCGTACCTGCACAACTCTCCTGATAATGAGGTGTGAAGTGTGGCTGCAAGATGAATTTAGAGGTCCAGTGAAATCGCACATTGCTTTTTCATTTGTTCGGAAGTATTTTGGGACAAGCACGAAGAATTTTGTTAAACCTGGACATACTCGAGTGACAGAAACATGAAACATTTACATAAAAGAAGACACTGGGCAGACACACAGCGAGGAAGTTGGGGATTTTCTCTTATCCTCTAAGGGATAAAGATAAATAGTACAGCATTGCTCAACTTTCAGTGTAGCCTTTCTGCGTGACCTTTATGGCAGTGCCTGTATCATTCGTCCTCAAGTTGTCCCTTCTGCAGACAAAGACACACAAAATCTTGAATCTTCATTTCCGTGTGTGCAGGTGCGTCTTCTCAGAATTTAAATCAGGTCATGTTTTCTTGTTTGTCAATTTCAACAATATGGTATCAGGTGTGGGTGGCCAAGGTAAACAGCCTAATTTTTCTTATTTATCAAATTGAAACAGTGGCAGTCAATAATATCTTACATTGGCACCTGACAGAAGTCACTTCTGCTTTCATATTTCATCCTTGGAGACTTTTTAAACCTTGCTTTTGCCAACAAGCAGTGCAAACATACCTGCTGAAATTGCTTGTCTTTGAGTAAGTCCTTTAAAGTGATGTCATTCTTTCGCTTTAGGAAACTTTTCAGTCCATTTCCTTTTACAGACTGCATGCAGGTTAGGTAGGCATTTTACATTTAAAGCACTGCAAACCTTATTTAATCTCTACACAAAGTGCCATTGCTAGGTCCTCCCCTGGCGCTGAGATTTTTCTCCCCTGCTCCAACTAGATGGATAGCCCTCTAGCCCTCTAATTAGCATGAGCAATGTTCCTCTGACCAAACCACTATCCAGTTCATCCTTACACTTTATCAGAGATGTGTGTGTGTGTGTGTGTGTGTGTGTGTGTGTGTGTGTGTGTGTGTGTATGTGTAGAGGTTTCTCTCTCTCCCAGCTCAGATGAAACTACATCGTGCCAAGGCATACAAATTCTCCCCCACATTGTCCTTGATAATGAAGTCTTTAATCTGAACAGAATTTTCAAAAGATCCCCTGAATTTATATGAACAGTTTTTGATTGCAGCTATGTGCCAAAGGAGAGCTACAGGCAGTGTAACGGAGGGACACTGTAAGACATGGCATAGTCACAATCCAGCTACTCACAGTATCTACTGTACTTTGACTATTTTCTCCTTTCTTTTACCTCCAGTTTTAAGTTAGGTACAAACAAGAGAGACAAGAAATCAATCTTTCAGTCCGACGAAATTCAGTCCAAGAAAAGTGGTAATTACAGCAAAATCATTTAACACATTCCAGGTTTTCCTTTGCTGAAATACATTAATTGATCTATGCTTTTTGCAACATCTGGCAGCTGACTTACAGCTTTTTGTCTGCTGTTTTAATTACTTTTTATTTTATTATATTTAAAAGTAATTTTGTATATTAGCACACATTTTAGACGCAGACAGGAAACAAGGGCAAAGAGAAGGGTCTATAAATGGCAGAGAATTGTCACAAATGTCTGTACAATTTCCCAAAGCCTTAGATAATGTCTTCAAATTGCTTGTGTTTGTGTCAAAACCCAAAGATATTCCAGTTGCTAATCCTCACTTTTAAGAATCTAAAACAAGGGAATCATTGATAGTTTTATTTGAAAAATGACTTAATGAATTAATCGCTCATCAAAATAACTGCCAATTTTCCATCAACTGACCAATTTGTTGCTGGACTAATTACTGCAGCCAATTCATTCTGGGAAACAGTTTCCAGACAGACAGTGTTTGTACTCTGACATTTTCATGTAAGTCTTCAGACAGAAACACATTTGTCTCTGTTGTGATCCTGTCCGTCGTTCCCGCTCTACTTGTCAAAAATGTCCTGCAAAATGACTTCTGAGCTTGAACCCTGATTACTCTTCCTCTTAACAATGCTCTTTGTCTGCAGCCAGCCGAAAGGTGGCTGAATCTGCAGTGTTGACATGTGTTCAATAGAGGGGGCTTGTTTGGTCTGCCTCCCAACTCATGCCCTTTTCTCAAAAGCCAAAGGAGGTTCCTGTCGTTTTGTCAGCCATTCATGCAGAGGTCAAGGATGGGTGCCCACTAGCCCTGCTGTCACCCCTCATCCACTGACTCACTGTTGATTGCTTGGCAGTAGACGGGCAGTGGAGGACAACACAGGAAGTTGCCAGAGGTGTTATCAGCCGGGCTAGTGGTTTGGCGTCACTGCAGAGCTTTTCAGATTCTCTGCATGGTAATGTAGCATCGGGTAGACAGTATCCACGATGGTTCGTCTCTGAAGCTTCAGCAAATGCTTCTGCCGGAGTGAAAATGCTGTGAGCAAATGAGGCATGATAAAACAGCTGGCAGGCAACATGGCAATGTAGAGTGATAGGCCATGGCAGAGGATGTCTCATGGGCAAAGCATCATTTGCAATTTCCTACTGTATGAAAGATCCAACAAATCTTAGTTTTCAGCACACACATTTTAGTCTCCATCATCGTTTTTGTCTGAATTTAAAGTCATTAGAGATGTTCACAAAGGCAACACAGCAGTTACACCAGCTGATGCCTGTGTCGATATTGTTCCTCTGTCTGCTGCAACAGTTTATGGAGCAGTTGTTGGTGTGACCTTGGTTAGTAGCTGTATTGTCTTAATTATTATTTTTATGTTTTATTTAGATTAATTATTAAGATTAAGTCATCAGCTGAATTTAGTAACCGAAGGCTATTGCACAGAACGTTTTATTAATTTTCCCAAATGTATCATGAAATATTCTTTGAGGCAATACCTTATTACTTTAAGGATGTTTTGGGAACTACATGTATTCAATTTCTTGCTGAGAATTAGACGAGAGAACGTACAATAATGTATGTTAAATTAGGAGCTAGTAAATGGTAAATGCACTGCACTTATATAGTGCCTTTCTAGTCTTCCGACCACTCAGAGTGCTTTAGACTACTACTAGAAATTAACTCAGTCATACAAATTCATACACCGATGCACAGCATCAGGCGCAATTTGGGGTTCAGTATCTTGCTTAAGGACACTTCGAAATGCTGGAGGAGTTAGCAGCTGGTTAGCTTAGCTTAGCATAAAGACTGGAAATAGAGGGAAACAGCTAGTCTGACTGTTGACCTGTCCGAAGCTAACAGAATCTGTTCATGTTATGTGCCGAACCATTTTGTGGCTTATATTTCCAGTCTTTATGCTAAGCTAAGCTAACCAGCTGTTGAATCCAACTGCATATTTAGTGTACAGGCATGAGAGTGGTGTCAGTTTTCTCATCTAAGGTACTAACTACTCGTTTAACTAATGGATGTTTTTTATTTCTTTACTTCTACATTACTTTCATTCTCAGAGTTTATTGTCATGTGTGGCCTTTGGCTATGGCTGCGAGAACTTTTCCAAGTATGAGGAGCAAGGCATCGGTATCCAGTGGTACAACATTAACAAGAGTCCAGAAGAGGGAGAACGCTACACCTTCATCGTGTCCATCGTCATGATGCTCTTTGATGCTGCTTTTTACTGGGTGCTCACCTGGTACATTGAGAATGTCTTTCCAGGTATTCATTTTTAAGCAGAATAATTAGTATTATGTTATTTGTACACTCTCTACCACTACCATAACTAGAAAAAATGGAAAGATACTCAAATTTGGTGTTTTATTTTAGTCCACTTGCATGCAATCCACTCTCCTCAGTGTGAATAACTAGCTAATGCAACTACTTTAAGAGGCTGGTCTTAATGCTTTTCTCATCGACCCTAATTAAAAGAAGACAGGATTTGTGCCAGGCTGTCAAGAGGAAACATACACTGTAAAGTACCATATTCCCTCGAGCCAAACTGTGAGTAATGTTCTGCACGCTTGATCCCAGGCCAGTATGGAATCCCTAAGCCATGGTACTTCCCTATCACTGCATCCTATTGGTGTGGCACACCCTCAGTGACCGACGTTGACCCCGACTTGCTGAAGGAATCCACTGTGCATAACGGTAAACTGCCATAAAAACTTTCACTTCTCACTTGTGCTGTGTAACTGCAGTTATTATGTATTTGTCAGATTCTCAAGTTAATTGGGGAGTAAGTTAATTGTGATGGGTCGCAAACAAACATTAGCACCTTATTTGTCACATAGGGTGATAATAGAGCTTGGCGCATTGTGGTGGAAAAAAGATGAGGAAAGAAAGGAACTTGTTAAAAAAAACAATTTCCAATTAGCATTCAGGGTTAGTTATTTTTGTTTTTTAGTGCTCAGCAGTGTTTTCTTTTCGCTTTTTTTTAAAGGCCCAATCACTATTTTTGACAACATTAATTAAAGAAATAATCCTAAACTGCACATAATTAAAACTTTGAGAGGAGATGTAACATTTTGTTTAAAGTGTAATTGTGTTGTTATCTTGTGTTTACATTTGGATCATGGTTTGTCTTTAAAAGATATTTCTACCTTTAAAAAAAGTTCTTGCAGCTTTTATTCTCGTTTCTCTGTTTTATATGTGTGTGTTTATGAACATATGTGTCTAAAGAGCACCTGGAGAAACCAGCACCAAACATGAACGCAGGGGTCTCAATCCGCAATCTTGTTAAAATCTACAAGACTGGAAAGAAGCTCGCCGTGGACGGACTGAGCATGGACTTCTACGAGAATCAGATCACATCTTTTCTTGGCCACAATGGAGCCGGAAAAACAACCACAATGTGAGTTGCATTATCTGTTTCGCCCATGCTTTGCCACTTGTTTGTGTAATTTCACAGGGTGAAACTAATCTAACTTGTGCACAAGGCGGATTGTACTGTAGCTACATTAATTCAGTGGTAGCTGTTGTCAAAGGGTGACATCTTCGGAGAGGACATTTATAACACGGAGTCAGCTGTTGTGTTTATAGTGGGACTTATCTAATTGATGTTTAAAAAAATGTAGTGGAAAGGTTTGAATGGTGCTTAGGATGACAGGAAATAACTGAAACTCAGTGGCCCAGAAAGAATGAGAGCGAGAGAGAGAGCGAGAGAGAGGAGAGAGAGAGAGAGAGAGAGAGAGAGAGAGAGACACACACACATAGAGAGACAGAGAGAGAGCAAGTGATGCAAGACTAAGGGCTGAAGGGAAGACATCCGCTCTGAGCAACTGTACCGAAACATAACAGAGCACAATAACAGAAAAGGACAGAGAAAGGACTCAGTCACACACTGAATCACACTCTATCTATCTGTCTATGATCTGTGATGTTACAATTCAGTTTGTACCCAAAATATTAATCATTATTACCACTTAATATTAAATGTTGTTTGAGTGTTTGTTTTGTCAACATTGTTGTTGTCTTTTTTGACTATTTTATGATCTTTTGTAGGGTTGAGGAAAAAAACAAAACAAAGCTAAGCATTGTGATTATTTTATTGTTTACCACTTTTATATGCAGTACAGCAATGATGCTGCTGAAATCAAACATTTTTTGCGGGAAATTTGATATGCAGTCTCTAGAAGTCTATGATTCAACTTTTTCCAATGGCCTTGGGTTAAAAAAAGCAAACAAAACTCTTCTTATCAAAATTTCTGTAGAATAAGAATCAATAGAAAATAAATCGGAAATCCCCAAGTACTGTGAGCCTATCGAAATGGGAGATAAGCATTTCGTCCCAGCCCTAACCTTTTGTATGTTTTGTGTATTTCTGTCCATGCTAGTAAGTGATTAAAAGATAATTAATGACCTAAGGCTGAAATTAGTGAAGTTAATTCAGATGATATGAATAGTCATTACTCCAAATATCTTAATGCAGAAGTACAGGACTGGTTACATTTTTCAGTACTTGGGATGAAAACATATTTTTCCTTCTTTATGAGCTTTAAATTAACATGGTTGATGAGGTAGGACATAATATCTATTGACAAATATGTTTAAATGGAGCAGGGAATAAATCTAATACACCATTATGTTCAACCAGCTGCTTCTAAGTTGCTTCTAGCTCTCCTTTTGAGTGCCTCTGCAGCACTATAACTCTATATTAGATTATTCATCATGAGGCAAAAACAGCCAGAATGAATCTGTAAGCTGTGTGTCTTGTTCTCTGTAGGTCAATTCTGACAGGACTGTTCCCACCTACATCAGGAACAGCTCTCATCAACGGATATGACATCCGCACTGACATGGACAGCATCCGACAGTACTTGGGAATGTGCCCACAGCACAATGTCTTATTCAGCGAGTGAGTGAATTTAGCAGATCCATCTTTGTTCTCACCTGGTCATTGGTATAATCATGTTTTGCCTCAGGTGTGTTTAAAAAAAAAAAAAAACAGCAAGAAAGAAAGAAAGAAAGAAAAAAACATCATTACAGTGCAATTTAATCATATGTGTAATGAGGGCTCAGTCTCGGCTTATGTTTCACAGCAACACGTCATTATCCCTTTCTCTTTTTCTTTTAAAAAATGATATGAACTTTGTTCACTCCATCCACTAAATTTCTCATAATAGCATCATTCCCGACCATTATTCCGTTTTTTTAATTTCACCTTTAGATTCCCCTCTATTTCTCTCTCTCCACAAGCTGATTACCTGCAACTCGACAGTCCTACATCATAATTACGGTTGAGCACCTGCAAATTACCTTCATAAATATTAATCCCAGACAGTCAAAGCATCTATATTGAGTAGTGTTAAAATATTCATGCAAACATAGATGAAGACATATTGTGTTTGGAAGAAATTCAAGACTTTTCTTTACGTCAGTTCACAGAAAAAGCGGCATCATCTTGTACAATGTGTCAATGTGACATTTTGGATATTTCAAATGCTTACATATGAATAAGTGGTCACCCATGCCTCCTCGCATATCAATCATATTGACCGTTGTGATATCACTTCCACCTTTGCAGGCTGACAGTGGAGGAACACATCTATTTCTACGCCAGGCTGAAAGGACTCAGCCGCGATGAAGTGAAAATTGAGATGGACCAGATGATTAAGGATGTTGGTTTACCACATAAGCGGAAGGATCTCGCTAAGAACCTGTCAGGTGTGTCTGTATGTGCATATGTTGACATGCTTTGGATGTGCGCATCTCGGAGTTGAAATTATGCGGAGATGTAAATTTAGTTTTTGATGTGTGCATCAGTGTCTGTGCTCGGCATTCATTTCCCCTGGGAAGGAATATCATCCGTAGATTATCCTTTCTATTCAGGATAAAGCTGCCCTATTATGCCATTCCTCTGCCAGCACATATGCATGCGGCTGTCTTGACGTACACATGCACTGTACCTGTGTGTCACAGGTTGTAATTCATTTTCTGGGGGGCATGAGCAAGTCCTGCTTGATAAATTGTCCCCAGTCACAGATTGCTTGTGAGCAAAATCACTGAAATATGACTTTCAAGGTTGATCTATGCTGACATTTCCACTACATTAGCACTACATTGGATGCATTTTGAAGAGCTCGCTATGAGAGTGGAGACTGGAATCACCTGAGTAGGGTGTATCTACTTCCCTGCCATCAATCATTTTGCACCTTGCAAAAGACAATACAACCAGGAGAGGTACATCTCGACACATTTATTCCATAATCACTTCCGAATATTGTGTCCATTTTACATCTGAAACCTAATATTGACGGATGGTTGTGGGCGATTTTTCACCGATTACAATCAGAATGTCTACTCTCCGGGACAAAGATTCGGATCCATTTCATGTCAGCTGCATTTTATTTTTACATTTTTTGTCATAAGAGCACATGTCCATGACCACTGAGATATCTGTAGCTGATGCAGATTGTTTTGTCTTCTAGGTGGGATGCAGAGAAAGCTGTCTGTGGCTATAGCATTTGTCGGCGGCTCAAAAATCGTCATCCTAGATGAACCTACAGCAGGAGTGGACCCCTATGCCCGCAGGGGTATCTGGGAACTGCTGTTGAAGTACAAACAAGGTAAGGGATCAGTGGTAAGAACCAAGGCTCTGCTAAAAACTTTGAAGCATGTTTGTAGAATTGACTGGAAAGCACAGAGCCCATGTTTGATCTGTTTCAAGCTGAGAAACTTTCCAAAACTGAGCTCAAGGTAACTTTTAACTGACGTGGTTCAAATCTATCCAGTATGAGAGCTGTTAAGGTAATGAACCATCTAAAGTAGTTTTTCTTTTCCTTGCTCTCTCTGACACTCAATTGTGGGTGTAGAGGAATTTTAATTTGCACTGGAACAGATTGAAATGGAAGTGAAGACAAGTGAATCCAAGACGCTTTAATTGACATTGCTATTTAACAGAGTCCCTAATTGTCTGCCATATCAGTCAGCTTGTCACTCCCTGGCCTTATATACTCTGTGGTTGCTAGTGGCTGTAAGCAGGACATGGGCATTATAGTAACACAGTCTTTCAACAGATGTCTAAATGTTTAATGTGCATTGAGTGACATTCCGCCCTCACTGTGTCATTAGCTTCTCTCTCTCTAATCAAGTCCTTTCACTCCAATTGGGTGGCGGAGATAACTCTGTTATAATGAGAACGCCCACATTCTGGCTGGTTGAATGAGTCGTGTTTTGTGCCTCTCCAGTCTTATTTGCACCACAGTGTTACTAAGGTTTGTCATTAAGCCGAAAAGGGCTACTGGCAGTCTATTTGTATGAAAAAGCTGAAGGCTGAAATTGGACTTAATATCGTGGTTCTTCGCAGCTAATTAAGTGTGCAGGTTTTTTCCGCATAGACAGGGTGACAAGAATGCCTTAAGTGGATATTGTTTTGATTAAATTCAGGAGGGGGTTATTTGGTCTTAAAACTGCTCAAAGAAACACGGACATAGTGTATATGTGCTAATAGGTTAAATTAAACCCTCAGTGTACATATAGATGAGTATGCTTCATATGTATTTCAATTAATTGCGAATCCTCATCAAAATCCTAATATGGTGGCATGACTACATCCTTACATCTTTTCATTATAGGTGACTTTTAATGTCTTCTTTGTCATGTGTCATTAGAAAATGACCATGGAAGGTGAAGATTTAAAGTAAAAAATTAGCAAATTATGAATTTTTAATATTTATCCATTACTGGAAGTTGATTACTATTAAATTACCCTACTCGTTATGTTATAAAATGTGCCTTGAGGATTATATCCATGTAATGGATTTCATATATTTAGCCTTGTGCCTTCAACCTTGTGTGTTTTTGCTGCGACAGCATCATTTTATATTACCTTTATTATTGATTGTAATTGATATTTTTTTGTTTTGGTGCCCTGAAAAACTTTGTTCTTTGTTCTCTTTTATTTTTACATTACATAGCTTTAAGTTTACTGCCACACAAATATAAAATTCTATATTATACATTTTATACATAATTGCACATGGTAAGACAGCCTAATATATTTAGATCAGATAGCTAATGAAACTCGTTATCCAAGGATTTCTCCCTCTGACTTAATGAATGTCTCATTATAAGGGCTTGTATCAGCAGTCATGTAGGAAGTTTGGAAGTCAAAACATTAGCATCCCTGAAGTAAGTTGTTAGGCTTAAGTAGTAGTTACATAGTTAAATAACATAAGCCAGCTCTACCAAAATACCATAAACAGTACATTAGAGCAGCTTATTATAGCAACATATTATAGTATTGAGCATCTTACATGCTGCATTTTAATACTGACACCATGAATGCTGCATTTATTCTGAGATTAGACCTGTCACATGTAGGCAGGTGATTCAGTTTCTGAGAAACAAGGGGTGCAAAGAAAATGTGAGAAGCCATTCATATTTTTAGAACTCTAAATGTTAATATAGTTGTTCTTCATTCCTGTGCCTTGTTAAACACCTCTGAAGTATATGAAACATAAATTAAGAGTTATATAGTTTCTGATTAGAATGGAAGGTTATTTATAGGACATCCATACTGTATTCATTTTACTATCCATTATAATTATTATTTAGTTTCAATTATTAGCATATGGAATATATTATTACAAGTCTTTCCTCTAAGACTTCCCTTGAACACACTGACAAAATGAAGTTGGATGTTTGTAGCAACTCTTTATATTGTAGACTCTGATTGCAGTTGCATACATTTTTAGAGTTTTCCTGGCAGTTGTGAAAAATTGAACCACCATACATAATGCTTTTTTCCCAGGAATACAAATTAATGTAGGGTTGAAGCCAATGTTGCGGTGCAAATGGCATAAAAATGCATTAGCCTCTGTTTCTTTTATGTGATCTTATTTGAGTCGTTTTCGTGCCATCGAAAAAAAGCCATTCTGAAGATTTTTAGGGTTAAAATGCAAATGTGTTCAAATCAAACCTCTTTCTTAATATATGTTGCAGACAGTGTAGGGAAAGACAGAAGCAAGCTAACTTTCCAGTATATTATTTGCAATATAATCTAACATTTAACACAAAACTCACACAAAAAAAATATTTCAACCTGTGTGGCCTTCAGCAAATGGTCAGAGATTCCTTGCAATAACCACAGTATCTGACTCTCAATTGTGCCAAAATTCAGACTACATCCAAGCGCGATTCAAAAAATGTTTTTTTCTTCTGTTCGTTTTTGTTACACCTTTAATCGAAACAGCAGACCCATCGGTTTCTTTTAACTCTGTGGAAGTAGGTTAGCACTGTCCCCTCACAGCAAGAAGGTTCTCGGTTCGAACTTGTGGACCTTCCTGTAGCCTTCCTGTGTGGAGTTTGCATGTTCTCCTTGGGCCTGAGTGGGATTTCTCTGGGTGCTCCGGTTTCCTCCCACAGTCCAAAGACATGCAGATTAGGTTAACTGGCGACTCTACATTGCACGTAGGTGTGAGAGTGAATGGTTGTCTGCTCGTGAACGGTTGTCAGCTGGGATCGGTTCCAGCCCCCCCCCCCACAACCACCCTCCAAATGATAAGAGTGTATAGCTAATGGCTGAACTGATTGCCATAAACAGCAGGTAATACAGTTTTGTCCAATAATTCATCTGACTGCCGATGTACATAATATCTGTCCAGCCCTACTCAACCACTGTGAAATCCATTTCTATCAACTTGATTTACAGGGAAGGAGCTAAATAACAGAAACCGGATTTTCAGCCTCACTTTGCTGTACGTAGTGCGAGTACTACCAATTTACCTGAACACACCCAACTCCATTTGATGTATCACTTTGTGCTGTAATGCACCACAACACACTATAAATCAGGATACCTTTGTGGGCCATCTGCAGTCCAAACACATTTATTTTGCTCCCAACTCACGAATGATGCAGTGCGATTTGATTCCTTTTTTTTTTTGCTTCCTTATAAACCACAACAGATCCACAGGAAAATCATCTGAATTTAAGCATCCCATACAAAATGAGCTGGCTCAGTCAAACTAAACCTCCAGCAATCTCCTCAACCCACCCCTCACCCACCCCCTCTTCATAAGCATAGCTTTTTCTCCCATATGTTAAATTGACTGCGTTGTGGGCATTCATTCAACTTGGGCATTTTGTTGGAGTTTTTATATAGAGGGATCCAGACTTGCTTGGCATAGCATAAGGCAGCAATACTTAACTAAGAAGGGAGAGATTTAGCAGCTCAGCTGGTGGCAGGGCACAAAAAAGAGGGGGGTGAGGGGAGGCAGAGCGGAAATAGTTGGCCAAGCAAAATGACTGCATTGGGCTGCAGTTAATGACCTCTGAGTGTGTCCTTGTCCCTGGGATAATGTGACCTGCGAGGATACAGATTTAACTAGCTCAGTGCAAAAACGGCGCCAAGCTCAGCAGAGCACCTGACCTTTTACAATAAACTCCAGCAAATTCAGTGAAGAAAGGGTGAAAACTTCATAGGGTCAGCTACTTACTGCGAGTGCATCTCCTCGCCATGTTCAGAGATCAGTACGCTTGATATGGGACACATCTCTGTCGGGAGTTACAGCTACAGCCATGCTATCGGCACTGAGAGGCATAGCAGCGCTTTGAGCTAAATGCTAATGTCAGAAGGCTAACTGATGTTAAAGCCTCATATTAGCTTCAAATACACTTTGGAATATATTTTTGCACAACCTAGATCCAGTGTGGACAGGATGAATGATTAGAGCAAGCAAAATAAATATACATATGGGCACGTGACTATTGTTTTAAGGCAGACTTGAAAAACTGTGAAGCTATCCTTTAAGCAGGTACAATGTTTGGTATGTTAGCATGCTAACATTTGCTAACAGTAGCATAAACCACAAAATACAATTGAGGCTGATTGAGTTTTCTTTGGTTTTGCAACCAAACTATAGAACAAATTGACATTTTGACCTGATAATGGCGCTAGAGGAAAAGTTAAGCCACTAGCATGGCTAAAAAAAATAAAAATCCAATTTACTGAATACTTTTTGCCTTGCTAATTGTAAAAGAAAAAAATGTATTCTCTTGAGCTAGCACAGTATTTTCAAAGTAACTGACTTCTAAGCAGGTTTCTTCCTTTGTCACCTAAAAGCAAAGGCATGGGGTTAAATGTGTTCTGCTTTAAAACAGGACTGGATCAAAAGTTACCCAGTACTTTGTGATACTGCTTTAATGCCGACTGCAGGGGTGTGACCATGTGACTTCATTACAGATCTAGTCCCTTTTCTGATTTATGGGGTATGTGATAATTAATATGTGCTATCTGATGCAGCATGACATGAAAGGATTAGAACACCTGTGAATAACCTTGCGATGCATGCTGTAGTTGTCATTGCAGTTGCGCTCAGTTTGATGTCTCTCGAATCAAAGGACTCGTAGCACAAAAGGGAGAGCTGAAATAAAATTTGGTCTCACAGAAACGCTAGAAAGTAGGCTTAGGGTGGCCTTTATCATAATTTAAATTTTGTCCCTCATTCACACCCACACACTCCTCTAGAGTTTGCTTTGTTGCCATGAGGATAAGCACGGGTAGAAAACACAGTGGAATCGGCAATAAGGAGATAAGTGCAGAGACAGATTGTGATATTGGCTTGATTTGAACACTTTTTGATCTGTGGCATCTTTTCTTGTCATGCGTCTCTTTCATAACGACAGTTGTCAAAACAAACAAGGTCTAAAGGGAAAAAGGCTTCAGAAGTGCCATTTATTTTATCATTTCTAGTGCTTTTATTCTTTACTTCAGACAAACTGTCTATGACTGACACACAAACTACCTCAAAAACCAAGCACACACTCTTAACTGTCGCCAATCAGATACCATCGATTGAGTTTCTCTTTCTGTCTCGCCTCAGGTCGCACCATCATTCTGTCTACACACCACATGGATGAGGCCGACATCTTAGGCGATCGCATTGCCATCATCTCCCATGGCAAGATGCGTTGCTGTGGCTCCTCACTCTTCCTAAAGAAATGTTTCGGCAGCGGCTACTACCTCACTCTGGTCCGAGATGGGACTGAAAAGATGACGGCTCAGCGTAACGGTATCATACACAGTCAGGCCAAAGAGGTACGAATATAAAGCGTACGTGGTGTCTGGCTATGGATTAGCTTTTGAACCTTAATTTTACAAGAAATGCTTTAGCGTATATGCCCCTTTTCTGCAATGAGCTGATTTAAAGCTGTCCGCTCATATTCTGCTTTTTTGTTCATTACAGAGCAGCTCTTTGCCTGGATTTGTATTCCATTGTTGGCCATATGGGCTCAGTTACTTTATTAGTCTGTTTTAAAATAAGACACTCAACTTGACTCAACCAAAATGAGCACTGAGTAATGTATTTTATTTAGGCATGTATTTATTATTATACAGCTCCTGTTTGTTTTTATTATTAGGATTTAACAAGAGAGAAGTTGGACTTCTTTAGCTAAATGGAAGAAAATAGCTTGTTATAAAAACATTGTTTTGGTATCCTTAAGGTTATTTTACTAGTGCACATGGCTTTTGAGAGACAACATTGGCAGTGTGAGCTCATTATCTTTAGATAACTACAAATTGTATTGATTAGGACATGCAATTATGCAATTATCCATTTTTTTATCCTTATTAGAATAACTGGAAGGGGATCACTCTTTTTGACTTCATGTATCAAGAAAAGAGCTTCAGCTGCAAGCCCCTTTGCCACAACAGTAACCTCCTTCTAGTCTATTATTGAACATGGCCCCTTCTGACTTTCCTGAGTGCTCTCTTTCTCTCTTGCCGCCCTCCCCCTATAATGATCTGTGTTTAGTCTCTCCCAGCATGAGAATTGGCAAATGCCTACGTGCTGGATGATACTAATTGTCACCGGGGAGAGGGGTGATTCTCGCTTTTGCTCGCCAATGGTGCCTCGCACACTTAGTTTTAATCAATAGGAGCAAATGAACAAGATGCACTGATGCCAGCAGGGCTAGAGCAATTACCATTAGTCTGCAGGCTCTTTGAGGTGAGCAGAGTCATTTGTTTGAAATAAATAAATAAACATGCAAACACCTTTGTGGGCGAGGTAGAATAGTGCCCCCTTTCCAACATGACGACTTTGTAATTCTGTGGAAGATTTTGCAATTACACAGGCGATATAACTCAGAAACAGAGCTGGACAAAGTTTGAGCGTCCTGATCTCATTCAGTGTGATTAAACTCCATTTAATAAATGTCATCAAGTTCTGCCCAAATGCAGTGAGGTTTATTCAACCTTGAAAATATAATCTCTGTACAAGGTCTCAGACTGAAAAGATTGTGACTTCATGTTACATTACAGGTTTACCACATTACCTGTCGTCTCATGCATAGAGTTGTATTTAGAGCAATTAAATAGAAACTTGTGGATGGCTTCCATTATTCCATTATTGTAAGAGGAGTTGTGCTAAGTGCTAAGGCATGATAAGGTCTTTCTAATCCAATTCTGATTAACAGGAGAAAGACTGTCCTTCGAGGAGGAGCAGCTTGGATGATGGCATCGGCAGCCAAACCTGGAGCAACAATGATCCCTCAGGTAGAAATTTTATCTCTGTTACTGCCAGCAGTGTTTTAGGATTAGCACCTGACGTAACATGTAAACGTATGCTATATGAAAATGTTACATAGTTGGTTTTGAGTTATAAATTCTGTGAATATTTGTGTGCATATTTTAACCAATACTGAAAATTCTTTCATGACCTATTCCGGCCCAAATAAAACCTCTGGTAAAATTTGTAAGTTACCATAACACTCACCAAGTTAGGTACTGAAGCTCAGAGCCATGTCAGCTTTCTTCAAACAGTCTGGGAACATATCCAAAACAATAACCATAAAACCTCTCAAAATAGTATAGTCCAAGTGTGCTGGACATCCATTAGCTTATAGATTTTTCTTTTTACCTTTTCAATAACACACCAACAGACACCACAGGAGTAGTAAAGTAGCTGCAGCCCCGAGATGCTGTTGAAATGTTCTAACTACTGGTGGAGTGCACTTTAATGCCCTTCTCAAATGGTCGGTATAAATGGGAAAGTATGAAGAGTTTTTAGTGACAGAGAAAAGGGTTAGGAGAGCTTTATGAGTGCAGAAAAACTAGGAGACAATATGGAAAGTGATGAGCATGAGCATACATCTATGGTGGTGTATTTGAATATAATATTTCTGAAATTCTGAAAAATGCCCTGCAAAATTTATGTTATCTCATTAGTTGAGCTCGCTCCTCAGCACTGCTGATAGAACATCCCTGAGAAGGACCGTCTGTAGTGGCTGTTGCCCACACTTCCAGAGATTGGTGGTCTTCACTAGAAGCATCAAGCCCAAACAGTCAATTCCATAATTGATAGCTGAAGGTTTGTCCTTCAAATTCAATAACATGTTCTGTAAACTAGTATTTGTTACATTTGAGAGGGTTTTTCATTATGATGAGACAGAGTAAAGCAACCCATCCTATGCCTGACTAAACCAGAAAAGCATTTCCTAATGTAGTAAACTTTTTCAACATCACAACATCACGTCATATACAGAAAACACACAAACCTAACAACAACAATCACAAAAATTCCATTACTCATTTATCAAGCACACAATAAAAAGAAATCATTATCTTAATTTTGTGTTAGCTTACTTAATGTACAGAAAACATAAATGTTAAGCATAAATCTTCATATACAATCCACCCTTCTATTCTAAACCAACTTTAACATTTTTATCATTATTTTCCTATCATACATCCTAATAATTACCAGCTTGAAGCAGCTATAATTTTAATAAAAACAATACATCATGGCATTGAGAAAAAAATGTTTTGAAAGGGTTTTCTCACATTGAAACCTACGGGAAATTATATATACAGCTCTCCTCGACTTGTGGAATTTTACTTTGGTTTCCTCGACCCTGCCTTAGTTTTTCTGGATCATAAACTGAACAGATATGACTAAAACATATGATGCTGCTGATTTGTTTTGATCATTCTTAGCCTTGATCATGTAAACAAAAGTACTTGTGCAAGACATGATCAGAAGAAAACTCTCAAGCAGGCTCCAGTTTATTATGCATGGGACATCAATCAAACCTGCGCATACCTTCAAAATAATTATACACACGATGGTTAAATATATGATATGAAAAGCCATAAAAGTAATCATATTTCCAGAAGTGACAGCACATTCCTCTTTATTACCTCACAGACAGAAACACACACACACATTTTCACAAATAATTCAGTCTGATGTGTGAAGCTGATCCATTTACTTCTTCATAAAGCACCAAGCCGCTGGTTGTTAAGCTGCAGTAATTATGTATGAGAGGTTCTGGATCAATAATGGATGCGGTGCGTTCTGCAACACTGTCCTGATTGATTCTCACTAAGACCCAGCTTCAGAATGGATGAGGCAGGAGAATTATGTCCACTGATCTGTTTCAGTATGTTTAAAGGTCACAGCATCAGGTATGTTGAGATCTCAATATATTACGCTGCCGTTTTTCACCATTTCACTTTGAAAGATTTTTAAGTCAAGTTTAGACACAAGTTTGGGTTAAAGCCTTCGTCATTTATATACTGTATTCTTTTGCAGCCAATAGCGGTGGTTGCTCTTGAATTCTCTGTCCGTTATATCACACAAACAAACATCTTCACCGAAAAGGACGAAGGAGACATAAAAGGAAGGACAGAGTTATGTATTTTCCACAAATGTCTGTTGTTTTTTGTGCTCGCAGTTTCACCATCTTTTGGAGTTTGTTGTTGATACATTTTTTTTGCGGCTGTCTGTCCGTCAGATTTGACAGCTGTGGGTCAACTTGTGCGGCACCACATCCCCGAGGCGGTCTTCTTGGAGAGCATCGGTCAGGAGATCACCTACATACTGCCTTATAGTGGAGCCAGAAATGGGACCTTTGCCCTGCTCTTCAAAGAGCTCGACCTGGCCATGGCTGACCTCGGCCTGACCAGCTACGGCATCTCTGACACCACGCTGGAAGAGGTACACTGAGCGTGGGATTGACAACCTAGCTAGAGAGATAAAAGCATGTACACACATAGAGAGACAGCCTACATACACAGACAAAGTTGTCCCTGAGTTTCTTTTCTTTCTTTTCTTCTTTTGCTTTTGTTATTGCTGCAATTACACTTGACACAATGCTTTTTTCCCTCCTCTTCCCTCCTCGACTACTTTTAGACTTTTTCTGCTTCTCAGAGTCTGTAAGTAAGCAGTCAGAATTTTGGTGGACAGCTTTTAAATCCCTCTCACAACTCGGGAAACAAATTACTAAGATGGTATCATTATCACAAGCAACTTTACATTGTAGCCAATAACTTTAAAACTATATGTTTTTTTCCCCCTTCAATTTCTGTCTCATTGCCAAGTTTGTTTTTTCACTTAGGCTAGGATAGTTAGGATGCCAAGGATTATTTTGCTTCAAGGTTGCTTCACTTTTGAATGAATGTCACACACAGCATCTAGAGGCTTTATAAATATGTTACACACAGTCTTTAAAATCCACATGCTTGACAATTGTGCACAATTTATAATTGATTTTGGGTGAACAGTAAATTGAGACATGTTATGTCATGTTCAATACTTTTCAACCAGACAAACTCCGTAGCAACTACAATATGTACATTTTGCACAATGTACATGTCAACTGTTCATGTCATAGATTATTTGTTCTTGCTCTCATCGACAAAGACCTTGAGGATGAAGATAAATTAATTAATCACTCTGAAACCTCTCAGATTAGTGAAAAATGGATTGTCATGAAGCAGAAAACGTGTATTTATAAGCTTACATAAAGCTGAGAAACATGGCTTTCACAGGACAGTGAGATTTAAAAGGAAAGGAAGGTCATTTCCCTAAATAATTTCAAAATGTACATACAGTTCCTGTTTGTGAAGTTTCTCGAATTCTGTAAAACCACGTTTGGTCAGACATACTGAACAGCATTAGCATTATGACATATTTTTGAAAAAGCCATTACTCATTACCATTTTACTTGCAGTTGCAGGACTTTAACCGATAATTTTCTCCGTAAGCATTCACCCAGTGTACTACTATCACTAATAGTAGTAATAGTATTGTGATTGTTATAATAATACATATAGGACAATAGATAATAAAAACACAAAATAAATGATTCACAAAGTATGTTTGCTTCCAGACTAGTCTGGATCATAAAGTTGAGTGACTGTTGGTTAATGCTCTTCGTGTAAACCAGACATGAATCAGACACTCGTGGCCTGCAGGCAATGTAAATAATTCCTTTTGAATTTCTAAAATTCTGACACAACAAGGTTATTTCATCCATCCATTTTTTTCTTTTGAAGTCCAACTACACTTCAATTGAAATACGGTATGATTTTATATATACGACACTAATAAACAAGTCCTGCTGGATGTTTCAAATTCACTCATATTATAAGTAGTACCTGTATTTGTGAGTGTTTTTACGATGTCGGTAGTTCTATTTTATGTGTTTTTGGCTGATATAATTCACCACATAAAATCACATTCAGTACAAATTATGAATTTTGCAGGCTTTCCCCCAAAGTGTGCAGAGACTTTTTAGAGGGCAGCTGTTGAAACAGGGGCTCAACATGCACAGCAGAACGAAATAAGCGAAGGTCACTTGGAAATATTTCACAAATATGGAGATTTATTTATTTTGACATATGGCCTGAATTAATAAATGAAGTCAAGGAGGGCACTTCTCTAAGAGAGGCCAATTGGCAGGTGCTCAAGTAGAGGTTAGGGTCTCTGTGGATGTACCCCCCCCTCGATCGGATTCTAGGCAGAAACTTGATAGGGATAACTGGCATCTGCATCAAATCTGTGTACAGTTTAGTTAACACTCATCCACTGCACTTCATTAGTCTGAATTTACCCTGCTTGTGTGCAAGCTTATAAGGGCGACAGCAAACACACTGTAGCTCTCATAACATACTTTATTCATATATAGTTTGTTCATTTCACAGATATTTCTTAAAGTGGCAGAAGATACGGGAGTGGATGCAGAAATACCAAGTAAGGTGACAATATTTATGCATGCTTACACATTTTAGGGGGTTAAACAGCATACTAGATAACATCTTTTGGGAACCACTCATCATTATCACCATTGCTGACATAGCTATTGACACCTTAGTAACACCCTACAGTAAGAAAAAATAATTAACCTCTCAATTCTGCACTTTACATTTAGATTCCTTGGAGACAGAATCTGTCACACAAGGTAGTTCAGCATTTAGAAATGATGCTAGGTAGTGCCATTTGTCAGCTGTAAAAGAAGTATGAAAAAATCTGCAGTTTATTGATATTTGAGACAACTAACCCTGGCTCATGTCCACACTGCAGGTACATTGGTCAAATAGAACAAAAACAAAAAAAAAAAAAAAAAAAACGGAAGAAAAAGGATTTAAAATGCTAATAGCAACAGTCTCATGTTGAAAGTTAACAGCTGGTGTAAGACAATATGTGTCACCTTTGTGTTTGCAGTAGTGACTTGGTGCTTGTCTTACCCCTGTAAACTCACATCGTATGTATTCTTATATAAAATGATATTGTGTTTTTCTAACCAATTCTTATTTCTCATTGACTAACCTCAGTGGATAATGCGACTCTCTTATTGCTGCCCTTTTGTTTGCATCTCTCATCAAACAACTTCACTTTTCAGTTTAATCTCAAAATCTGATTCCCTCACGTTCCTAAAACACCTGGGTTTCTGCTTTTACAGGGAATAATATGGTGCCTTGCAGGGCAGGTAGCTATTCTTATTGTTATTTATAACCCTAAATTGGGTCAGGCCAAAACAACATATCTTATTTGTATTCCCACAGCAACAAAGGAGCTGTTGGTGAGAGACTGCAAAAGAAGCTCCCGCGCATCCAAGCGGAACAGCATCGGCAGCGTCCACATTAAAACAGAACACGTCTCTGAAATGAGTGGCAAGTCTCTCCAAATTTATCATACATTTATTTTTTTAATGAAGGAAGCCCAATTAAACGTTTGTGAGTTTAACAATGCAGAAAGTTGACTGATTACTAATATTTATGGGTGTTATTTCAAATGGTAAAAAAAAAAAAAAAACTATTATTCCTGCTTGAAACTTGTTTCCTTCTGTTTCTCATGCAGAATTGAAGGAAAGGTTCACAAGCAAAGTTGAAGGTAGGTGCTGTATTTATTCACTTCATTTGGTTTTGCTTCAATTTGACTGTTTCACCTCAGTGGCCGTATTGAAAAGGGGGCATAAACAAGAGCCCTTTCTTCAGTAAAAGTCATTTTCAAACAGAATTTCCTTCAAATCCATACAACATTATCTGAGCTGTCTGTTCACCTTTTTTCAATTTTGCCCTTACGAAAGAAACTCAGAATATGTTTCATCATGAAAATACCTTTCAATCCAAATTATCTTAATGACTACTGTGAAAATATAGTGCGCTATTCTTGGAGAGTGTGAGGTGTCTGCAAAGCCCTTGTTTATCACCTTTTCCCTACTGAGCCACCCCCAAATATAATTTCCAAATTCATATGTTAAAAAAAAAAGTAAGTGCTTCACAGAGGAATGAGCTAGTGCAGCTGGCAGGTTTAACACTTAAGTTATATTTAATCAGCGCATTAGCAGTGCTGGAAAGCGTGCTCAGCAGCTCTTTTACATATGCATAGATGATAAATAACACGGTGGGTTAATGTCCACTCCAGACGTGCAGAAGATCGCCAGTGTCAGTGGGAAGGGATCCACGGTCATCACCGGATGGAAGCTGATCAGGAGGCAGTTCTTGGCGCTCTTTATCAAGCGCTTCCACTACGCCCGAAGGAGCCGTAAGGGACTCATTGCCCAGGTAATGGCCTCCGTCTATCATATTGATGAATTGAAGGGTTATACTAGGAGGGTTGCGTGGGAGGATCAAGGTAGGATTGTATGAAATACATGTTGGCTTTCAAAATCAGTTAATGACATATATATAGAGAGAGCTATGGAGGGAAAAGTCATCTATCTTGATGGAGTCAATAGTTGTGGAATTTAAGTTGTGGGGAAAGAAATCGACACAGAAGGCAGTATATATAAAAGGAAAGAGTTTGATGAATTTGAAGAGCAGCTCCCAGAATGATGTAACATGTCAGCAACATGCACGTACAACAATCATCTTTACCTCCCAAAGGAAGCCATGTGTTCTACCAGAGAGAATTGGAGGGACCACAAAGGCTGAAGATGGTGTAAACAGAGTGTTTATTGCTGCTTAGTTCTGATAATTCACTTTCTGTGAGCAGAAAAGTGCCGATAACTGGGACCAGAAGTGTTTCAGCCCAAACAGGGATGATTTATGAGGTCTCACCTTTGCTTTTTCATCCAAAGTTGTGGTCAGGAAACTGTTAGTACATTTGTGTGTAGAGTCAGTCGATGAAAGGTGTTTTTGCCTACCTTCAGTTTCACCTGATCGCAGTGATTGGCACCAGAAAGGCAAAGTGACATCCTTGATTTGTTTTTCCTTCATTTTACCGTGCGCTAATCATGTGTTTCGTTAGCTGTGTATTAAATGTGATCGCATAACAATTACAGAGATGACAGACTGCCATTAGCCTATTAAGTGTACGTCTATATTATTCGGTTCCTCGTAAACATCATTTCAAAAGTCAAAACCAATAAACAGACATAATTTAAACAAGTCAAAACCAATTTTGGTAAGTAGCAGTTTGCAGGGTACTTTAATGATTTTTTTTTTTTCACAAGTTCTAAAAAAGTGAGTTCTGACTTAAATTGTGTTGACACACGCACTCCCTGTCTGGATTCATAGAAAATATCATGTAATGCCATCAGTTATGACATGAAATAATCACAAGTGATCACTGAAGTGCAGTACATCCAATCGAGTGTGCTGTGTGTGTGTGTGTGTGTGTGTGTGTGTGTGTGTGTGTGTGAGTGTGTGAGTGAGAGAGAGAGAGAGAGAGAGAGAGAGAGAGAGAGAGAGAGAGAGAGAGAGAGAACAATGTTTCACCTTTGTGAGGTGTGCAGGTTCTTCTTGTAATTTGCTGCAGTACCAATCCCCATTAGTCACTGTCAGTCTTGGACGTCCCTCTTTAGAGCAGGATAGAGGGATAAGTGTGCAAGTGTGTACGTACAAGGGTGCACATTGTCTGCAAGGGCGCACCTCCTACCTCTTCCTCTTTATTCATTTGGCTAAAGGTTTTTTTCTTTTCCTTTTTTTTCCCTCCGTCATGTCAACAGCTCCCATTGTCAGCAGATATGATTGTGTGGTGAGGTAATCTCCTGGAATACAAGCGGTTAGGGGAATATAAAAGAGATTATGGCATGTAACACAAAAGGAGTGATTTATGGGAATGAAAGTTGGGGACAGGCGAGTCTTGGCAATGTCAGAGTCAGGGAGAAGCAGTTATTGGTCATGTTGCAGTGGATGAGTTGAAAGCTTCTGGAACTTGGAGCTTAAACTGACTGCAACACCCTCTTCTTTCAACCTGCGGCAATCTCACCGTTAAGCAGCAGAGGGTGGATATTGTGTAATTCAGAATATCCAATTATTGCTACAGTCTCTGCATTATTTTTGTTTACTGCTGGAAGTATGTTTACTAACTATTTGTTATATTTTATCTGAATGCTGTGAAAAGAAAACACCACATTAACGCACCAGTAAAAATATCCAAGGTGATGCTATTATCCACTTTAACGCAAGATGCAGCAATAAAACTATTATTCCAAAATAAAATAGGGTAGACATAAACGTTTTGTAGAAGAAACAAACTCAATTTAATGAGCCGTTTGACTTTGCAGGAAATAAAACACATCTTAATCGTGTTTTGGTGTTTATACCCTGTTTGCATATAATCCCATCCTCTTCTTTAAATCCCCACCAAACTTGAGAATGCGATAAACTCATGCATTGTTCATGGGAGTGCTTCGGCTTTGTGGGCATAATGACTTCTCCCTGTATTTTGCAGATCTCTCTCAATGGAAGAAGTACCAGCTGTCACCTGCAATTACTGTCGAGAGAGAGAGAGAGAGAGAGAGAGAGAGAGAGAAAAAAAAAGGAATACTGCTTTTTTGTGGTCTGCCATTAAGCTTTTCAGTCTCATTGCTGCTCTTTATCTTTCGCTCAAGCACATTTCCACAGCTATAGCTCCATGCAGTAAATTCAGGATTTTCAATTGTAGCATCTTGAATTGGCCTTGCAAATTGCGCGTCCTGCAATTAATCAAGTGTACGCAAACCTCCCCCACCCTACCACCCACCGACTGCCGAGCGCGCCCCAACCTACAAGTGATTAAACATTAAAGATATCTTGCATTTTTCCCACTGACCTTTTTGTCAGCTCCAACAATGAAATGAAAAGAAAATTACATGATGGAGAAAAGACGAGTTGTGGGAGGTTGGGGGGGGTGAGAGTGTGGCAGCGTCTGGATTTTTTTTTTTTTTAAATAACACAAAAGACAAGAGAATAGCGAGAAACTAATTATATCTGAGTGGCCAGATGATGGTGGCGGCGTTGGAAGTGTTTAATCAAACTCATAAAGCGTGCAGAAGAGCCCAAACAAGTTGTTGGGGAGCATATTAATGTGCACACGTTATTGCAGTGGTCCCGCGTTATTGTTGATTGCATCAGTCATTTTGCAGCATGTAATGATAGTGAGGGGGCTCGGGGAGGGGGGTATGATGAAATTGATCTCGCATTTGAATCTTGTGCTGTCATGCTTACACATATTAACATGCATCTGTATCGCCCATACAGACATCCTATGCAGACTACATAATAATGATGGGGGAGTTTTTTACTATAATTTTTATCACTTCTAATTGTGGCATTGCGTGTTATAATATTACACTAGTCATAAAATTAACAGAGCCTGTTTCTACATTATAATGATGTATATGGTGCTGTACAGAGAGCTCAATGTTGTGGCAGTTAACATGCCTTTAATGTAAAACAATTTTGTTCGTTGCATTGTGTTCTCTGTCCTTTTTAATGATGTTCATTTTGGTATAGGTGTACATCATGGAAATCAATTTATTCAGCAATTACTTCCCTGAAAAATACCCACAATTTCACTGAAATGCCTTGCTTTCTTTTGGTTTTCTCTAACATTTTCCTTTAGTTGTAGCAGGATACATGTCTTAAGCTGCTTAAGTTAAGCAGAGTTGTGACAGGGATGCTTTAATGAGGTAATTTGTCTTCAAATTTGTCTCCATCCTCCTAGGTGGTCTTGCCTGCTGTTTTTGTGTGCCTGTCTCTGATCTTCTCGCTCATCGTCCCACCGTTCACTGAATACCCGAGTCTGGAGCTGCAACCCTGGATGTACGGTCTGCCTCAAACCACCTTCTACAGGTAACCATATTATGTCAATGATTTGTCAGGTTTGAGTTTACCAAATTCAGTGCAGATTTGTAATTTAGGTTTGAAATCTGTGATATTATATATTTAATTTAATAACTACTCTGTTGCTATATATAGTAATAAGCTTATACCCATTGTATGAAACTGTTGCTATTACCCAGAGGCAACAAGGGAAGAATCCTCTAGCAGATGATGTGTACTATCAGAAGCAGAGGGTGTGCGAAAGATTTGAAAAACAACTGGTTAGTTATAGTAGCAAGAGCAACAATAGCAAACATGGCTGAGCAGATGAACAATAGGCTGTAAGAAGCTTTAAACTTCAAAGACATAAAATCAAAGGGAAAAGACGCCACAGTACTGCTCATGCCATTTGATTGCCAAGAGATTTTTGCATTGCTGAGGTCATCAATCTGGACACTGTCCCCTTGTTGGCGGCAGCTTGCTATTCTGTCACTGAGAATCATGCCTTGTGACAGGAAGCGGCCTTGTTGGACGTCAACACCCACTGAGAACAAACTTGACTTATTGCAGAGGATGTGGACACATAGCATACAAAGAAAACCACTGTAAATTGCTTTCTTTTAAAAGATTCTTACCTTAATAAGTATAGCATTTTATTGTAAACAACAAAGGAAGAAACATATATCCCTATATTTGCGTGTGCATTTACTTTATATGTCACTTTTTTTCTCTTTTTCTTTGGTGAAATTTCTCCATATTCATACCAGTAACCGTAAAATATCATAATAAAATCTTCTCTGTAACAACAAAAAGTGCTGTAAAAATGCCAATTGAATTCTAATATGCATCACTGGTTACGAAATCTGTCCAAAGCATCAAACTAATCTCGAAGCTGTATTCATAATCTGTTCTTGTGACATGAAGCTGTCGTTGCTTATCCACCCTGAAGGTATTTCATTCCCCCGGCAGTGCTTTGTAGAAATTCACTTTGAAGATGTCAAGACACAATTAACTGTAACCTGAAACTGGTTTATTTAAGATACAATCTTAGCTCTTGGTCAGAGCGAGGCGTTGCTACTTGTGTATCTGTTGACATATTTATAAACTTTCGTTTGATTGGATCTAATATAAATCATATATTCTAGTCCAGACAGAAAGCTTTGATTGATGATTTTATTATTCATTACTTTTGTTTGCATTTAACACGGTGGTACATATTTTTATGCATTGATTCAGAGTTATAATACTTACAGAAATTACAATTCCTACATTGAAAACTAACTAACTCGCTACTGTTGTCTGGGATTACTTATTTTTTTGCTGCTTCTTTCTCTGGACCAGTCTTCTCACAGTCTTGGAATCACATATGCATATCAACTTGGAGCTCATTGAGGACACTGGTGCTTTTACCTTTGATCCATTCACAAACATTTTAATAAAGCATGACTTTTTTCCGCCCTTGAAGTTGAAGCTAGAATCTTGAAAGGATTCACTACTCTTGGAACTTTATTGCATTAACGAAGCTTTTCGGCACTTTATGTTCTTGAAAAATGATCCTTTCCATCCAGACCTTTACCCTGCTTCCATGCCAACAATGCAACTGAAGTATTTAAATACGGTCCTTTGTCTCTCTCCACAGTGCTGAAACACACTAATTCAGTCTGTCTGTGCCTGTCTGTCCATGGTGCTGAAACATTCAAACCCAGCCTGTTTGCTCTGACTACTTCAACCACTTTCTTTGCTTCCACCATGACCAGCACATGGTGTGCATGGAGCCGACGTAGCAGCATCTAGTAGTGCAACAGCCATACACTACCAAAAACCCAGAAGAACCGCTACTAGCAGGGACACCTTAGCAACCTACCGACACACTAAAACCTTATCTAGCAACACCCAAGAAGAGACATAGCTATCCATTACAGACCATTTAATTGTAGACAAACTCTTGCCAGCTGTTTTAAGACTGACAACTTTACATGATACTGTGATAATTATGTCCTTTGAAGCTTGTTCTGTCTGTTACTTTTCTTCAGTTTTACTGTTCTTCATCTCAACACAATACAGCATGCAACAAGTGGGAATAAAATCCTGGCTCACAAGGATTGGATTTCAGAGCCGGTTCCTCATCGGACTTTGTCACACAGTTCTCCGCCAATGGCAAAACTCAGACTGCACATCCAGTTTTCTCTGGAATTCCTGGGAACGGTTCTAGTGTGATACTTTTTCAAACTGGAGTGTTCTTAATTTCTCTGACATTCCCTCTGGCCAGTTATTAATTATTGTCTTCTCTCTTGAGTGACTTTAAAACACTCTGCTTGATGATGACAGTGTGATTGAAAGTAGTGCGCCTTTTCATCTGAAAAGTTCATCCAGAGGAGCATCGCAGCTCGATATACATCATAAATGCCAATGATCCATTTTAGCTGAGCCTGATTGAAGACAATGATTGATATAATTTAGTTAAGTTCAAGGGGATTTGAACCCAGCTCAACAGTGTGTAATGTAAAACTATGACAATATTGCGGATTAGTTCATGTCTGCATTTTTAGTTTTTGTTTTAATTTTGTTATGCCTCTGTGTCGGCCAGAGGCACCGTGACCTCAAAAGAATCCATCTTCACAGAGTTATGAAGTACATGTAGACCTATTTAGCCAGTAAATCTATGATAAGCCTTCATTAATCAGTTTCGAAATATATATTCACTGGAATCATACATATGTATCACAAATATATTAATAACTTTCATTTAAGAAATACTCTTTAAATCCTTTATTCAAGTCCTTTAAAGTCTTCACCACATATATTATATGTATCTGGACAGACATGGGTGTGAACGGCTATATGAATTTTGTTTGGCTGAGGCATTCAACCGTGGGGCGGTAATGTTTTTTTTTTTAATCAGTTGGAATTAAATATCTGAATATGAAATGTAATATTTACTCTCCAGACACAGTTCACTCTTTGGTGTCATATTCCTGTAATATAATGTAGCCTTCATTTGACTTTCTTCTAATATTGTCTTAGTTCTTAAGGCTGTGATGTTTCATTTTGACTAGATGAACTATTCATTAGTTCCACTGTTTCTGTGTATATGCACAAGTCTTCATTTTGAAACTGTCCAATAGTTTTATTACCTTGAATAACGTGGTAACCCAGCCATTGTTAATTGCAAAACAGATGGCTGCACATAATCCTTTTTTACAATCGGACCACTTCAATTGTGCTCACTGGTGGTCAAGGAATTGACCGTATGACCTTCATGGAGACGCCACTAAATGAGACAATGAACACTGTATTAGTCCAAATGGTTGGCTTGGCTGTGGCCACTGCTGGCAGAAAGCCATCACGATGGTCTTTATGAAACACTGTGTTTTAACTCCCCCGGTACGCTTAAGATAAAGGGCAGAGTGTGTGTGGTTAGTAATGAGAATGAAATTGGAAAGGGAAGATTGTTTAACTGAGACAGAAGGATTAGATATGTACAGGACACTCAGATAATGATGAAAGGCTGTGAAGAGTCTATACTGTACACAAAATCTTGAACAGGCTCATATCGGTACGTGCCGTGCACAAGAATACAAATCAAGACAGAGCGGGGCTCAAGCTATAGAGAAAAAGTGAACACGATGCAGTCCATTCTGTTTGGGGAATTCTTGTTTTAAAAGAAGATGGTAAACTCAGTGATTTCTCTCACACTCTTAAGATAACACTGGTGGCATGCAGCATTGCTGTCGAACATTTACTTGAAATGCAGCACATCCGATCCCCTAGTGTACGTCTCATTTCCTCTCAGGCCTTCTTCGATGTCAAGATACGTTTAAGATTAATGATCATCTAAACTCCTGCGCTTTGCCAATGTGGAAGACAGATTAGACAACTTGTAAAATTTTAATCATTTGTGACAGGAGACAGATTATAAAGCGTGTGAAATACTAACCAGTTGTGACGTTTCATTGTATTATAAACATAATGACAGATTTCAGAGATTTTTGTCACTCAGACCAGACCAGTATTTCTAGTCACTATATCAAGTATACAGTTTGATATCATACATATCAAAATATCTTTGTTGTTCAATGTGACACCAGTCAAACCAAAAGTAGAGGTTAAAAGTCAGACTCAGCTTGCTCTGTTTCACCTTACTGTAAACTCAGCTCTTATTGACTGTTGGCTGTCCTCTCTATTGAGATTAGATGTCTGATTGCAAATATGAAGCTTTTTCACTATTTTTAAGGCTGCGCAGGTAATTCTGTAAATCGATTCAGCTGTTTAAGATACACTCCACCATGGTGCTCTATCATTTAATGGAATGACAATAGATGACTGAATCGATCATTGGTCCTGACCGCCAAGACTCTGATTAGTATATCCAATTTTAAAGTCTAGATGGGTAATTCAAATGTAAATTGGTCTTTGAGGCAATCAATGCCACAGCATTTTTGATAAGCCACGACTAGTGTCACTTTATATTAAACCTGTACATTTTTTTTTCAGGACACTTACTGTAGCTTCAATTAAAAATGTATGTATATGAATGTGGATTTGCTTTGATTATATTCCCAATATTTACAGTAATGATGGGCCAGATAATGTGGAGGTGACTCGGGTGGTGGAAACCTTGGTGAACACGCCTGGTTTTGGGACTCGCTGCATGAATGGAGACCCAATACCGTAAGTTGTTTTGAGTACACAAGAAACTAGAAGAATAGCATTAGTGTGTACACATGCATTCATGCCAAATGGTATTTATAAAGTGTTAAGCTTTGGAATCACACACATGTTCAAGAAATCCTGCTGCAGAAATAAAACAAGCTGTAAAAAAGCCAAGTGAACCAGAGCATTTAAAAATGAGTGCTCTGCATGACTTTGAAAACCAAACGACCATCCTGATCAGAATAAGTTGAATAATGAAAACCTCTTTAAACTTAAAATGAAATGGAATTATTGCTGAGCTCGGAGCCCTCACGGTTCACAAGTGCTTGTGCATCACAGATGCTGTGAGTGGCTTACTGTGCTTAAGTTCTTCAAACACAGACCACACATCTTTTAATTCAAGGGTATTATCCAGCAGCCTTTAAAGTAAATTACTTGTGACTCATGTTGTTATAATATATAGAGATTATATAACATCTCTTTTATTCTCTTCACTTCTTATCAAGCTTTACTGCTACCATGCTACACAACAGTTACAACTGTGGTTAAGATAAGAGCATATGTTCTTTAGCGGATGTGGTTATCACCAATTAAACACTCATACTTTCTCCATTATTTTCTCTTAGGAAGTTGCCGTGTTCTTCTAGTGGCTCTGATTGGATGACTCCATCCGTGGATCAGTCCATCACGGACATCTTCCTCAATGGAAACTGGAGCATGTCTAACCCCTCCCCCTCCTGTCAGTGCAGCACGCCTAAACGGACAATCATGTTACCTGACTGTGCCCCCGGTGCAGGAGGACTTCCTCCACCTCAGGTTAGTCTCCTACACTGGAGCTTGTGCTTTTTGGTAGGCGGGTGGTGTTGTAGTCGGAGCCACCATTATGTGACTTTAAGGTCACAGGTGCCCTGTGTCAGTCTCTCTTTGAGGTCCTTTGAGCAAGACAGTTAAACCCTGTCTGAACCACCTGGGGTAGTGCTAATTGCAGCTCATTCCCCCTGGACTCCTTGGTAAAATGCCTGCACTTACTGTACGTGTGTCACAGTGGGATATACAGCAGTGGAATGATCTAAATGTAAAAAAAAAATACAAATAAATCAGTGACGCAACAGTACAATAAAAAATGCTTTTCATGGAAGCTTTTGGCTTGCAGTCTAAAAGTCCCAGTCAGCATCATTTTGATTTGAAAATGTAAAGGTACTTACTAACAAGGAATTTGCGTTGCATTGCAAAATGTAAATCAGCCTTTTGTGCTGTCTCCCTTTTGTGAGCTAGCGTGCATGCATGAAAGGAGAGCCAAAATTGATTCCACTGAAAATACACTGAATTGGCTATTTAAAATGACTCAGCTTGTTCCCCACTGTGATGACCCTCTGAGCAGGTCTCTCCCTCCAACAGCCTGGTAGATGGAGTCGGGTCATAGACAAGATTCAGTTCACCTGGTCTGGTGGCAAGACTATATAGGTTGGAGGCAATCAGCTGGTCTCTCTCTCTCTCTCACTTGGCTTCCACCCTGTTTGGTTTGATTGAACCAATTTGTCTTTCACTTCATTTATCTTTTAGTTGTGTTAAATAAACTTATTTTTAGTTACAACTCATGTGTTCTCCCCTTATTTATTCAGCCTTGAGCCGGGATGCGACACCTACCTGCTACAAAATTCAGTTACACGTTGTGTGCCCTTTTACTTTTTCAGGTATATCTCAACCTTTAACCTTGTAGCAACTTTTAAGACATTTTATTGCATTCACTGCCAGCAAAGGACCTCACCTTTTCTGCTCACATCACAAGTCCTCAGAGTTTTGCGCCTCTCAGCCTCCAGAAGTCAATACCAATAACAATATACATGACCAAATGCGACCAGGGCAAATGTTGCATGGCCTGACCTGAAGAGGCTTCATCCAGGTCGGGATCGATGGGCAAGTTAGAGACCCTGTATGTCTACCTACCAGCCACCACCTGCTGACTGAACCAATCATGATAAAGAGACAAAGTAGTGTCTCATTTGGAGCTAACTGGTTTTCACTGTTGTCTCCCAATGATAATGAGAAATCTAAACCTGTGAGAGAATAGATGGAGAAGCTGCCACCTCCACTCCAATGTAATTTTATTAGAGATGGCTTTGTCTGTTTTCTCACACTTTGTAGCTTGTACCTGCATTTTAAGAGATTTGAATTTGACTGTCTCATTCCCTTACCCCACCTAAATCTTCTCATATTCACTTCTTCTTGGAGTCTTACCATAGTTGAGAATGTGTTTGTGGCAGTTTATGCCAGATGGAGGGAGAAAAGGAGTGGGAGACAGACTGGTGTCTGATACCTGGGATTTGTCTGCAAGACAGCTTTGCATTTACAAGATAGCTAACTTACAGTTTTACATTTTCAGCCTAATTTTCATACAGATTGGCAGTCTCTGTTGATTGGTCCTGCAGTGATGTTGGTGGCATGCTTTTTTTCCCAATGCTGCAGGTGAACATAGTGCAACACGCAGTCATTGTGTAGATATTATAGATTTGTGTTTGCGCGCAATAGCATGCCAGACAAACTTTCAAGAACTTTCAATCAGCACTAAATAATTTGGAGACATGAGGTGAGAACTCACACAGACTGGATTGTGGGCTAGTGGACAGCTTCCATGTGAAAGAATTGCAGCAGTGGGAGGGTGTGGCAGCAAATCGAGTGTGTGTAGGTAGGTGTGACATAAAAACTGAATAAGAGAAAAACATTTTTTTGTTTTATAAAAGTGCCAAATAGCAGGAATATATACATAACATGCACCCCTTGTTCCCATGTCTACCCCCAACCAGTGGTTATTTAATCCTTATCAAGCCAATGCTCTCACCTTGCTGGCCAAACAGACAGAGACTACAGAGGATACATGTAGACATATATCAAGAGTTACAACTTTAAAGTGTACACTAGCCAGAATGTTTCATATGTAACACAAATATTGATCTGACACATACTGTATATACAGGGTTTCTGTGAGGTCTTCAAAAGTCGACAATCTAGGGATCTGAATTTTAGGCCTTAAAATGTCTTAATATATGTTAAATTGAATTTTGACAGGTCTTAAAATTGATTAGATTAATGAAGTTAACGTTACTTCTTCAGGCTCAGTCTTGTGTCCTTCTGTTTTGGGTAAAGAATTGTATCAATCATGTTGTAACAACTACAAAACAGAACTGACATGGAACAACATGGAACATATTAAATAGATAGATTTTCACTTGCATTGCTCCTCCTATGTAGCATTCACAAAGATCCTTGATCTGCATTCATTGACTTTTGAATGGCTATTATTGGCTATTATTTTTTTGAAAAAAAAATGTGCATACATCTTCCACTTCAGTAAAATTCACTCCACATACAGTTAACACAGCAGTGACCTTTATTTTGAGAATAGGCATTCATGCTGTCTGATGACAGTTTGTTATATAGCTTGAAGTGGTCATCCCCAGCACTTCTATATATATTATATATACTTATATATACTTATATATGTATATATATATATATATTATATTCATAAAATTTAACATTTATCTCTCAGTTGCACATCAAGAGCAGAAGCCCTATCAACGAATCTGAACACTGAAACTGAATGTAATTCTGCTGCTTAATACCTAATTCACCAATTTAACCGTATAATGATTTGATTAAAAAAACAAACACAATTACACACTATAAATATGATTCACAGCTTGTCTTTCACATCTGCATTGCTTACGTAGAAGCTATACTGTAGATCACAGCCTGTCTTTCACTGGCTTGAGCTACTTTTGGAAAAGTCTTTGAATATTCCAGTTATAGACATATAGACAGTTATAGAAATATATTATAATAAATTAATTAAAAATTGATATATATTTCACACATGATCCTGTAACTAAAACAATTTAACTTTCCAGTCACACTATTTTAGAAAATATCATCATCCAAATTCTAATACAAAATTACCTGAAGCCTTTTATGTGATGTATGTTGATTTTAGGTAAATTAACAAGTTACTTAGAGCAAATGTGGATTTTTGGGGTTAGAATCAAACTATTATATCTCATTAATGTGCCACTCAATGAAAAAAAGAAACTTCAAATTACACATTAGACAGTTCTAATGCTAGGCACTGTGGTTGAAAATGCTTTTCGAGTTTTAAAAAGTGTCAGTTTTTATATGTCTATGATATAAGTTTAACAGTCATTGTAAGTTCAATTTGCAAAGCGGTTATGAAGTAGCAAAGCTTATTTCAGCCTCAGCTCTTAAGGGGAGTGAGGGAGTGTTAAAAAGACATATTCACTCACACAGTCACATACAGATATCTAAAATGATTTTGTCTTATAATTGCCATGGCATTTCCCCTTCAGTATTTAACGTACTTCAGAGATATATTCTTGGAAGGACAAACGGTCTGCAAAGTCGATGACTTCCAACAAGCGAGACATGAAATGACACAGTTTGAACCTGCAGGGCTCCTCTGACACTCTTTTATTTCCTTTCCAGTCCCCTATACATCCCCTATACAATACTCCACACTGTGTAATGTGCCATTTCAAACCCTCCACATCTGTAATGCCTCGTTGAACTTGTGTGAGTCTTTCTGTGTGCTCCTTCCAGTGACAAGGCCATCCAGGGCCACATTAAAGGAGCAACTGTCCAGGTATCATGTTATAGGATGATTGTTGAGACAGTCAAACAAGAGAAGTGCCCTTTGTGTAACCTTTTCCTTTCCCTGACATTGGGTCCTGGCTTCTGACAGCACTGTCAAGGAGTCCCCCATTTGTTGAGGTGCTACTTGTATCTTTGTATCTTCCTGGTTCCCTGTTAGGCCATCAAGGGCTTTCTTTCTAATCCTCTTTTTTTATTTTGCTCTTTTCCATCTCTAAACCTCCTACTTCCATTTAAAACAGCCTCGCTCAATTTTCAGTTTAGGTGCTTCTTTATTTTATGAATTGCTAGTACTTTTATACTTTACTGGATTTCTACTTTATCGTGTCGTGCTGTAAGTGGCTGGTACTTTTAGTACATTTAGCCTCAGTAAAAATACCATTTTAAAGGCCAATTCTTCCCTACATCTTGTTACATTACCTTGCATCATTTCTCCTTTATTTACAACATCTTAGTTTGTTCAATCCAGATTTTGTAAAAGGATATTAAAATGGACTCTCAGTTTTGCATGGAAACAACCTTGAGGACACTGAGTTATTATCATGCAACAAGATTATTGCCAGTCATCTCCCACTGTGGCTAAAGGAACTTTAAATTTAGGCTAAGAGGCTGTTACAAGAGGAGAGCATTCATATGCAACAGTCATGCTGTAAACAGTCACGTTTCTCTGTTCCTCACCTTCTCTTTGCATAATGCAACACTTTATATATTTGGCAGGGGTCAGTTTTTGTAATGCAGTAAGCCTGCAAGCTTTGCAGCCTTTTATTTCATCATCTGAAATCTTGAAAGATTTATACCACTGTGATAGTGTGTGAGTTCATATGGTAGAAAGATAGAGTGCTGCTAAAATGGTTGAACATCTCTCTTTACCAGCATACTGGTATAGTTTCTTTGTAAATGCCATTGAATGATGAAGTATGCATATGTAACCCATAACCCTCCACACCTTTCTAACCCTATTTGTCTCTCTGCTGTTAACTGCAATCCACCATTAGGGCCAAAGCTCATAGTTTCCATTTTGAAATGTAGTGTAGGGCATGAGGTCATTAGATGGAAACATATATAGTGCTACACAGAGTGGTCATCATGCTCAGATATGCAGTATGGAGTCTGAAGAGACTATTGTTTTTGCAGATTGAGAGAATGGTTGCTTGTGTGAGGCTGGAAATATTGCGACATGCTGCTTAACATGCATATGCACTTAGGAGTATGTCCATGTTCATGGGAACGTATGCATTCATCATCACTGCTTACCTGCAGACTGTGGTCCATCACAGGGGGCCATAAATGAATGCAAGTTCAAGGCAGAGACCACCCATAGAAGCTGAGCACATTGTGAGGATGTATTCCCTTTGACCTGAAAGCTCCCCCTGTTGAATAAATCATGACAAAGTGTACCAGCTTCACACCAGTTTTCTTTTTTATCTTTTATCCGGCCCATCCTCCGAATATGCCCTTGAGAAACTGCAGAAAAGACGAGAGAGAAAAAAACATGGACACATCACCACAGGAGGTAGTGTGAAATCATTGTTTCCATGGAAATGGCAGGCAACAGTAAGCCCATTATCAATTCTGAGGTATTGACTCTCGTTCACTGCTGATATTTAACCTTCATAGATGAATAGGCCGTCATGCGTGCAGAGGAATTGATAAAGCCGCCACGTTCACCGAATTACGATTGATGTCTTTATCATTGGGAGACTGGACTAACCACAGCTCGCTTGCAAATTACTCTCCTTGGCCTCATCTATCAGGCTATTGAAGTTGGGCATTGGCTTACCATTTGTGTTGAGAAAAGAAGAGTTCTACTAAAGAAATACAACTAGCATTATCTAGTTTAGTTTGTTGGTTTGAAAAAAGTCTTTCAGTAAGAGTATTTGTTGCAACTTTTGAAAAGAAAGCTTCTGTGTGGGAATTCATTTAATTCAAAACATAAAATCAGCCGGGCTATCGTATTATTGCCGCCTTATGTTATCGTTCATTCATGCCAGTCAATAAAACCATGATGAATCAGTGAACTCAACATCTGAGGGTAGGTTTTTTTCTCCAACAACACCTGCTGGCAAAGACCGAGTCCAACTAACTGCAGATCAGCTCCCAACCCAGCCAGTCCACACTCAACCTGCAAACAAAACGGGCTGACACATCCTTTCTCTGCTGGGCCCTGTTGATTTGTCACTTTGACTCCCAACACCCGCAGATCCATTTTAGTGTAAAACGACCTGTCCAGAGCTGCCCTCTCAGCAGAAGGTAAGAGATGCTCGAAAACAAAAGCAGAAAGGTCATTGAATTGTGAGGTGAGGCAAATGGTGGATGAGGCAGTGGTTTCCCTTTTGTTGTGGCTAAACAGAACAGAAGGGGTCTGGGTGAAAATCTGTCATCGGGCGTGGGTGTGTGCAACTCAATCTCTCATGATCTGGGACAGAATAGCCGGAGCAGCTTGTTACTGCAATGTTTGTAACCCAGCAAGTGCTTTACACACTACTCCAGCCATTATCTAATGGTATTGTTTGGCTCAGTTTAAAATGATTGTCGTGATGATATCATATCGGACATAATCACACAACACAATGAAATGTGCCGAACTGAAGAGCAGCTCCTGAAACACACATGGTGACACACAATTACACAATAGGCCACCTGTCACTTCCACTACCAACTCATCATGTTATAATGAGTTAAATGATTTCAAAACAACTTCACACATAGAGAAGCATACTGTGTTGTTTTGCATGAAAACACAATTAACCTGATCATCACTTGCAAAACTGCAAGTCAGAGGACAAGTGACCCTACACCTTAGCATAACATATGTAATTATAGAAGATTCTGCTTTTCCGAGATTGCTTTTCTTTGCCCGCACTAGATAAAATTTGAATTTTACCTTAGAGGTACAGCGCGGTATAAACAGTGCCAAGATTAATATGAACACTGCACAGTGCCTTATCTCTCCAGTGCTCGAGTATGCCAGCTCATTCAACAGATTTGATTACTCCTTAGTTTACATTTCCCTCACCCTTGTTTGCTTCCCCAGCTATCAAGCTACCACTGTGTGGTCGAGGACTGATGTTATGTACAGAATGCCAAGCACACTGAAGCTGTAATGAACAAGAGATGCAGGCCCAGGTAGTGCACAACCACGTAATGTTCCCATTTCTGTCTTTTTGATGGGGGATATGGACCAAGGCCAAAATAATTAGACCCACACTGACTGTATGCCCGGGTATAAACTCAGTGTACACACAGCGGAGTGTAAAAGCTCTTATTTTTGGTTTTGTTTGTTTCCGAGTTCCTGTGGCTTTTCGAAAGAGAAGCATGTTTGTTCAGAGATAAGCCAAGGTTGCTGTGCCGTTCGTCCTCCTTATCTCTGATTCATAAGCCAGATGGGTCCTCTTCTTCCTCTGCTTTCTCCTTCTGTTTGTTCTTTGCCTTGTGATTCAAGTTCCCTTCCTCCTCCTCTTCTTTTCTTCTCTCCTTTGCTCTTTTAACTTATGTTTCATATCGTCTATCCACTCCTGCTCTGCTTTCTTCTCCTACTTGTTTTTAGCGACTTCTTTAATCTCACTAATATGTCTTAATGTATCTCCTCCCTCTTGTTTTTTTTTTACCTCAACCCATCCTCATCTCCTCTTGCCTTTACTGCCAACTCTGTACCCTATGGAATGGCACTACCATGTAGTTAAAAATCAAACAAACAATGATTTATCTCTAAGGGGAATTTTAAAGCCAGGAATGAAAGGGATGCCAACAAAACATCCTTCCATCTGAAACCTGGACTTCTACTGTATGTCATAAGTGATAAAGAATGGGTATACACACACAGGTAATTGACACACAAGGGTGACCGCTTAAACAACACACCATGTGTACCTAAAGCTTGCACATCAAGCTGTTTGTACAGAAGGGTAGATAACCAGCGTAACTAGGGGGTACGTTGGTAAATTGCGTTGCAGTCAGGGGTCTCAGTTGCGCTTTATCAAGGATCATTCTGCTAATTAGCACAGTGTTACCCCTCTAAATAAGCAGGGCTAAAGCAGCTTGGTGTCGGCGTGAGTGTGTGTGTACAAGAAAGTATCAGTCTACACATCGTGGAGTGTATTCATGGTGGTGTGTCACACCCTCCTTTAATTGGATGTTTGAATGTACCCATTTATCCACGGAAGGGCATCTAATTAGGGTCCTTTGACATTAGACACAGCTTTCCTTGCTTTGGCAGGGGTCTAGATTTCAGCCAGGCTACCCATAGCCAGGCTTAATTGACTATTATGATAAGGGTTGAGAGAATGTGTTCCATGCTGCTGTGATCTGTGCAGATAACACCTACAAAATGTTCTTGCTCTTAAGTTTTGTTGATTTTGCATCTACTGGTAAGTTCTTATGGGTGGCTGGGCACTTGCAACCGTCTTTCTGTGGTCAGTCTTTCTGCTCATAATGCTCCATTACACACAGGCAAAGTTAAGTGCTATATGCAAAAGTTGTATATCCTTTCATAAGTAAAAGGGAAGGCACTGCACCTCTTATGCAAGAAAGTCATTCAGATGAACCTTGCATTTTCATTGTTTTGAAACTATTTTCTGCATCTTAATAATGTGAAATGTGTCACTCACTGTAGTGCTCTTCCTCCCAGCTCTACAGACCATTTTGGTATGTTTCAGCTCATTGTTTTTGTTTCACAGTCTGCAACTTTAATGTTTTGATTCACTCTCACTGTTCCCATGAACCTCGTTTTTAGCAGTAGGAGGTAACTGTTATTAATGAAAAGGTGTGATGAACTCAGCTTAAGATTTTTTTTTTTTTTTGGACACAAAAATGAATCCTAATATATTTCTCCATATCTGCTGGATGTGTAAATATGCAACTGTTTGCTAACTTATTCACCATATCAACTCAATAAGGTAATAATATAGTATATAATCTAATATATATAATAATATATAATGACCTTCACCTAAATATTTATTTCAGCATCCTTTGTGCTCCGCACCATTGCACTATTGTCTACTGTCTACAAATATTTGTTTTTTCTTTGTTTATATATGTATAACTGTACATCGTAGTTTATCTCTTTTTTGTTAAGCTTGTTGTCCTGTTTATTTAAGCTTAGTCTGCTTGTACATTGAGAGCCATGTAAAACCAGAGTCAAATGTGTCCACATACCTGGCCGATAAAAGTGATTCTGATTCTTAATATGTATTGTTGTGTTTACAGCTTGTTGTGCTGCCCCCAGGTGGCCAAAAAAATCAATTATGTAGGTTTAAGCTCAAGGTCAAAGCAATTGAGTGTATTCATTTTGAAAGTGCTAACATTTTTTTGACTTTTTCTCTTTCTAACAGAGGATCCAGAACACAACAGACACGTTGTTCAATTTAACTGGACGGAACATGACGGACTTCTTGGTCAAGACTTTCGAGCGCTCGGGTAAAACAAGGTAATGCATGTCAGTGTTTTTTAATCAGGGCATCACAGTGCATTCATGTATCTGGTGCATGCACTTTAGAAACTAGTGACTCTCCTCCGGCGCTTTGGCTTTGGACACAAAAAGAGCCAAATTACTACCTGGGCAGCTGTTGTGGGGTTGATGCATCCACTTTTAGAAGGTCAGTTAAGTGTAATATGAATAAAAGGACAAAATCCTGCACACTGTGTTGCCATTTACATCTCTAGAATGCTTTGACAAATCCTGCTGGGCCTCTCTTTGATACACTTCCTTTAACCTGTCATTTTACTACACATGTAAAGCAAACTGTCACTGCATGACAGAGCTGATTAATTATAAGCATTCCTTTTATTTGTGAGTAACCCTGTGAATATTTGGTCATGTTTCTAGAACATGTTGTTCATGTCCATATCTCCACTGTAAGGTCTGCCTTTACTGTAAGTTTGTATCTCATGTGTCTATATGTGTAGCTTTGCAGAGCAAGTGTAAAAATGCATGGGTGTTGTGTATCCTTGGCAATACTCATATGATCTTACCTGCACTTGAACCTCACTCTCTTTATGCTTTATTCTGCTACTTCAGGTATGGTGGCATCTCTGTTGGAGGAGTCAACTCCCAAGTCCGACTGACAGAGGCAGCAATCGAAGCTGCATTCAGGGATCTCAAAGACCTATTCAGTTCATTTCAGGTATGCAATATATATTTCACAGTAAAGCCTGTTGATACCACATGACTATTTGAATAACCCAGATCTACAAAGACTGCTAGAGTCTTAAGTTTTATGAATAAGCAAAGGACAAAAACACCTCAAAACACCAGTGTGCAGATAATATGTTTATTAAATGTGGGCTTTGTTAAATATGATCAAATAGGTCCTATTGTCTGAAACCCTAAGAAAAGTACTTGAGTTTACTATGTCAAAAACAAATCTACATTTTGTCCAAATATAATTTCTTAAACAAGAACTTTTTCATTTATATTTAATTTGAGTTTTTCAGCCCTGTTAGCAGCAAGGCTCTAGGGATGCCAGTCCACCACTTTAGTCCAAAGGGAAATATCTCAGCAACTCAGGATTAATTGCCATGAAATTTGCACCAACATTGCTGATCCTGATCCTTTTTTCTGAGTGCCATCATGAGGTTGCCATTTTTAGTTTTGAATGAAATGTCTTGACAACTATTTAATAGAGTGATATTAAATTACCCTGATGGTTCCTTCATTTTTTTTATCTAGCATCAGGTCAAATTTTCAATTTTGGTTTATGACCAAATACCTGCAAAACTAATGACATTATGATTATCCTTAGCTGTAGTTCATGTTTCCTGTTACTTAGCAAATGTTAGCATGCTTACTTATTAAACTAACAGAGTTATTATCATTGTTGTAGAATCTTATTCATTTTTGAATGCTTGAATGAATGAAGGCCCTTGTCCTTTTCAAATGTTCCCACACATTGTAATCTTTAGATAACTACTGGTATTAGTATTCTGTTTGAAGTGTTGTGATGTGTTGACAGTGAAGTGCAGGTCAGAACTCCTTGTTCTTCCTGGTGTTTCAAACAGGCCTGGCATTGCTTTTATACACATTAACCTACATAAATCATAAAAATCAAACTTTGAGTCAGTATTCGTCACTATCAGCATTGTGAATTTTGTGTTGCAAGTCTTTGTCCAACACTAAATGTTTAAAAGTTTTGAAGAAATGGTTCAGAAAAAAGATTTTCTCCTGTCAAGGCTGCAGTTTGCCAGTCGTCTTTTGAGTGGGCAGCTTCTAATTAGAGCGTGGCATTCTTTGTTCGGTCAGCTTTGTATCTTGGGTACAGGTGATGCTATTTGTTGTGGACTTTTGGACCCTGATGAATTCTGAAACGGTTGCCAAAGAAGAATGAAAGCAAAGAAGAGAGGACGTTTAGATTCTTCAAATCCATTTTGTTGAGTGTCCATGGCAACAGGCTATGAGTGTCTGTGCATTGCTTGGAATAAATCGAGGAATATGGGTCTTCACTGCACACGAACACACATATTCACACACAATCCATCACATTTATTTGACTTTATCTACTTCAGCCACCTCAAATTAATTCATACATATATATACATTCATTCATTTTTACTCAAGCAGTGTTTCTTGAACTTTATTCCAACTCACTTGTCCCCTCCTTGTATCTCTCTCTGTCTCTCTCAGTCTCTCTCTTGCATACACACAGGCTCTCATTAACATTTCAAATTTTCAATGTTCAAACTACTTTGAGATCAGCACATTGCTTCGCCCTCAGGCGTCTCCGGTCTCATTCCTACCCAGGCTCCCTTCTCTGTCTCCCGGATCTCGACGCTAATGTGACTTTAATTCGTGCAGCAGCGATGATGTAACCCTAATGGCCGGGCATTAGCCGTCCCAGCTCTGCATTCCTTGTTATTAAAGTGCTACACTGTCCTTGGGAAATGTCTGGCTCTCTGCTGCTCGGCAGGCACTGTGATGCGAGATGTTAACGGGAAGTAGCGTGTTTTTGCACTCTGAGCCACCTGCGCTGACTGGGAAGCGGGCTTTGAAATTTCTGTTTAATTGCATTTCCTGTGTCTAGCAGGTAGAAATCGGGTTTTGTGTTGCAAGAGGTGACGGGAACGATGAGAACAAGAAAGCCTTTGTGCTGGAAACTGTTTAGTTGCGCCAAAAAAATGTATCTCAAATGTCACAAAGTCTTGGAGATGGTCTTAATGTCACTATGGTTCCCTGAAATGTTTCTATATCCTTCTCAAACTAAATTTGTTTAAATTATTTATATTATTCAGAGAAATGAACCCCTAATTTAACAAACCATGAACTCCTTCCTGGCAAGATCTCAATAAACTCACACACACAGACCATATGACCACACTGTCATACAGACCATTTGACCACTGAACTGTGCAGGCCACTTTTGGAAAACTCGCCCAAAAAAGTCACCACACACTCGAGTGGCTTTATTGCTGTGTCGTTAGCCGTGGCACCGGCAGGTCCGCTGGCCAAACCAGCCTTGTCATTGTCCTTGAGCGGGGTGGAGTTTGTCAAGGATTAGACCCAGGCAGCCGCTGGCCCACTTCTCATCTCGTTTCAGCCACCGCTAATCCTCAGGAAGGCCGCCTATTGGCACTGCCCGTTGCTGCTTGGCACAATGCAAACTGGAATGAAGGAAAAACACAACAATACTGTTAAGACTCCTTTGCTCTTGCTGGAGGAAGCATTATGGACAAGAGTAGGAGTCTTGTTCTCTGCCCGGTATATGAATAGGTAATGAGTTGGAACAGAGGGATTATTTAACACAAATACTCCTGTCGGCATAGATGGGGTCGCCCCCCTCCCCCCCTTCACACTGTGATGTGGAAAGACATGAAGAGTTCATGCTGTGTTACTGAACTGATGTGTAAACATTTTGTTATGCCAAAGGAGCAGACTTGATCTATGGCAGGGCAAAAAAATGCTCCGAATGCACTATGAATTCCTACGAATGTCACAATGTGGTTTAGGATTGACTGAGTAAAGGATTGTGGGATAGAAAAAGTAAGAACAGGAGTGTGGTATGATCTCCTCAGTCCCTTTTCCTTAGGTAACTGTCTTGGGGGCTCGAGATATCTTTTGTGTCTATTCCTTTCCACACTCCCTCTTTCAGAGCAGACAAGCACTTGCACCTGAGCCCACTCTTCCATTCTTGGAATGTCTTTGTTGATTTTTCTACTCTTATTTTTTCTAACCCCCTCCCCCACCTCTCTCCCCAGTTGTCACCTGCACTTTTCCTCCACCAACCTCTCCTCACTCCATGCCACATCCACTGTCCCCCCTTCTCCTCTTCCTAACCGAAGGCAGGGTCCAACAGGAGGCCCATTTGCATTTATATCACACATGTAATGTGCTCAGTGCGCTTATGGCTAGTCTGAACAGCATGGCATCAACATGACACTTTGGAAATCGCATGCCTGTCATCTCAAGCCCTCATCCCAAGGCTCATTTCACATGAAACATGAGTGGAATAGAGCAGAATTTTTAATGCAACCTGTCCAGTCTACTCTCTCGCCTCCATTTTCATCTCCTCACCTCACCAAAAAAAAAAAAAACCCAGAAGACACAAAATGCTCTTTTTTGCTGATTGGTACATTAGGTAATGAGGCAATTTCTGTTACTTGTGAATCCTTGTTTCATGTTCTCTTCCTCCTCACATGATTTTAATTATTTCACACTATTTAATAAAACAGAAACGTCAGAAATGGAGAAAAAAAATCACCAAAGTAGCCAAAATAACAGGGGACACATTTTTACCCGAGTCTGAGGGAAATAAGTGGCTCATCACACCCAAATGCTCTCCCGAAGTCTTAATTCTTGTCTCCCTCTGCCTCATGTTTTGCATTTCAAAGCGCAGTAGTGGTTTTCCAAGTGTATCCAATTAAGTCTCCAACTCAGTTTTTTTTTTTCTTGTTTTCCTCATCTTCATTAGGATAATGTGACTGATCAGATCTTCCCGAAGGCTGAGACGCTGCTGAAGAAGCTGGGGACCAGGGACAACGTAAAGGTATTATATTAATTGCTGTGTGCCCCTTTGCTCCACTGTTTGATTTGGTCCAATTAGATGAAAGTTTAATAATCTCTGAGAGGGAATAAGGCAGGTGCAGTTTGGATTTTTGGGGAGGAAAGGTGGTGATTAAGACAGTGAAGGTGCAATTATAAGTTATGATGCCAACTCCTTGTTAACATTTTTGCAGCATTAAACCTATATAACTTATCTTGACAGAAATCAGCAGGAGATGGTTAAATAATGACACTTTAGAGTAGTTATGAGTAGATATCTTGATGTCTATTAATGCAAATACATTGTCCTTATCCTTTGCAGAGAATGCAAATGGGAGTGCAACTCAATAATTAGTCTGTTTTGTATTAAATTCAAAATGTGCAAGCCTAACTGTGAGTTTCCCTAACAGCAAATTAATAAGGGGTAGTAAGTAGAAGTACTCAGATCCTTTGGTGAAGTGAAAGAAGCAGTACAATAATCTAAAAAGTAAAAGTTCTGTATTCAAATTCCAGATTAAGTAAAGGTACAAAAGTATTATGAACAAAATTTAAAAGTAAAAGTTTTCATTCTTGAGAAAAATGGCTCCTGTTACTGAAATATTATTATATATGCATCAGTGTATAAGCAGCATTTAACTGTGTTTAACACAGAGCTAGTTGGAACTACTTTATTACAATTACATTTAGGTAGTTTAGTTCAGTGGTTCCCAACCTAATGGATCACAAGATAAATCGGAGGGGTTGTGATGACTGTAGGAGTAGGAAAGAAGAAAGAAAGTTCTACTCCACAAATCTGTAACCTTTAACCCTGAACTAATTTAGAAAAATATAGGAGCATTACAGCTCTTTAGCTGGGTAAACCATTTTTTATATGAAACTTTCAGAAGTTAAAAGGGTAGATGTCTCTTTGGTGAAACTGCCCACAAAGTTGGGAAGCACTGTGGATTGTATGACACACATTTATCACGCAATTATTTATGTAAAATTTTAATCTGAAATAGTGACATTAGCTGTCAAATAAATGTAGTAGAGTAAAAGCACAAAGTAGCAGAAAATGGAAATACTCAACACCTCAAAATTATATTGACGCACAGTACTTGTGTAGTTGTACTTAGTTACTTTGCAGCACTGTGCTACATTTGTATTTGATGTTAATATCTCACGCTTATATATCTCATGCTGAGTTCTGCTCCTCCCCAAAACAAGCTGATGTTAAAAGTAGTTTCAGAAATGCAAATGCTTGCCATCATATCTGCTCACACATTTTTCACTCCCTTCTACTGTATACCACCCTCGTGTGCAGCAGACAAGCTTGCTTTACTATCTGTTACATTGAATACATCAAATAGTATTTAAGCTGCCGAGCTTTCAGAAACTACAGGATGAAGGGGATATAATAGTAAAAACAATATCAATTTTGGTGTGTGTGTGTGTGTGTGTGTGTGTGTGTGTGTGTGTGTGTGTGTGTGTGTCTGAGATACAGCAAGAACAAAGAGATAGAGAGTCACAAACAGGCAGTTGTGTGTGTGTGTGTGTGTTCGGGTTTCTCCATATCCTCTTCTGTGATGCAGTGTTATGTTAGGCTGACACTCAAACACCATCCACTCTTAATTAGCGCTGCACTATCAGCGGGGTGTCCTCTCTCACTCCCACTCTCTTTCATCCATTCTTTTTCTTCTACACCTCAGCAGCCACAGACTCAGAGAATCACTAACATTAAAAAGAAAGTGTGCAAAACAGTTTTTTTTAACTGTTGCCTCGGCATGCTAAGCCCTGTCGGGATATGGCAGTCATTGCAGGCCTTTCTCTGTTAAATGAAAAAAATATATATATATTTTCAGCTCTGTTGCCTATTCTTATAGAACAGTGTGTTACTCAGAGAGATTATTTGACGCCTCTCGGAGCTCCTTTTGTGCACTAAGTGAACAAAATCTATTTTATCTTTTACTATATTCTAACAATCATAAGACACAATATATAGAAACACACAAAATACAGAGCAGGAAATATCTATGGGAATGTGCCGAGCGGTAACACAATACTGTACTGTACATCTCACTGTATGTTACACAAAGAACTTTTGTGCATCTTCAAATGACAGTATTTCTTCATGTGTGGACTAATAAAGACTTTGCAAGTGATTTGACAGACTTTTTGGTGGCCAAATTGATGGTTCACATCTCCTACAACAATAATATCCCTTTACTGCAGCTTGCAATTTTCCGGCTAGTTAGCTTGCTAAAAGCCAAAATAAAGACGGAAAGAAATTGAAAAAACTGGGATGACACATGTTGCAAGTCATGTGTCAAGACAAGGCAAGTCCAAATATCTTGGTAATCTTCTTGACTTATATTTTGTTTCTTCTTTCATCATTCATGTGAAATCTTTTTCCATTATTCGTCCATGGCCAAATTTATCAGCCATAGAGGTGTCCGATGTAGTTGCTAGGAGACATCTGTTGTAACTGCAAAGCCTCTGCATGCTGTACCGCCGCTCATGCTCGTCTCTACCTCGGCAGGTGTGGTTCTACAACAAGGCATGGCATGGCATGCCGTCCTTCCTCAGTGCGGCCAACAACGCCATCCTTAGGGGAAATCTGCCAGCAGGACAGGACCCCCGTCAGTACGGCATCTCTGTGTCCAATCATCCCCTCAACCTCACCAAGGAACAGCTCTCCTATGCTGCAATGTGAGTCATTTATTCATTCATTCAGCCATTATTATGTGCATCATAGTGGTCCAAGAAAAAACAGGGCAGGAGCATGGCCTCTAAAATGTAAAATATAGTTTTAATTAAAAATGTAATCAAGCTAGTTAGGATGAAATGCTGACAGCATACTGTATGTGCAACTTTACATTTTTATATCTAAATGGATGACGTACACCGTATGTTGCACATTTAAAGAAGTGTTTGCTGTGAATGCTCCAATTATTTCAGAAAACTGCATCTACAAACCTTGTCTGCAGTTTCCTCCTAACAATTTCAGCATGTAAGGCTGCTGCATTGAATTTTGCCTCCGACAATGCATCATGAGATGCAGAAGAGAGAGCTGGGAGAGATAAGACAGAGTGAGAGGGACAGAGCAATGGAGTGGGTGAAAGAAGAGAAGAGACAGCGCAGACAAAGGGAGAACAGATGAGTAAGAGACAATACAATGGGAAGCGTAAGACAGATAGATAGATGAGGGATTTGTTTGAGTATGCACAGATTTGGAGGCCCATGGGAGCCCCTTACGAGGATACACCATTTTTTTTCTTATGCGTTATCCCAAAGCTAGCAAGTAAGCAGCTCCCCATGAGAGTGAGAGATTAATGACGTGCTAAATCACAACATATGGATATAACTCTCTTTCTGTGTACTGTGTACTATTTCATGATTATGACCAGTGAGGTAGAGCTTTTTTTGTATTCCTGAACATTATCTACTGTTGATATTTTGCACGTTCAGAGACATCAACGTGATCAACACTTTTAATGGAAATTATTTGGAATATATCCCACTGCAGCAAATTAACATGCTGTGCCATCACCACAACTCTTCACATTATTCAGGCAGTTCAGTGGTTGCTACCAATCACCGCATCGTAGCAGTTTTATTCCATACCCCCGCGCCCAACCTGCAGTCAGGTATTTATGTAGTGATCAGGTGCTCACGACAGCCACGAGTTAGAGAGGGAGACTGGGCCAGGGTTAGGAGATAATTACGACGGCCTGCCTACGGGAGATTCAGGATGAGCCTCTTTTCCCCTCTACCTCTCCGTGCAGGGTGTGATGACTGAAATTTATGAACTATGATTTCCAGATTAGCTCGGACACTCCTTCATTGTTGGATAAGTGTGCAGGTTGCAGACAAGAATGGGGCAGAGACTTCTTGAGCAGATGGCTGTGCACTACGGAATTAGGTTGCTTGAAGCGCCACTTTATTTTTTATATGAACAATGGATCAAATGACATGTGTTATGTGAAAAATTACAAGCCCGTTAAGAATCAGCCCCTACTTTGCAGCAGTTCCTCTCAACCCTTCAGAGTTTTTAAGCCTCTTTTAGCTTGTTGTTTTCATTGTTTACCTGCAAATTATACTCTTACCAAGCCCATTTTTGTCACTTGCAGCTTTTTCTTGTGAAAAATCTCCAGAAACAGAAAATACTGATATTGCTCTGCAGCAGCTGTATGTGTAAATAGGTAGATTTCTGCGAAGAAATGTAACAATAACAAAGTTATAAAGTGATTACATGCCAGATATTGCTATTAACTCACTTCTGCTGCTCCCATGTGGCCAGAAAACAAACAAAAGAAATAAAACAATTCAGCTTTGAGTACACAAATGTTAGTGTGCGTAATCCAGTAATTGTTGTTTGAAGGCGAATAACAGTGTGTGGTGAGCATGGCGCAATGGGTGCCTGAATTTATCTTAGACGTTAGAGTGATGAATTCCCAGAAATATTATTATAATGGTCTCGGAAGTTGCAAAAGACATTTTTATGAAAGTTGATGAATGGTAAAAATGTCTAAATTTTTTATTTTGGTCTCAAAATCCATTTGCTGTAGGTGGCTGTCAGTGTAGTTGTGAAGTCTGCTATAATTTGCTTGTCACCAGCCCAAGTAAAGTCCCTGAATTACAGAGAGCTAAGAAAGCCACCAGTAACGAAAAGTGTCTCCCTGTCCTGTAAAAACAATCTGAAATTTAAGGGAACGTCAGCCTTGAAAATGAATTTATATTTCTCACTGACAGATCTTTAATGTCATGGAGAGACCACTGCTCGAGCTCTTCTATCGATAATAATTTATCAGTAATGACTTGTTCCCTCCCAAGGTTTTGGACACCAAAATTGCACCACACCATCTAATTTGAAGTGGCACTTCACAACCAGTTTCAATGCAAGTGATGTCATGAGCCCCAAAATTGTAAAAGTATGCACCGCAGATGGAAAGAAAGGCGATGCTTACACCCGTCAAAATTACCACTTCACTCGCGCGAGGTCTCTGTGCTTCATCTGCATTGGCACACAAATAGGGCCTTCCAATTTTCTCTACCGTCTTCAGAAATGTCAGACGTTGGCACCATTTCATTATGGAGATATATGTATCACTTCTTAATTGCTGAGGACTATCAATTTGGCAACTGTCTTCTGTTCTTACCAGCTTTTTGAGTTTGAAGTGTAATTTAGTTGCAATCAGCGAATTAATGCTGTTTCTGATTTGTGCACTCTATCTGCAAAAGTAGGCCTCCAAAAAATCCTATACACTTGAGCTGCCAAATGAATGTAAGTTCTCGACATTATCTTTGTAATGCTGCATAATACAAATAATGACCTAAATTGTTGTGCCTGTTAATTATCTTGTGCTTTCAACCCCCCTACACTTTAACATTTAAGGGCTGTGAAAGCAATAGATCCTATAAAGCTCGACTCCCACTGCTCATCTTTCTTGCTCTTCCATTATTAGTTAATTAGCAGATTGCTTGTCCTCTTCTTCACAGCAATTAGCCAGCTTCAAGCATTCAGGTTTAGATCATTCACTGCTTTATCCCCTACATTATCTCCCCACCCAACCAGAGCACACAGCCCTTGAAACCTGTTGAAATGTGGGCTGGCACCCACTGTGGTAAATTATTTTATTTATGTCTTCTAATTGCGTCTGGTTGGCGATGATAAATGCAACCGTGTAGCCACACAGGGTAACTTCTTTAATATGCTAATTACACAACAGGAAGTCTTGTGAGAGATTATCGTGGGATGAGGGTGAGGATGATGGCGGGGGTTAAAGGAATACACCACAGTTTTATCCAATGCTAATTGAACAGACAAGGAAGCTGGGATGGTATAAATGAAGACATATGCCAGTAAAATGAAGGTCAACATCTTGGAGGAGAAAGGAACAATTTGTTTCTCACATGAAAGGAGGACACTGAAAGAAAAAATGTGCTCCTTTATTCTCCTGTTTACTGGGTTGCCAGGAGACCAACAGGAGCTATGAATCGAAGGTGAACCTAGCATAATGGCCTATCATGGTTTCAGAGGTCTAATGATCTTTAAAAGCTTTTTTATTATGTACAAACAGCATTGTCAGTGCTTTCCATTAATGTGCGAAATGCTTCTCTAATTAAGTCATTAATACCAACAAGCACACGCCTGAACCATTAGTTGTATGGATTATTTCTGCAGGTTTAACAAAATTAGTTTAAATGCATCTTAACATTGCAAAGGAATTAATTTAATGAGTTTATTGCATTACAGGAAACGAGCCAAATGCTGCTTTAACATTGTTGTAGTGTCATCCGGTTCATTCCCTGGTAACAGGAGAACTGACCACAGACCTGTTCTCTTCTCTGAGAATCTCTCAAAGTTAGACTTTTGTAACTATATCTTGAATACACGTTTTTCAGCAGGAACGTTGAGTCAGCCATCTCTAACCTTTTCTGTTATTCTCGTTGACATCAGTGGGGTGATTAGTTATACTTTTGGCCTTGTGAATGTTATGTGAATGATGTGATATGCAGCAATGGCTAGTGCCCACTGACATGGAAAATCAAGTGACGCAGTATTGCCAAAGAAAAATATTTAAATGAACTTTAATCCATTTGAAGCATGAAACCATTTAATTTAGATTTCTCTATTAGAAGTTCTGTATTTCATAAATATACCACATATTCCAATGCCTGTGTTTTTATCCAGAGTGCCCTGATTAAAGGGTTTACATATTTTTAGCATAATGTGGCTTAGCTCTCCAGTCCAACTTCCTGTTTGCTGTGCTCTATTCAATCACAGGGCCACGACCTCGACTGACGTGGTGGTGTCCATCTGCGTTATTTTTGCCATGTCCTTCATCCCTGCCAGCTTTGTCCTCTTCCTCATCCAAGAGAGGGTGAACAAAGCCAAACATCTGCAATTTGTCAGTGGAGTAAACCCAGCTGTCTACTGGTTGGCCAATTTTGCATGGGACATGGTGAGTACCAGCTTCATCGCGATGCTGTATTACCTCTTAATTGACTGTAACTTTTTGAGGTAATACTGAGCATTGGCTATAACATGTATTATAGAGTGATTCATCCAAATCAGGTTTCAGTGGCCTCATTTTACTCTAGTTTTACACCTACTGTCCTGAAATATTTTTTACACCTAAGGCAACATGTAAAAAGAATATCCATTTACTGTAACTGATAATGTAGCTTTGACACTGCTGGCCTCTGGGAAAAGCTTCACCGGAGCAACAGTCATTGGCTGAGACGTAATTATTGACACCGGCTGCCCCCGCTGGTTATGCTCAACATGCTTACCAGCATTTTCCCTGAGGCATAATTGAAGTAAACATTTTATCAGGTACCTCTGGTAAAGAAATGGCATCCGGACGCCCCTCATTATGGTGGAGAAATGCTGTCTGAGTGGAAGACAAATGTACCTAAGGAGTCAGTCTAATGATTCTAGCCTGTAGCTCTCTGCATTAGCATGCATGCTCTGTCAACAATAGGGATATTACACAGAATGCAGTTTGAAAGGCTTTTTTGTGAACTGTAAATAAATGTGTGTCATTGTATCTTGATACTGTTTATTTTATTATCTATAGTACATCATTTATTCACCAGTGGAAAACAGTGGATTTGTTTTGTTAAAGAGCTCCGCAGTCACGAAGAATATTAAACCTTGAAATTAAAAGGCTTTATTCCAGCCCTTTTTTTGTATTGACTTTATTATTAACATGTTAAATAAATTAGTCTCTTACTTGAAAACCATATAAATCCATTCTACTCTTGCTCACTTCATTGTGTCATTGAGCAACCCGCTAGCCTCAAACAGAAGAGAATTGGATGGGTCTGTTATTTAATGAATTAATTAGAAAACGAAAGATGGATATATTTGAGTGCTAATTAAAAAAGTAATCTACAGATTTCATAATTACATGAAAAAGATTGTCAAAAGCACTAAAATCTCAGTCATTAATGCCCCGAAGATCAATTTCTTGATCACGCACTGGCCTCTGCTCCTGATGGGAATATTGCTGCTAATGTTTACGTTTGCTTGTTTGTGTTTCTTCTCACAGTGCAACTACATCATCCCGTGCTTGATTGTGATTGTGATCTTCCTCTGCTTCCAACAAAAAGCCTACGTTTCACCTCCTAACCTGCCGGCTCTGATTCTCCTGCTTAGTCTGTATGGGTAGGTACATTTAAAAACTCGATACTATTCACCTTAAATTTCCTCATAAAAGTTTACACTTGGATCATGGATTGTTGCTTATTATATATATATATATATATATATGTATTACTTTTCTCTACATTGTTTAGCAACATCTTATATACTGTATTGTTTATTCTGCATCTGCTAGTTCGAGCGCTTCATGGAAGTTACAGTGCAACCTCACTTTGTATGTTTAATCAAATAATCCAATTCATTTTTCTGTCATTACATCGGAAAGAAAATGCTCTAGTGAAGAAATCACCTCTTTCAACTACGGCAATACCTGTGGCAAATCAGTACTTCATTTTCTCTCGTGGCATGGATGTCTGTAACACTTCAACAAGTTTTGAAGAAAAATGGCACAGTGGTTGTATCCATGACCCCTATGCCTGTGTTTTCTGATGAGCAAAGTTTGATGGAGTTACTTGAATCCCTTTGACTTTTAGTTCCTGTCACCACCAATCAAATAATTGATAGCAAGCAATTATGATACCTTCCCAGGCGTAAGGGGTAACATAAAAAATAATATCTTTATAGTACATCATCAAATTTTGGAGATATTGGCCCACTTTCAGAAAATTTAGGGGTAACTGCTGCTATGCACTATTTCAGGCTAAATGTGCAGCACATTCATTTAAGCTGATTCATATAAAGCTGTGCCACGGTGGTGATCAGAGCATGAGCGCGATGTACTGGCTGTTGCATCGTTCAAAATCAATATGTTAATGAGGTGTATAACAGCCGACATGATCAGCCATATCAAGAGGCAGGTGAGGTTGCACAATGTCAGAAAAGTAAAAAAAAAAAAAGAAAAAGAAAGAGGAGATGACAGAGATTTTGCAGACTGACCTTTAAATACTGAGGCCTACAGATAAACTGTTATTATTTTTGAATTCTGAAGTCCATTCAAAGTTTTTTTGCCCGCGTGCCCAGTAATCATACTGAACTCATAAATAAAATGTTTTTTGAGATATTGAACTGTTATTCTACCACTTCAGTGATCACCTTGAGCAGCACCTCACTTCTAGTATCTCTGATACCGAAGTTGAACTGCAGGCCAAACGTGGGTAGCATTTATTGTTCAACAGTGGTTTTTATGGGTCACTTATTGGACATGCAGATGATCAGAAGAGGCTGGTGATGCCTTAAAACTACCTGGTAATCTGCATTTATGAATTGAAAATGGCATAAATTCTGCTAAATTGAAATCGGGCACTACTGTCACATAAACCCCGGCACTGGAGTACTGTCTTCTGGAAGTTAATCCTCATGTTGTGTACCTAGGTCGGTGTATCCTTTGCCTCTCTGCCCTTTGTGTGACAGTGTGTTGTTTGCTGCAGGTGGTCCATCACGCCCATGATGTACCCCGCCTCCTTCATCTTCAGCGTGCCCAGCACAGCCTACGTGGTGCTGACCTGCATCAACCTCTTCATTGGTATTAACGGCAGCGTGGCCACCTTTGTCATGGAGCTCTTTGATGATGATGTAAGTGGCATTCGCACACAAACACGCTTATACATGCACATGTTCTGGAGAGACTCGCATACATATATGCACAGTTTTAACACCGTGGAAAACACATATCCTGTGAACAGCAGGCACAGACATTCAGGCTCTCATAGCTGTATAAAAAATATATTTGGAAGCTATAGCAGTGGATGGCTAATTATTATGAATCATATATAAAAGGTCTGTGTTTTCGAAGCAAAGGCTTCCACACGCATGTGGGTGGAGTGTGTACCCACCTGGTATAACTTTTAATATATTTCCTTTATCCTCTCAAGGATTTTTCAAAGGAGTTATTTTCCCTATTCTCTTTAATCTTTAATCATTTGGTGAGAATTGGGTCTTTGGAGAACTTTCCTCATCCATCTTTCAGCAAGTGTTCATTTTAACTGCAAGCTGCTTCAGTCTCACGGGATTCAAAAGACAAAGACACCAAAAAAAGAAATGCATAAGAAATTGAGAGCTTAGGAAGAGAAAGAGGAGGGGTGTTGACTGTCAGTCATTTTACTTTTGATTAGTGTTTAAATCACATTTCATTTAAAAGAGAGAGAAACTGACCTATTCTGACTATACAATTTGTGAAACAGCCAGAACTCTCAGTAGCAGGACTTTATGTCCTTACAGGTGGTGATGATTGAGAAAATGATCTACAGTTCTTGATGTCTTTTTTTCTCTGAATTAAATATGTCTAATTTGATTTGTAAACTTAATTGTATTTGCATGATTAGCATGTATCACCCACACTTTTTTTCGATTTTTTTCACATTGTATTTTTAGCCTTGCGCTGATCAGTCATTCCTTGTCAACAGACATGACGCCGTTTCGCTCTCTGACAAGCTGCTTATGCATCTGATGCTTCATCAGAACGTCTCCCACAGCTCTGAGTCGACGCCCCAGATGGGGCGTAAATGTTGTCTGAAAGTCTCTGCCTCTGACGCTCTGTCCCCTCTGACACGCCTGCCTCTGACTTGATGTTTCCTCTGGCGCCGCTCGGCGATGGCATGGGATGTTTCCTGTTTCCTAACGAGGCTGCCTCATTTGCATTGTGGTTTCATTATCACCAGCATTCATTATCAATTTGTATTTTTCGGCTGACACGTCTCTCTTCAAAGAAAGTCGTTGTTGCTATTTTGTTGTCTCTGCATTCGCTTTATTTATTGATACAGTGCTAGTGGAGCGTATTACTCATAAAGGGTGGCATTGGCGGTAATTTAATGGACAGCAGGTTGCCCACTGGCAGTGTAATGGGACGGATTTACTGCGCTCTTCTCTTGTCCAAGGCATTCGGGACAGAGATAGTGTTTCTCTGAGACTCGACAGGGACAGGGGTCTATGATAATTCTGCTAATCTGACTCGATTTCACTGCTGATAAGAGAACCTGATGGGTTGACATCAATCAGCGAATGTTACGACTCTCCAGGTTTCCATGTGTCCCCTGTTCAGAGCAGATATCTCCACGAAACAGACTCTTCACAAAATAGCTACCGTAGATACGACAGTGTCCCGGTGTGCCCCAGTTAGGCAGAAAGGGTAGATCCTACACATGACAGCTCAATCCGGTCTTCTCCTTATAACTTCAATCATTTCAAAGCTTCATCTTAGTATTTTTAGGTTCCTCAGTGGTGGCATTAGTAAAACAATGTCGGTCAAAAGTAAAGCTACAGGCTTCAATCTGCTCTCTGTTTTCAAGCACAGGGTGAATCTAAATCCCTTTTGGGCATAGCGCCAGTTTTTTCCAAGAGAAAAAGTAACGGAGTGAGAAAGCAGAACTGTGGTGTTACAGACTCTGTGCCCCAGTTTTGTCTCGAGACCAATGGGAGATTTTCTTCCCCCCAGGACTGTCCAGCTCCCTGTGGATTGCGTCAATCCCAGCCTGCCTTGTATGCTTGAAGCAGTGTCTGAGTCAATACCCCCACCACGTGCCACTCAGAGATAACCACAGGCACAGATAGATTTTCCAGGATAGACGTAAAGGTGTGGCTGTGTGGCCAGGTACTGCCTTCCTCATGTTGTGTAATGGGAGTGCACTGGATGAAGTCCAGCAGCCTTTATTGACAGGATGTTTAAAATAAGCATTAAAAGTCCATTATGTAAGATTTATGGGGATCTATTGGCAGAAATGGAATATAATATTCATAGGTAGGTTTTCATTAGTGTATAATCAACTGAAATCATCGTAGAATGTGCCGTTTTTACATATAGCAGGTGGCCTGTGCCCAAAGCACAAACTTTGCTAAATGTGCAAATTCTTGAATTACCTGGTTGGTAGCACCCCCACCTTTCAACAAGAAATACAGCAGCTCAATAAAAAAAACATGAATATCATCTCCAGAAAATATCTAACTATGGCTTTTTGAGCCATATATTGTGTCTGTCTGCTCTCATTGTGATCCCCAGCGTTATGAATGAAGCCATGCTGTGGGAATAAGCACAAATAGCGATATGGGTCAGATAAGCGCCTCGCAGACTATACCACCTTCAAAACCATTTGAAAATGATTTATGGGCATATAGCACAAATGTAAGGGAGAAAATTGTCCAGCTTTTCATCATCCCAGACTAAGAGCCTCTTAGATCTCCTTGATGAACACCCAGTCAAGGGAAGATGTGTTATTTCATGTATTGATCTCAAATTAGGTCTTGCTTTCTAAGCATTCCTCTGCCAGACAGATGGGCCGCATTCAGCCAAGGTCATAACTGTTGTTTATTTATTTGACTTTCTTTATCTGTGCATAAGCTTAGTGCTGAATTTAAAGAAGAGAGGTGCCCTCAGCAAATCTCAAGACATGTGCGTGTGTATTTGAACGTTAACATAGGTATTTGCGAACAACTCGGGGATAAAATATGTTTGACATTAAATGTTTGCAAAGAGTAAGGACAGATAGTGTCAATGTCATCTTTAGGTATAAATTCCTCTGCTACACTGAACTGCAGCTGCAAAAATGTCATTATTACCATATTTAAATAGAAATCTAGCGAGACAAATATATAAACTGGATAAAAATCAACTACAGAAATACACCTGGTAAACTGTTTGGTAGAATTGCTAATGAAAAATAATGTTCTTGAACCAAGTCAGCGCCCCTTCTCCCTTTCGTATGAGCTATTATAAAAATGGCAGCAACTTAACATGCAATTTATGAAACTGTTGCGCTTTCTTGGCGTGATCTGTAACATATAACTCTGAATGTTATGAATACTGATGTATTGATTGATGAAAGGAATGCATTTATGATGATCTCCATTCCACATTTACATGGGATTTTATTCTTAGCTACGGATTGTCATTGCAGTTCTTTGTACCCTTTAGTCTTCAAGCAAATGTGTAAATGTAGATAAAAGGAGTGATGAATTATTGTTGAACACATTGCCGGACATCTAAAGGTTTGCTTTGACATCAAGATCAATGAGGCCTTTTCATCACACTCTCATATCTGGCTGAGAGAAACTAGGCCAGTGACTATCCACCCATGCAAAGAAATCATCTCACGTATGCATGTGCCAACTTTTGATCTCGAAAATGACTGTATGTTTTGCCACGAGGGGAAAAGATGAAGCAAGATAGCTTTCTTCTTTTTGACCTGGATACTGTAATACATAAATGTTAAGAGAGAGATTTCTTCCACATAAAACAGTGATTGTTTTTAAATTATTTTGCTGCATAAAGGTTGATTTTAGACTATCCTCTGACAGCTGTCTGCTAAATATGGAACCTGGAGGCGGATAGCTTAGCTTAGCATCAAGACTGGTAACAGCTAACCTGGCTCACTCCGTAGTGAACAAAATCTGCCTACAGTCACTCTGAAGCTCACTAATGATTATTGTATTGTAATTAATCTTGTTTTGGTCTTTTAAAAGAACTGGGCAGGCACCCGTTGCCGGGGAACCAGCGACTCCAGGAAGTAACCAGCACAAGATATAACATTCTAATTAGTCAGCTTCAGAGGAGCTGATTGGTGGATTTTGGACAGAGCCATGCTAACTTTTTACCCATTTTTGGTCTTTGTGCTAAGCTAACTGGCTGCTGGCTCTTACTACATATTTATTGTACAGTCATGATGGTAGTATAAATCTTCTCTACAAACTTCTACTTCTCTATAAATCTACCTCTCTGCAAGAAGGTGAAAAATAAATGATATACATAATAATATATATAAGTATAAGTATATATCGATACCTTTAAATCTTTCATCATCATTTGTATTGTTTTTTTAAGACTGACAGACGCGTACGGCTTCATGCGATCCTTCTCGACTGACAATTGAAAGTGTTCTCACTGAAACTAATAAATCACAAAGCAGTTGCACACATCCATGAACAAATTCTGCCAGAATAATGGCCATCATCTGGAAATCTTGCACACAGCTTTAACAAAATGCCCCGCCACCCCCGCCCCACCCACTCTTTGCTAGTGCTCGCCCCAAAAAAGCGGAAATGATGAATTTAGATTCTCTCTCCATGTATGCAAGAGCTTTGAAGACTATGCTGCAATGAAGCAGTATGCATAATGCATGAACTTTCTTTTGAACGCCATGCCGCCCCAAACGTAGTAATATTTTGTCTTCCCTCTCTCTGCCTTTTCCTCTCTCACCCCTCCCTGCCTCCCTGGCTTACTGTACTTATTTATTTGAGACAGTCTGTTACAGCCACATCCATTGTGCCTTCATTTAATTCATTATTTATTTTGTGCTTTAAAGGGCTGCTGAATTGCAGCCTCGGGAGGAGGAAAGGGAGAAAGGGACAGTATAGTTTTGGAGAGAAAGACAAAGTTGTAGCCAGGAAATGCCCTGTCAAGATGAGACTAGCTCTTAATGTATGCCTTGTGAAACGGTGAAACAATACACTTTGGTTTTGTGTTTGCGTGTCACTTTGTTCTTGTACACAGTATCAAAAGAAAGAACAAGAGGCAGACACACAGAGTGCCTGTAGGTGTTTTCACATTTTATATTATGTTTCAGCTGTGTCTTTTTTTGGTCTCTGTGTGCTCCTTCTACCTTTAGTTACAATTTTAAGGATGAACATCTGCTTCCCGGAGCACCACCTCATCAGTTTGTGTTTACACATACTGTATGTGTGCTAGCTCACAGATCACACAGCGTGCTCCCTATCGTTTGCTAAATTCCAACAACAAGAAGGTAGATGAACTTAGATCATCCGCGCTCCCTCAGCGGGCCATGTGGAGCCCCGCAACACAACGGCACGCAGCATGAAAATGGAGTGCAGGATGTTTGTTAATTATCCATGCTTGCGTCAGGGCTTTACACACTGTCTTCAAAACCTCTCACGTCGCTGGCACTGCTGATTCAAGGTAGCGAGTCAACATATTGTGCTTATGCTGGCTTAAATACTTAAAGCTTCTTTATTTCCTTTTTATAAGATTTTGTTTTTGCATTTTATGCTTTAATAGAGTGACAGCTGAAAAGATGGACAGGAAAGTGGGGGAAAGAGAGAGGGTAATGACATGCAGCAAAGGGCATGAGCTGGCCTGCTGCTGCACTAAGGACTTAATATATGCGGTGTCCATTTTACATGCCACCAATTTATATCTTGTTTGTGTGCTTTTTTTCTTCAACAGAATGTCTCCCGCATCAACGACATAGTGAAGCAGGTGCTGCTGATATTCCCACATTTCTGTCTGGGCAGAGGGCTAATTGACATGGCCAAGAACCAGGCAATGGCCACCCTCTTCAGCAACTTTGGTAAGAGGCCACCAGTACTACCAGCATAACTAATCTTTGAGTAAAAATCCTCATTCTAGTGATCCATTTTGTGAAGTTTAATATTAAGTTCTAAGATTATTTCCTTCTCAAACAAGAAAACATCTGCTGAGTGGGTGAGATAAAAACATTTTTAGTAATACAGTACAAATCAACATGTCGCACCTTTCTAGACTCAAGCGACTATATTTTGATAACACAGCAGCAATCTGCCACGTTTTAAGATATTATGTGATGCTGACACATTTTCGCAGGAAGTCTCACTCTATTGACAGTAATTTGATTCTAAAGTAGAGCTTTCAACATAATTTGAACAGAATGTGAATGCAAAGGTCTGCACTTAAAGGTGACCTATAACAAACAACGCTTCTGTTTATATTCTGTGTTATTCACCAGAACAGAACACATTGGGGGACATTTCTTAAGCCGTCTCAGAATATGCATCAATATTCCTTCATCGGGTATTCTCTTATTGTGTGTCTGATAAAAAACGTGCAGCAGGTAATACACATGCGTTTACCAAATGTTAATGAGAGGCAATTTCCTCTATCTAAGTGGCCAGTCTATGATAATAAATCAGGTCCAGCAGCTATTGATAGAAATGTTTCTATGTCTCCCGTCATATATAAACAGAAATGCATTCAAATACATATTGCATGAGTCTCAAAATCAGATGGATTAAATACATGTTTACTTGCTAGCAAGCTTCTTTGCTATTGTTGCGTTTGTTGACTCATTACCGCCACCCGTAGATCAGTAAAATGGTGTGAAAACATTGGCAGGAATGTGTATCGCGAGACACGATATGCGCGCTTGTGCGTATGCCTCTTACCCGTGTATTAGACCCTGAAATAACACTTAAACAACATGCTTCTCTTCTCTTTAAAGTGACACTACACTATTTTATTCAAAACACTAGTTCTTTATCCCAGCAGGAAAAAAAATGTTTGACCTGTAACACAGCTCTCCAACCTCCTCTAGAGCTCTAGGGAAAGGGAGAAGAGGGGTACGGTGTTGAAGAGGTGGAGCCGGGGGTTGAGGGGGCCCATCAAGAGGCAAAGAGGCACATGAAAGAGGAAGAGGAGTCTTATCTGTGGAGAGATGAAGCAGGAAATAGTGGTTTGAGTAATCATTTGCGGCAGTGGCGGAGAGCAGGAAGAGAAAAGCAATCACTACCTAAAAGGGCTAGTGTGGAGAGGGGCTATTTACCAGAGAATGAGACTGAAAGCGCTTTCGTTTTTCTTGTCTACTTGTTACTCTGCCCCCTCAGGCTCAAGGGTTGTAGACGCTGAGAGAGGGAGGAAGGAGAGAGAGGGAGAATTGACAGTGATTAGAGTATGGGGCCTGTCAGCGGTTTACTTACGTGTTCATTAGGCAAAAGATGCTTCAACATGAAAAGTACAGGATATCAGCGATTTTCTCACATGGCGTAGGTGACAGCAATTTTTATTTTTAAGGCTAAGTGGCGTACTAAACAGCTGGCTTTCACCAATGAAAGTGTCTCAAAAACACTTCAAAGAGCTGACAAATTCCAGCTCTCCACTAACTTTTGACAAAGACATATTTGGCTGTCCATAAAAGAAAACACGCATCTGGTGATTTCTTTTTTTGTGCTGAATCATCCCCTGAGCTTGTAGAATAAGTAGAAATTATCATGAAATAACATACAGTAATAATGCATTTAATTGCTTATTCTTTTCTGTTTATATTGACTGTGTTTATTACTGTATTTGTCACTTTCCCTTCCTACCTTCTTTATCAGGGGAAGACCGCTTCAAGGACCCACTGAGCTGGGAAATGGTGGGAAAGAACCTTTTTGCCATGTCAATCCAGGGACTTGTCATGTTTGCCATCACACTCCTCATCCAGTACAAGTTCTTCTGCAAACCAAGGTAAAGACGAATTTACTTAAAACTGACTGAAAAAGTTCTTTCACTTACACGCCTTTGTCATGTTTCTTACCATTGCACTTCTCGTCCATGCTTTCAGTAAAGTTGTGTATTCACATCCAAGATTTGTTCCAGTCAGATAATTTAAATTGGTAATGTACTTCATATTCATTTTATATAAAACATCTGTTGCACCGCGGATGTGTTTGGTAAATACTACCCAAAATTCTGTTTTTGCCCAAGTGTTTACTTACTCCAAAAGCAAGGTTGCCATGGAAACTAATGCCTGTGGCTTCTACTATTTATGGAAATTGCAGAGATTGTTTCACTGAGCTTAAACTTTGACCGAGATAATTTGTCATGCGAGTTCATGTTAATTTTAATGAAGGGTGTTGTGCCAACTGTGGTTGACTTCTCCCTGCCAGGCTTATTTCAGCGGAGTCATTATCTGCAGAAGAAGAGGATATCGATGTTGCTCGGGAACGTAAGCGGGTGTATGAAGGGAGGGCCCAGAATGACCTTCTGAGGATCTGTGACCTTACTAAGGTATTGTGTAGTACAGTCTTCCGCTCTTGCTAAAGTATTGCTCTGATGTAGTGCGTGATACGCTTTTTCCTACTCTGGCATTCAGTCATTTCTTTTTCTGCTTTATTTGTTGTGTAAGTGTAAGATGATTTTTAATAGTTGGTGGAAAAAAAGTCCAATAGTGAGGGAAAGCTTCTTCCCTCATTGGGATGTTCAACTTTGTCTTCTGACCTCTGTGTGCGTATCCTTGGCCTTATCTTGAATCCTTTGCTCTCCCTTACACATTTGCACTTGAGTGTGTACAAAATTGTGTGTACATTTAATATTTTTATATACAGAACAGATACACACCTGGCCAATATACACTTTTGCATTTTCATTTTTTCTTTCTATTCTATCATTTAGATATTTTTATCTTGTTTTTAATAATTTCTTTATTACATGCAAGCCTTTTTAGCGCCGCATGCACGACTAAACTTCTCCAGTCTGGTTTAATTTTCTTCTTTTCTGATATTAGTTATAAGCTTAACAATTAATATCTTGAGACAATGAACAGCAGTAACCCACTCTATGTGTGCATGTGGATGTGTGCAGGTGGAAAGAGTTTTCAAAGAGTTTTAAACTTTTATTTGTGCACCTGCATTATTCAGCTTGCAAGGCAAGTGGGAAAGACAGGTTGCTAGCCTGCAGCTGTGAACATTCACAAACATCATAAGTAGGCATGAGAACCAAACAAGATTGCATTTTTAAGGGTGTAAAGGTCTGCGCTCCTATACAGCTCCGGCCCTTCCCTCCGTGCAGTAGGTGAAGTTGAGCGTGCTGTGACGGTGCGTGCCTCAACACCAGCGAGATTAACACTTCATCCATCGGCAGATGTTCCCTCCCTGCGGGCGGCGCGGCAGCAGGAAGTGTCACCACAGCAGCCTGCTTTGCTGCTCCAGTGCAGACAGCTGGACGATCTAACAGCCTTTCGTTTCTTACCCAGCCTTCCTCGCTCCTTTACTCCCTCGGTCTTCTCAGTCTCACTATACTTAATCTTTCACTCATTGCTCATGGACACAGACGTGCGCCACACTCCCTGGGGTAATTACCGAACAAGCACTGGGTAAAACAGTTGGATGGGTAATGTATTGCAAATCATCTCGCAAGGTGAAAAGGCATGGAGAGGTGTGTTCTTTTTTTTTCAGCTAAAACTTAGGGATTACTTTTTCAAATGCACTAAAAACTTCAGTTGTACTGTAAATACGCCTTTAAAACAGCCCCAAACGTTTGCACAATTAAGCTTGATTAAGCTTGTTTGCCGTTGACAGGCAGCCATTGTTCATACGCACCTTTGCGGTTGACAATATTTCTCTGAGATGAGACACAGTGGCCCATCACCGCACAAAAACAGCAGTGCAATGGCAGAAGGCATCAGGATTCTTCCTGCAGTGCCCTCATTGACTCCCACCCCAGCTGTGGCCCATCCATTTGGGGTGTAGATAACAAATTGATCAATGAGCGCGTGGCTTCGGTGGCCATGCACCACAGGCTGAGCCCTGTCATAAATCTAAGCATGCCTCTGAAGCGATCGACAGGCCATCAATCATGTGTCAAATTCCTGCTCCTCCTCTTCCTTTTCCTGCTGCTCTAAACAGGAGCATTGCGCTATGTGCCCCACCTGCTAGCCCTCCACTTTGCTGCTGCATTAGCGTCGGCACCGTAATCGATGGAGACCGTGATGGAAGTGTGTCCGTCTGTGAGCGTTTTTTTTCCAGGCCCAGTGCTGTCAGTTTAACCTTCCAGTCACTCACTAAGTTGACAGAGAAAGTTTTGGAGAACCTTGTGACAGCTGTTTGAATTTAGCAGACTAATGAGTGATGAGTGGCACCTTGGCATGCTACAAATATGCTCCTGTTAATATGCACTCTGGGAATACAAGTGGTTCAGATGAGACTCATTTGACAAAACCTCTGTCTTGTATGATTACAGAATGGCTGCCTTTGTCTACCAAGACATTTATATATATATCTTCTGTCATTATTATCTTAATAATAATCTCTTTATATTGAAAAATGTACAGCCTGGTTATTGGGTGGAGGCTAACCTTGGCTTTTTTCCTGCTTCCAGTAGTACCAGAGTGAAAAAAAGTTAAATAGAAATAAAGAAAAATAGTTAAAAGTAATGGATAAATGGTTGAAAGGCCACTCCAAGAAGAAGTACTGGAAATAAAGAGAAATATTGACAATCTAAGTATAATAATAAGAAAATATAATATAACAATATTACATTGTAAGTGTACAATTACCAGTATTGAATAACATCAATTTTAACTTTAGGTACTTGAACTTGATCTGGTAGGGCTGAGGTGTACTGTTGTTGAATGAATTGAATGAATTGAATGAATTGAAGATATATTAGCGAGTGCTTTTTTCATAAAGCAGTGTCTATACCTGAGCTGTAGCAGTCAGGGTTTGAAGCTTGTGATTTTCCAACCTAAATCTATATTTTAGTTTTGCTGCCACCATCACATTCTCTCAACTGTCTCATCTGATTAGACGTTGGCCTGCTTATCGTGACAGCTGCCGTGGTGCTCGAGTCAGAGGGGAATTAGCCTTTAATTGCCTTCCTCCTTACATGTATCTGCTGCTTTGATGTAGCTTTAGCACTGCAAACTATCACTAAAAAGTAGTGTGTGTTATCCAGGTTGATACGTGCTGAGTTCAGCTGCCAGATGGCACCGAAGGAATGGTGGATATGTGCAAGTCCTGCTTTTATCAAACGCTTTTGATGTGCCAACTGTGGAATAAATGCAATGTCATTGTTTGTCGAGCTTGAAGTGGCAGTTCTAATTTTACATTTGCCTGGTAGCATTCTGAATACAGCTGGGACAGCTGACTGTTTTTAATGGTGGATATGTGGTCTAGAGATTCTATACAGGAAATGTATCCTTCACAGTGAGAAACTTATGCTGTCACTTTTCTGTTTTAATGAACGTTCACTGTTTCAGGTTCTGACACTCGCATACAGGCACGTAAACACACACAAACATTCATCGAGAACTATGTTTTCAACTTTTAAAAAACAGTAGTCACTTTTTCATAACTCAAAGGGGCACGGTACTGTCCTTGATTCTGAATGCTAAATGTCTTTACTGTCATACTCAGCAGCAACAACAAAGGCCTTGTCTTGTGTTTTCGTGCTAGAGCAAGACAACGCCGCTTTCAAACCACTTTGAAAACATATCAAACCTAACACAGACTTGGATGTGGAAAAACACCTCATGCACTAAATACCACATTTTGTTGAATGTTTCGAATGTTTCTTTTTTTTTTTTGATTGTAAGAAATCATGTTTCCCTTCAAGTGGGGGGTTTCTTTACCTCCTCTGGTGAGATTTTCAGATGATGCAGATTTGAATGCAAATGTGTGTTGGACGAGGCTGGTCAGTGGGGGAGGATGTGGATGCAGCATGGGAAGTTTTCAAGAAAGATGTGAAAAACATCAACCACCTTCTCATTTCCAGTGTTGCACATGGTCTTAGCAGGATACTGACTCACAATCAGAATGTGTAAGGTTTTATTCTTTTCTTCTTCTTGAGAGAGGGGATTCTGCATCCTATGGGGTCTAGTTTTCTTTTTTTTAAGCCATGGTAGGAGCTTCAGTGATGGCGATGTTGGTATGTCTGACACTCAGTCTTCATGAGTTTGTTGATTCCCTGACTTTTCATGCAGCAACACCTCAGTTTGTAACAGGATATCCCTAAAAGTAATGACAAAAGTCCCATCAGCCTCTTTTGTATTTTGATCAATGCTAACATAGCATGCTACCATGTGCATGTTATCTAAATATTATAAGGTAAATAAAGAAAATATATTGGTTCTTAAAGCTGCACTTATACTAATTTTTGATAAAAATACTGGGTGCAAAGTGCAATGTGAAAGGGCTTACTTTGTTCTTACAGAGCATTTTAGCTTCTTTCAGCTCACTGTTTTGGTTTTACTGCCAGACGGCCTTTTTTGTTGTTTCACTCTTACATGGGTGTCGTTTCCAGCAGCAACAGACAGATGTGTTCCGCAAAAAAAGAAATAAAGCCACTGAAAGTCACACTCAGCACCAAAAGGCCGACAGACAAGGTTAGTGACAACCTGGTGAATGAACATACTGGAGCTTTAACATGAGCTAGATATTCCCCTCAGGAGTTTGTGGCACCAAAAAAGAGCTAAAAGGAGAGTGAACATTGAACCTGACACAACTCCAAACAAATGCTAATGTTGCTCTGTGTCTGCTAGTTCACCATAAGAACTTAATATGGAGAGTGCCAGCAATGTTGTGTTTAAAGCCGGTTCCACTTCCCCAAAAACTGGCCACAACCACCTGTTAATACTGCTGTGACATGCAGTTTTAGCATTTTAACCTTGTATTAACACTCAGCTCAAAGCACAGCTAATTCCGAGTTGTCTCTGTACTTTTTATCCATCCAACAATTTGGTTTCCAGTATGTAATGAGCATCATAGTGTCTGTTGATTTTTAGACTTTTTCAGATTAAGGACTAATTAAGGTATTTTTCACTAAATTCATCTCACCGTATGTTGATACTGCAAAACATGGCTGACTAAAGTGGTGCTCAAAGTGGAGATAGATTCCTTCATGAATACCGTCACTGCAGTCAAAAATACTGATGCTCATGTCCTCCCCCCCCGCCAGCCCATGTGCAAAGTGTCTACCTTTTTTTAATACCTTTTCCCATCTGGCTCGCTCTAAATGTTGCAAATGATCCCTTCTTGTTAAAATTTGTTTCCTTCACTTTCTCTCTCCCGCCTTCTTTTTTCACCTGCTTCTTCAATCGCCACTCTTCCCTGCTGCTCTGGTCTATCACTCCATATTTTCTCATGCTATCCTCTCCGCTATCTTTCTCACTGTCTGCTCCCCACCTTCCCATTGCCTCCCACCTTCTCTCCCTCTTTCTCGCTCTTTCTCTGGCTGGCTGGTTGATTCATTTTATTGTCTGCTCTCTGCAGGTATACCCTCGGAAGAGCACTCCTGCTGTGGACAGGCTATGTGTGGGCGTACCTGCCGCAGAGGTGAGCCAAATGCTCCTGAATCACACAAGCACCTTTTCAAGCCTATATGGTCTGTGTCGTCCATGTTAGAGGACTTTGTCGCATTTACACATTTGATTGCTTTTCAAAATTCACCATCAACACACATATGGGAGAAAATATTTCATTCTCTGTTGCCTGTGAAAATAACATTTGGATATGAATTGACTTAATTATACACATTCAACTCAAATTTGAATATTAATGACAATATTTACAAAATGTTGACACACAGGAGCAAGGAGCAGCGATTCTCTGTCTGGGCTTTGATTTACCGTTTTTTTTATTTCTTGAAGATTTGAATTGCCGTTTGGCTTCGTCTTTTTTTTTCACCGAGCCGAATCGAAATATCTTCCAAACGCTGCTTAGAGAAGGCGTTAGGAGGAACACTAATCTCCTTATCGGGCTTGTTTCCTGCCATTATGCCTCTGCCAAAGCATGTGTGTGCTAAAAACTCACAAGCAAGCAAGTAGAGGAGCATTGCTAGAGCAACGGGGTCTGAGAAGGGAAGGCACGAGGACCCAGTGATGCTTGGTTCAATAGATTAGCAGTGGGGAACTAAATTAACCAAATATAACAAAGTGATTTTTTTCCACAGGAACTTTTGTGTAAAAAAAATGAATTAAAGTGTAAACCATCCTTACCTATTATAACATGTTATACATTACACACTCACACACACACAATACCATTGTAAGCTTGATTTAAACATAATCTCAAATGCTGACAGGCATTCGTGTTCAGTGGGCTTTCCGGAGGTATCCATCCCTGCCACTGTTTACCCAAAGCCCAATGTAAATGCCAATGGAATATTGTCATTCACGGGGCTCTGCTGATCACACACTGCATTTCCATGCATTATTTACATCAAGCTTAGCCCTCTTCTATGCATTCACAGGCGCAGGTCACAAACAAGCAGGGATCAATGAATGACAGAAATCAAATATTTATGCCGGAGCCAGAGCACCGAAGGCGGGTCACATGACCGCAGGGGCTTCCTGCCGCATGCCCTCCAGAGGGAAGTAAAATCAGCAGCATCAGGGAGAAGAGACAGAGAGAGGATAGTGTTTGTTGTAGACATTTACAGAAGCAGGAAGAAATGCTTTTGGGAATGGTCGTGTTGATTTAGTGTTTGTTTTCTTGTTTGTGTACAGAAAAATATCATTTTTTTTTATTTTGCTAAACACTGAAGCAGTCATGCATACTCTATAAACTGTAGTTTCCACTGTATGTACTGAGCAAATGTTTACACGGTCTATAGGTAAACTTCATTAAAGGGGTTAATCGGTAGTATTTGTTTAAAAGAAAACTAAATGCCATCCAACACCGTCGTCTCCTGTCTGAGGCTTGTTTATACAAAACACTGTTTTCCTAATGGAGGCCTCCCCATTGTCTCCACCAGTGCTTCGGGTTGCTGGGAATCAACGGGGCTGGGAAAACCACCACGTTCAAGATGCTGACAGGAGACATCCCAGTCTCCAGTGGAGAGGCCTTCCTAAATGGATACAGGTGAGGCGCCAACTCCCACTAGTGCACCAAGTAACTCATCATAATTAGCCACCCAAGATGGCTGCTCAGATGGGGATCGAGCTGAGGTTGGGGTTGTTGTTTTTTTATAGCTCACACCCTTTCTCAGCTTCTCTTGTTTTGGGTAACACAGCTTTCTATCTCTATATCTCTCTTACTCACAGTATGTGTTTTTTTGTGGGCTAGGTAGTTTTCGATATCTCTTATATGTTCTGCCGTCTCTGCCTTTTCAACTGCGGTTCTCTCATGTCTCCTCACTGCGATACTCTCAGAAATTCTGAAGACTCTGCTCTCGCTTTTTCTTCCTGCCTCTTGCACATATTTCATTCCTTTTCACATCCTCACCCTGTACCTTGCTCTGTTTTTTGTCTCTGCCTTACAGAATCAGTCATAGGAAATCTTTTTACATGCCAAAAAAATACCTTGACAGCAGCAATATGAGACTCAAGAGCTTGAGCGAAGGAAGGCTTGCTCTTCCTTATTTTTAGGAACAAACAACAAGGCGGCACATCCGAGCAAAGTTGAGTGTAAGCTGCTGCTGGATTCACGGTTGCTATAGGTGTTCATTCATACATCTGGTAATTGACTTTGTGTTCAACAAAGAAAGGGCGCTGAATAGAGCAAGGCCTAACACAGCAGTGTTAATGTTGATTAATGTGGGTAACGGAGATCAAAGAAAAAATCCAGAGACCTTTAGGGGAAGCAAAAACTGAAAAGAGAGAAAAACAGATGTGAGCACGCCCACACTTCTGTTTTCAGCTCATTACGTTTTCTGTGCATTGGTGAACAAAAAATGATCAGCATAGGAGAAGAAGCCGCATCTCTCCTGACAGTTGTCTCTCGTATCTGTGATTGTGTGATCACAACACTCACAAGGAATAGCTTGAAAAAAGGCTAGCCTGCTGACATCCAGTAGTGGCTCACTGGATGACTGTTGTTGTGAAAGACCAACTAACAAACTGACAGGAGCTGTTTGGAATGTGCACTTAATTGCATTCTTTCCAAGGCTTAGAGGAGAAGATCGATGGCAGTGTTGTGTCTGTACATTAAATATAAAGCCATACCTATCTGGCAATTAGCTTAGCTTAGCATAAGGACATAAGCCTAGCCAAGGGTAAAAAAAAATCCACCCACCAGCACCTCTAAAGCTCAATTATTAACATAATACACCGCATAACTTCTTGTTTTTTCACTTTGGTCCTTATATGAGTTTAACATATATATAACCTGTTAATTAATGGGCTTTGTTTCCAGTGGACCTCGGCCAGTCCTGCAGAATGTCTGTTAAAACTTTAACCCAGCCTGGTTCTATGTGAAAAACCAACAGCAGAGAGAATTATCACATACTTGTGGTTTGGGAGTTTCAGGTGAACTCCTGGAAGCCATTGTTGTATGCTAAGAGTGTGTGTGTCTGTGATCCGAGGCTTCGGAGCAACTGACCTGAGTGAGACTGATGAGTGACATTTTCTCATTAGTGTGCACTTATGTAAATCATGGCCTCCTTACGCATCCTGTCAAACCCCTCCTCTCTGCTCCAGAACAGTGACAGAGAGCTGTGTTTACTTTTTAGGTTCAGCTTTGGTTTCTAATGCCAGAATTTAAGGTCACTCAATAGGTTAGCTGCTTCCCCCTGCTTCAAGTCTTTACACTAAGCTTAAACATCTAACTCTTGGCAAGAAAGTGAATGCTGGTATGCGTATTCCCAAAAAAGACCATTCTGTGATGAAGTGCCACCAAATATGTTTTAGAATTTAAATTCTTCAAAGTGTACGGTCTGTTGTATAGTGGGAAGAAGATGGAGGTCTAGTTTGAGGGCAGTCGACTTGTAAAATGTTTATCGACCATCTTAAAGTTGAATTCTTAGATAAACATGTGGTGTCAAACTAAAAAGGTGGAATTTCTTAAATATCTGTGGTATATAAACTACTGTTATCATCAGTGTTCAGATTTCTACAAAAAAAAAAGTCATATGTTGCACATTACTCCTTACTATAAAAGATAATGCAATACTTATTTACTCTCTCTAGAATGTAATTCTGTTACATTATTTATTCCATTACTTTTGTGTTACTTCACAACATTGCCTGATGTATTGTCACGTCACATTAATATCTTTTAACAGGCCGAACACACTCAAACTTGCTCACCCAACTTTGGCCTTCCTCAGAGCTAAAATAAAACACAATATTAGATCAGTAAAGCTTTCAGTTCACTGTGGCCTTGTTGAGATCCAGCAGCCTCTAGACACATCAAATCACGTTTAGCCTCCCTCGAGCTGACAATTGCATTTAAAGGGGAAAATGGCGCTAGTATTATCTCTAAATAAAACAAAGCAGCTTAAAAAAGAAGAAAGAAAGTTAGCTTAAACATTTGTTGCCTGCAAGTGGTAAAACTATTAATATTGGGGATTGCCAAGCGGGCATGTCTGGATCATGGTTTGGATCCACAGCTGCTCCTGCCATTATTCTACTTGCCTCTAGAGGGTGCATGTAATATGCCCGGAACAGCTTGCCTGGAAAACATTGCACAGCCGGATTTTTGGGGGTTTTCGTTTCTCATTTCCAAGACAGAGAGTTTTGGAGACACTTACTTCAGACCACGAGTACAGAATGTGAAATGAACCACTCTGCTATATTAGTTTGAAAGAGTTTGAAAGAGAAACAAAAATTGTATGCTTCTTGGCCTTCTGACTGTTATAAATATATATATATGTATATTTGATATCGTATTCTCTGTCTTGCTGAGGCATTTAATATAATCTTTAGATCTGTGATCTTAAACATCAATGATATCCACTGTCTCTAAATCTCTAATGTGTTCTCGTCTTCCAGCATACGAACAGAAATGAGAGACGTGCACCAGAACTTGGGCTATTGTCCCCAGTTTGACGCTATCGATGACCTGCTGACCGGAAAAGAGCATCTGGAGTTTTACGCCAGGTTACGAGGGGTACCAGAAAAAGAAGTCTCCATGGTAACCATTACATCCTTTCCTGACTTCTTGTCCTCATACATTTAAAAAGATTGTGGCTGATGCTGTGGCATTAACATCTTCAACATTCATAGCCAAAATGGATTAGTTGTCAAGCTTTTGTAATTGGAATATCAAAAAAAGATGAAAAAAACTAAAAATGTTCTACTGCTTCAAGACATGTTTATTTCCTTTTAGAATGTTTTTGTTTTATTTTTACCATCAAAATACTTTTCAGCTAGAATGCATGTAGGGCAAGCTGAAGTACATGTCGAAGTGATAGATAACCACAGTGGGAGAAGCCATACATAATGAAAAATGGCCGGTGGTAGAAAAGCAGCAGCTGTGGGTTATGGCTCTACATTATTCACCATGCCCAGTGGTGTGGCCGGCCCTATGCGGCCTCCCTGCACTCCTCTCGCAGCGCCTGCTTCTACAACAGTGAGATCAAAAGAGGAAGAGGCTGGCGGCGACCATAGGCCTCAGACCCGGCGCCAGGGCTTTGATCTCTTAGCTGCAGTGTAAAAGGACCCAGTTCTGCACTGCTAGCATAACTCTTGATTTTACCGTGTTCCATTGTGGTGTGCCATTTTTTTTTTCCAACTCTTGATCCAAATTGAGCCCCTGTGCAGTCATATTTGCATAATCGGTAAACAGAAATATCCACATGTATGTTCAAGAAATGCACTGGAAGTGAAACGCAGGTCCTACAGTACAGGCTGCATTTTATTGTGACATCTAATCGTGTCCCTTGAGATATGGCGATAGTGTGCACTTTGGTGATGTTCCTGATTGCCGCCGTTTGACGAGTACTTCAGCAGCCTGTGATTAAGGTCTTAGAGTGATGCCAGTTGTCATGCCTTGTCCTTGAAAACCACGTTGGACATCCTAGTCAAAGTATCACCCATCATGGAGAGTCTGATGACGGGTCTTATGTGAACACTCTTCTTGACACCGTAATGGGTTTTGGTCACTTTCATTTCTGTCTTTTTCTAAAGGTGGCCGAGTGGGGGATCCAGAAGTTGGGGCTGGTGAAATATTCCAACAAGTCAGCAGGAACCTACAGCGGCGGGAACAAACGCAAACTTTCTACAGCCATAGCCCTGATCGGTTGTCCTTCTGTGATTTTCCTGGTGAGATATATCTTTATTGGTGTGTTTGTACATGGTAAAAAATGTGATACGCTGCTGTTTCATTAAGACTTAAGAGTGTAATACTTTCAATCAATATTGATGCTGTGCAGATGTTTGGATTACAGCAGATCAGTTGTTTTTCCCTTTACAAGCACACAGAGGCTCTGTAGTAGGAGGAGGATGATAGAGTGTAGGAATTTGGGTTAACATATGCTTTCAAGAGTGAGCGGATGAAAAAAAAAACAAGATTCGGATCAATTTAGTAAATCCTTACTGAATTTCCTGAAGGATTACATGTACATTACTTGTGGATGAAGAGGGTGTATTTTTCAGGGGTCACTCACAGGTCATGTTTTAATAAAAAAAAAATTCAAGACCAATTCCTTTAGAAAAACGTAGAGCACACAGAACCATGTTTGCACGTATTAAAATTCCAATTCATCAGGACTTAAAACTGAGAGCAAAAGCATTTTCTCACTGATGGAAGATTAATGAAAGCATGACTCAGAATACACTGCATCACATGCTTTCAATTAAGCGGCTTTAATGTGCATTAGGAAGTTGTGGCCGTGTTATTATGAGGGACAAACTTTAATGACCTTAAATCACATTTGGGGCTCCTTAAGGGGGCTCACCAAAGTATTTTCTTCATTAAGATTATTACAATTTTTACTTGTTATCCCATGTCCCAGCCACCACATCACATGGTCTAATAAAGCAGAAATGTTAGATTATATAAATACATTTTAATGCCAGTTCATGCTGTTTAATTTTCTGCCTGTAAAATGTAATAAATGCATTACTTTGCATTATTTAAAGCAATCCATCAGATTATGCTGCTAATAACAATTTAATGAGTAATCAGTCAGGTAATGAGTAATCCATAATGAATTATATTTACAGAATAATCTTTCCAGCCGTTTCTGTTTTCTGGCTCAGTGCTTGGTCTGTCGAGCTGCACTATTCCAAACCTACTTATTTACTCGCCTGAGCCAGGCCAGCCTCCACTTTGAGGCAGTGGGATAATGTGTTGTCAGTGTCTGTGTCAATTTCAGTATTGTGTGCTAGCCCAGGGAGCCCAGGCGGCCTTGAGGCAGTGCCACGTAGGGTTTGCACAGGGACACATTGGGCACAGTGATGGAAATACCCCTTGGGATTTGTAGGACTCTGCTAGCGAGGGAGAACCGGGCCTGGAACGAAATCAGCCAATGGACTGAGTACTGTCACCCCCTAATCATGCATGGACAGACTAGCCCTGAGGAAAAAGAAACAGCAAGTCACTGAGACTCTCTGTGTGTGTGTTATACTATGCTGGAGAGTGCTTTAATATGTGTCTCCATTATGTGTAAATGGGTATACTCAGAGTTTAGCCATGTATGTTTGCTGTCTCCTATTGTTTTGCCTTAATAGATATGTGTTTATGTGTTAACATAATTCAGGTTTTTCCTTTTCTATGTCACCCATCTGTATGTCTGTTCGCACACACATCATTAAAGGTCCAGTATGTAACATTTATAGGCAGAAATGGAATATAATGTTCATAGATATGTTTTCCTTAGTGTATAATCACCTGAAAATAAGAATAGCTGTGTTTTTGTTACCTTAGAAAAGCTGTTTTATCTACAGAGAGAGTGGGTCCTGTTCTACAGAGTATGCCTTATTGAACCACCATGTTTCTACAGTAGCCCAAAGGAGACAACCCAAACACTGGCTCTTAATAGTGCCTTTGGAATTTTTCTACTACATAGTGGTCCTTTAGATGATCTGTTCAAAGTAGATTTGTGCTGTAATATACTAGGATATCCTATATCTTTAAATGATTTTCTGAGGTAGCATTTGATGAACTGTTTTAAAGAGATTACATTCATTGCAGGATGAGCCAACCACTGGGATGGACCCCAAAGCGCGACGCTTCCTGTGGGACTGCATCCTGAGTATCATCAAAGAGGGACGCTCAGTCATTCTCACATCACACAGGTGCAACATCACTCTTTACCTATTGATTTTCTCTGATGGATTCACACCTCACCTGCTAAGATAGAGTCCAAATATTTTGACTCCTTACCAGGGAAATCAGATCAGCCACATTGTCCGTAAAATGAACGTCAGCTGTATAACTGTAATTATAATTGACTGGAGTTACACTTTAGTCAAAAGGTATTGTTTCCTGAATAGCAGTTAATATTGGCTGCCAGAAACACACTGGCTGCTATAAAGCTTTCATGGAGCATGAGGAGATATTGACTGACTGGAGGTTTTTTTTCCTCCATGAAAAGAAAAACTGTCAATATCAGTGCTGGAGACTTTTCATTATCCAAGACTTCCTGGAGTAAAGTTAGTTTCCCAACTTTTTCTTCTGTACTGCTGGCCAGTTTTGGACATGGTTTTGAATGAGGAAGAAAAAAATGAAATGCCTCCTTTTTTCAGAAGCTTAAAACTTGATGTCCCAAGTCAATATGGAACATTTAACAATTCACAAGCCTGTTTATTTCACTATTTCGCAAATTGCCTGGGTTTTTGAATCATTTGTGCCGCTAGCAATGCACGTGAATAATCTGTGCCGTTGTTGTTTCCTTTGGAATATATTATTCTCATTACACGTGTTGTCTTCATGGAGAAATAAAAGCATTTGTTGTCGCGGGCAATGTGGCTGAGCTGCATCCAATCGTCCATGGCATGACCAGGTGGTTGTGTTTTGTTAAGTGGCAGATTCACCAGGTTTTACAAAGTCATAATCCTAATTGCACCATTCCTCAGAAAGGCTTCACAGGTTTTGCCTCAACTACAAATGACTCCTGCTCCAGCCCAACCCCGAAAGAGAAAAAATTAGATAATAGGAACTACAGATGGTCCCTTCCTCTTCCTCTAATTACCAAATTTGTCGTCTATTTAAGGTGTCAAAGTAGACACGTAAAAATGCTCCAACCCAAACTTTAACTGTAAATGAGAAGAGAAAGTTTCTGTAAATCAGTAGAGATCTTTATCGGCAAAATAATGTGAGTTGACACGGTCTAAAATTGATTGAGTTCTTCCCTTTTAAAAAAACATCTGTGATCAGTGTTCTAGCCCTGAATACAGCACACTGAGAAGTAGCTGAATGAGAAGGACAGGCATAATAAAAATCCCTGAAATGCCCCCATTATACCAAGGAGGCCAATTTTAAGATGCCATTGTTTTTTATCTCAAAAAGAAAGAGACTCAAGCATCTGGTATTTTTGCTGCTTTACATTTGTCCTGCATCATTTTCCTCACCCCTGTGTTTCAATAGTATGGAGGAGTGTGAAGCACTGTGCACACGCATGGCCATCATGGTAAACGGTCGCTTCAAGTGTTTTGGGAGCATCCAGCATCTGAAGAGCAGGTAAGGGTCCTTTTTTTGTTACCACTGAGTGTGTTAGCCCAAGAGTAGAATAAAAAAAATTTAAAGAAAATCTTTGAAGCCCCTTGAAATGAGATGAAAGAAATCCCTGTCTCCCACTGAGGTGTTCTGTTATTTATACTGTGTATATAAATAACATAGGACAATGTATATTGTTAATAAAAAAGAAAACTATTCCATGTTTTCCAAGGAAGAAAAGGAAAGAATGCATCTTTTTATTTTATCATTTATTGCTACAGCTAAGAAGGACCCTTTCGGAGATATAACATTTATCAAAAAGTATTAGGTACCAGTGGAACCTCAAATACAGTCAAAGTGGGGGAAACAGCTAGCAGTAAGTGTGTATGTAAGTTTTTACTCTTTGGTTTTGAGTGGAGAGAACAAACAGCATATAATGTGTTCATAAGAGTGCTTATGCTAAGCTAAGCTAATCAGCCGCTTGCTCTAGAGTCATATTTAGTGTGTACAGACACGAGAGTGGTATCAATATACGTTTCCGCAAGACAACAAATAAGTGTATATCCCAACATGTAAAACTATTTTAGTATCAGAGGTTATGTAACGATAATATATTTGTTTGTTTTACTTACCAGTAAGCTTCTTGTCTTAATAAACCCATATACAGTATATGCCCCATATGTTTTGGCGTGCTAAGCTGAAAATGTTCTTTTTAGCGTACATTCATCAACATGATTGCATTGATTTCACATGTAAAGATCCATATATGAGGCCAATGTGCAGACAGTCAGGTCTGTAGGCAGGAGGTTAGTGTCCCAAGCCTTTCACCATTATCTCAGTTTCACATTTGTTTCTCTACAGACCCATAAATTCTTTTTCCACCATCCCTATCCTTATGCACACCCATAATAGGTTTTGTACATGTCTCTTAATGCGTTTTGTTACCTCTCCATTGGAGATATCCCCTGCCCTTAACTCTTACCACTCGGGTCTGTTCTCTGATATTCATCTGACATTTCCCAAGGCCAGCACTTGTGCCCCGAGCCCTGCATGTAACAGTGAGGCCCATCCATTACCTTAGGTACAGTCTGGTGACATTATTACCACTCCATTGTGTGATCTTGTAAGAGGAAGGACATTACACACACACACACACAAGAGCTACACACACAAGACAGGAATATGTGGTGGAAATCGTTGGGTGGAGAGAAAGATCAATACACCTGGGATGAGGGGTGGAGCGGACCATTTTTAAAGTCGTGCAGGGGATTAAGGGAAAAGTTCTCGAACAGCAAGGAGGGGTTCAACAGTGTCAAGGGTATTTCACATCAAGAGCATTAATGTCATATCATCGGCCACTGTCTCACTGCGGAGAGGGAAGAGGTAGATTTTAGATTGGGCTAAAAAAGGGTGAGAACGAGGGAGAGTTGAGAGGCGAAGGGCTAAAGTGGGAGAGCGATGTTCCAATCAGTCCCTCCCAGATGTTAGGGTAATTGACAGATCCTCTGTGTCAATTACATCCTGTCAGTAGGGGGACGAGCAGGGTGGCGTAAATCATTTATGAACCTCACAGGAGGTACAGGGATAGGTAACAGCCACCGGAGCGACGGGGGGGGGAGGTAGAAGCAGTAAACAAGGGAGGAGAACAGAGGGTTAACACGTGTCCTACTTTACTCGACATGCTATCAGGTAAAAGGGAATCGCACTTCACAAGACAGTCAAGTGAGAGGAAGCCAGATAAGCATGACGTCTACACCGATTTTCGCCGTGCTTATTTTAGATCTCGCATGGACAATTTACATGCTGCTGAAATGCTATCGCTCAGTTCTTGCCACGCAGTGAATAATTTCTAATTAAGCGCCCCTATCTCCGCAGCTTGGTGTAATTAATGTTTCATGAGGTGTGGGACCCTGTTAATGACTGAAAAAGCAATTAAGGACTGTCTTCTCTGTTTTCTTTTCTCGTCACTATCCCACCACATGTTTGTGCTGCCATGTTGCCCCCCACCAACACACACACACAGGTTCCCACCCTTGGTTTAGCATGTGATCCACCATCGTTTAAGTTGTTGTGAATCTCATCTATCCAGCTTGGCACGGTAGAAACACTGAACATCCAATGTTTTGTCCATAATGTGGGAATGGAGGGGCTGATTTTCATAAATGCGCAAGCTGTTGCCAGTTTGCAGATGGGAAGAGTTCCATCAGGCAGCAGGGGTTGAGGTGGAAGAGGGGGAGCCATGGCGATAGAGGCAGGTGGTGTACGCCATTGTCACACGGCGAGAGCGGCTGACCTGCAAAGCTGGGGGTGCCGCTTCTTCCCCCCTCTGCCCTCCCATCCCCAACGTCTCCATCTCTTTCTCATCACAAGCCCCTGAAAGGAGTGCAGAATCTCACCGCAGGGGCAGCTCTCACATTTTGACCCCCTATTGCTCACCCTCCCACATTCGCATCCCTCACTCCCCCCATCGCCTCGTCTCCTTCAAAAACCTCGCCATATTACCCTTATTTATTCCTCCCTGTGCTACTCTCAGGTGGCAGGGCTTCCAACCCAGCCATCCAAGTGCTTGTTAGTGCTGCCCCCTTTAGTTCAGTGGTGACCCTGTCTTTATCACCGAGATGCCCTTCTGCTGCTTTAACAACCCCCGCCTCTGTGTATCAATCAAGCCCCAAATGAGCCAAAATAGCCCATTTAAACTGCCAGAGAGGTGGTCAGCATGCGAAAAGGGGCTGAAGATTTGATTTGGGCGGTGGATTCTGAACAGTAGGGCGGCCATTTTAAGAAGCCCCCTTCATTATCTTCCTCCTCGGCTGTTAAAAACATCCTCCTTCCCTGTCCTGATATCGAGACCCTCAAATCAATCACACTTATAGGAATTTATGAAAGGCTGATGGGTAAGGGGAAAAATAAATAAGTAAAGAAATTTGCAAGAGGCTGTAAACAGTGCTTTAATACAGCAGTGTGCTGGTAGGAAAGCTCCCAGGTGTTAAGTAAACCCAAATGAAGTGGAGGAACCAATAAAAGCACTTCAAAGCTCCCCTATAATCTTGTCAGTTAGGAAGGACACCCACTAGCCGATGCAGGATTTTTCACTGATTGATATCATTCATATCCCCACTTCATAGAGTATCTGCAGTAAGTACACACCACAGCCTGGAGTCTTATTTTCTCCTTGCTTAAAGCACGTCATGATATAAAAGTGGGGGGTAAAGTGCCTTTAATGCATTAAGGTAATGCGGTGTGGGCGCTGGAGAGTTTTTACAAGAGTGGTGTCTAAAAGTTTGGATCAGTCCCCTGAAGTTGACGTTGAGAAGTCCAATAAACTCCTTCCCACTCACTCTGCGTCAGCTCTGCAGGTGTGCCATTAACTGAATAGTTTACGGCTTTTAAGTGCGTGTCACCAGCGGAGATGGATGACAAAATAATTCTCTTTACAGTTTACAATGCATCAGCAACGTAGGTGTAATTAAGCCTGCTAGAACACTGACAGACACAGATGGCGTACTGTATATACTGTACGTATCTGAGAGCTGTCTGCAGTGGAAATATACGACATCTTTACCCTTGATAGTTGGTGTGAATCTTAATTTATGTGGGATTGCGGTTCTTGTACCGACATTGGTTTTATCACAGCTTTTTTTTTTTGTGCAAGCAATATAAGCATCTGCATCTATATTTCAAGGACTGCAGAAATTGCTACATGCCTCTCTGTCTTTTATTACATCCGTGTCGAACTATGCATGTTTGTATATCTCTTAGTAATAACTTTTACAGGCCAGATGATGGCCTTCGTGTAGGATTACTTTCGAAGCACAATACTGGATACAAACGCCTCGTGAATATGCCTGCATAGAAGCAGTCTTCCACTACTCATCAATGAAAACTATCACTAAGGACAGATTAAACCATTTTATTTGAAAACAGTAATGTTAACTCAAGGCCCAATCACTACCTTTTATCTGAAGTTTTCAACTTCATGTAAAGATGGACCTGGGGTTTCAAACTGCTATTTCCAAGGTTAAGAATGAACTTCCCGCTTTATATTGCCACTCAGAACTTTTTTTTTTTAAAGTCATTTACAGCACGACTTCTAAACATAATACTTAAAAAGAAAAATTCAAACTTCCATTGCCAGAGACTTAGGTAGTTTTTATGTATTCATTTTAGATACATTAACAGCATAATGAATTTAGTGTTTAACAGTGGTTGTACTTGTTTTGAAGGTACAGTATAGTAGTGAAACAGTATGGAGCAATGTTTTAAATGCGGACCCCGTTTTTGTCTGCATCTTGTGCGCCACTAGCACATGTCCAAGAATACACATTTCTGACAACAGTGTCATGCTAAACCACCGACAGTTTGCAGCGGTAATCTTCAACTTCAGCTTTAACTTTATTGCCCCCAAGTGGAAATTTGTCTTACAGCCAGTATATACACATATAGAACACACAGAGACTCAAGCAGTTTGACACAAATGATCTTACTGGCCACTTTGAGAGATTACAAAAGTAATAATAGAGAAGATGATGACTGACTCTGCCAATGGAGCTGCAGAAGAGCATCATAAGTTTACTACACACCACAAACCAGCATGTGGAGTAAGTGCAGTCGTTGCTTACAAACTGTCACTGTGTTGTCATTGAATGTCTTATTACCAGTTTGTTGCAGTTTGTTATCAGTTATTATGAATATTTTGCCAGAAAAAGACAGGAAAGAGGAGAACTGCCAGCAAAATATAATCAATACAGGTTTTAAAATATTAATGCACAGCTTTGCAAATATTTTATAAGCAAGGAAGTACATTCAAAATATTTGGTTTTAAGGAATACATTTTTGGAAGTAATACTCTTCACATAGTGATCTTTTGAATGATTTTTAAAACACAAAAAAAAAGCCTTTTATTCATAACAGCATGGAAATTTGATTTCCATCATGTCTCATCTATTTTATTATTATTATTATTGTTTTTATCATATATAGATGGGTATTTTATTCTTTTAATTTTACAGTTCATTTTGTAAATTGTGTTATTTGTTTTATTCTTAATATTTATTTTTACTGATGGGGTCTTATTATCATGAATGGGGATAAACATGCAATATTTCTAATCAACACATTTTTAAGGCCTCCTTACAATGCCAATCTATCCTTTCCTGTTTGGACAAAGATCACCTATCCATCCATCCATCCATCCCTCTCTCTATCCATTTATCCATCCATCTACCCCTCTCTCCCCACTGTGCCTGTGGAGCCTCTGCCTAGAGCTTTGTTTACTCCCCCTCCAGGAACTAAGGAAGTTTTTTGGACGACTCCCTGCCTGATCAAAGCACCAGACCACCCAAGCCACACTGTGACCTCTTGCCCCGCGTCCGCCTTCCCCCCTGCGGACACAAATACAAGATTTGGCAGTGGTGAGGGTGACCTTTCCAGACTCCCTCAGATGAAGGAAGGCAGCAGAATTATTTTCTGCCTGTCATGCCCTTATCTGTGTCTGGCTGTTGTTTGTTTTAAATTACATGGAAGAACGACTTTCCAGCGGACCAGGGTGGAGGAGAGGATTGAGGCAGAATAATGAAAACGAAGAAACAGCGCAGACATTACAGTGTCTCTGCCATGCTGTGTTGAGCCGCTGTATCATATCTCTAATGTAAAATATTATGAAAGGATTAGTTGTGACAATGTGGTGCAGTCATGACTTTAAACATAATCCTTTCATTTTGTTTCTCTTTATTCAGCCCCCAAATTGCAAAGATCTGTCTTTTTTGCTATTAAATCAGCAGTTAAAATGGAATTAATTGTTTCAAGCATGCCACGCTATTGTTATGAACACAAAGTGTACTGCAGGCTCTGTTTCAACATATCCAAGCCTACCTTTCCCTACACAGACATAGTTTATTTGAGGAGAGCCAAGACCGACAGTGTATCCAAGATGAAAGAACTTGTTTTGTTGTGAATACAGAAGCAGAGTAAAAATGATGAATATGAGAGAAAGATATTTTCCCCAAAGCGCAGCCTGAAGCCCCTGTGTAGCTGCAGAAAGAAAGGAAATAAAAGTAAGGTAGCCAGGGAGAGAGAATGAGGGGTAGCTAATTGATAAGCCCTTTTACTGTCACTGACAAGCAGCATTTCATCACCAATAAATGACCCAACCCTTTTGCCAAACCCTTTCACCACAATGCTTCATGGCCTTATTGGATATTTGCAAAAATGTTTTTGCATCTTCGCCGAGCTTGGCAGTCCATAGACAAAGCCCATTTCCTGCGCCGGCAGCTATAATAAACACAAGGGGATTATGGTCATAGTCTTGATTGGATGATGAATTAAGCTTGATGTGTGGGGATGGCTGTGATGTTGTGGTGTCTGATTACAGACTGTGTATTCTTTTGCATCTTATAAAAATCTTCAAAAATGATCCACAATGAGAGAGGAGTTCTGGCTACAGTCTATATAAATGGTATGCTTTACTGGAGAACGATGGTGCTGCGTGTGCAAATCAAAGTGTATTGTCAAAGGTAGATGTCAACACTTCTTACAGGTATTAAGTCTTTACGTTTCATGCAAACAGCTTAGAACAGCTCGTACATGTTGTGACATACTGTTAGTGTTTTGGTGACAGCAGCACAGCCATGGCGATAACATTTGACACGTGATAATGCGAGATCCATTCATAGCTACCGTCTTTTGGACTGAGCATCTGGAGGAGATAGATGTGCTTATATTTTCACACTGATTGTAAGTAATAAACATCCGATTGTATTCATGAACCTGAATCATAATCATATTATGATGGAATGTATTTGTGAAAATAACAAATTAAAGAGTTTGAGTACTAACTGAATGGAGCTTCTTAATGAGGAACAAAGCAGTGCTACAATGGTATAATTTGTTTCATGCGATGTGACCAGAGTCGTTGAGATCCGCGTTCCTGTGATGATTATTATGATCCTGCTTTTTCACTTTGAACTAATGAAGCCCTAGGCACTCAATGAACACCTAGCAAGGAACAGTATTTCATAGCAAAGTTGAGCAGGGCTCAGGTCAGTATAATAGGAGTATAATTTGGTACGGTTGGAGGGCTGTCTAAAGGCCAGTTGCTTAATTAAGTGCTGACATGCTGATACTTGCAGGGCACCCATAGTTGTATCCACATGATGTGTACTACATAATATGTCTTAGAGTTTCATGGGGATGCTTTTGATCACCTACGGCGTGCAGAGCCTGAGGAGATCACAGTGCCAGCACGGTTCTCAGATCCTCCCTATACAGTAGGCTTGACACAGACGTTGTGGCAGGATAGCATGCCACCCGCTCTGTTGCATCATAAAATCTGATATATTCCAGTCGTTGCTTCACATTGTCTGCATTCTTTTATATTAGTATATATATTTTCTTTTTCCCCTAACATGGTAGCCAATTTAAATGTGGGCACATTTGCACATTGCTATTTTGGTTTCGAACCTTTCCTTCGCTGTGGTATCAGACCACAATGCAAGGAAACACTAAATCATTGCAAGAATTCCCAGTTTCTTTACCTCAGTCAATTGGCAGTACCCGTTGTAGTGACGGGAGACAGGAGACAGAGGTCATGGGGTATGGTTATAATGATGTAACATGTGATTGGCTCAGATGCCAGCTCCTACAGATTCATGCGAATATTCTTCTGACATCTGATGTATGTGAGAGGTATTCTGGCTTGTCCAATCATAATGCCAGAAAATTCCAGCTAAGGAGGGTGCCTTGAGATGATCTGATTCTAAAAGTAGCATTAAAAAGACACTTATGCATTCTTAATGGAAGTGGGTATTAAATAGGCATTCCCACATACACTTTATGCAAAGTAACACTATTTTTGCACTGCGTCTCCTCAACTTCAAGCATCATGTTTTAACTAAAGGGACTCTGCAGCCTATGGAGTCCATTCATTGTGCATCTCAGCACCAGCACAGAGCTTCACTTCCTCTCCCGCTCCTTTGGGGTCGTGTAGGCCCGCAGTTTATTCAGCATATCTCTAATTGCCACTAAGGGAGCCTCTGACTCTCGTTGCATGTAGTGCTGTACTAGCCCACAATGGACATTTCCAAGAGTAAATCCAACATTAGGGAATTAATTAGGCAGAAAACAATGGGTCATAAGAGTGCTAACGACAGAATAACAAGGCACAGACTCTTATTTGGTGCTCACCAGACGTAGCATGCAACTGGGAAGACGCAGAATGCTAATTAGCTTTAGAGCTTAGCTACGGCCCATTTTCATCTGTGACTATTTTTTAAGATATTGTTCATGTTGTAAAGTTTTACCATTAGATCATGTTGACATATTTCCAAACTCTGGCTCTTCAATGAGGCAAGCACTTTATATGTACTCTTCATTGTGAATCATATACTCAGTCAGAGTCTTATTTGGGATGCAGTCCTGTGGGATGTATAGTTTATCAAACTCACATTATGGGTGTAACCGCCTTGCAACTTGCCAGTGGCTTTCATGCCTAAATACTTATTATATTAACTATTAAAAACAATACATTGTCTGTAAGTGAAACCTTTTTTTTCTTAGCAAATATCCACCATTGTCTAAACATAATTTTGTCTCATCTGTTTTGATGATACCTTCTTTTACATTTGATGCAGAAAATGATGTTGAAATCCACTATTACCTTAGAAAGTTGAAAAGTTTATCCATCAGCTTTCAACTTTAATGCACTGTTGAAGTCAAGCTGTTTTTGTTCTCAGCTGCTTGTGACTCAGCTGCTCCTCCAGCTCACCACATCCAGGAAGCTTGAAATAGTGGGAAATATGAGACCAATTATATTTTGTCATCTTTTTTGCTTCCTGCCTTGTCGCTTTCTTCCCTGTTATCCATCACACTATGACGCAACCACAGGAGAAAAGAAAGTTCATTATTTAGATGACCAGCCGTGAGCAATTTGGCACTGACATGCTTGTTTGCAGTTTTTTTTTTTTTTTTTTGTACTGAATGCCTGGCCTCTTGTTCTAGATTCGGTGATGGCTACACAGTGATTGTGAGGGTTGGCGGCTCGCCTCCTGCACTGAAGCCAGTTGAGGACTTTGTCCAGCATACCTTCCCAGGCAGCATCCTGAAGGAGAAGCATCACAACACACTGCAGTATCAGCTCCCATACACGCAGGGAGCTTTGGCCAACATCTTCAGCCAGTTCACCAGCCATCAGCAGAGGCTGGGTGTGGAGGACTACTCTGTGTCCCAGACCACTCTGGATCAGGTAAGGCCCAAAGAAATATGATAAGTGCCGAGACTTTTTCCCTCTGAGCCTTGTGAGTCTTACATTCTTTTAAACTGGAGTGTGTCTAATTTGATTTCATAGTTACATTTCAGCAATTTGACTGGTACAACATCAAGGATTTATTTGTTCTTTTTTTAATTAACCGCTGTCATGTGTGAGAAATTGTGTGAAGAAACTAAAATCACATATGATACATGAATAACAAAGACAGTCTAGTATTTATATATATATAGAGTCTGCCTATAGACTTCTATACGATGAGCCTTCAGCTGACATATGTCACTGAAAAGATGACAGACAGCACTTTGAGGCATGTACATATTCAGGATATAATAAGATACATTGCTGGTTGTCATGGAGAAATTGCTGCTACAGGCTATTTATCAAACGTATTCATCTGAACTTATGTGTCTCTGAATTTATTTCACTTCATCATGTAATTTATAGACATTTACATTGCGCAGAGTTAATACATTGTATAGCCATAGACCAACCAAAACAGCAATATTAAATTCATGTTACTATATTACTTCTAGATTGAGAAACTTGATGGTCTCATTTGTGATGGCTGTCTGTCATCCTAGCTGTTTAAAATGTTCAGAAACCATTTAACATTGTAGCTGATTATTAAATATGAATGTGGTCTACATTCTGTCTACATCAAATGAACCCATTATATTTCTAGAGGTGAACACACTGTCTCTTTGATCAATATTCCATAGTATCGTTCTCCAAGGTAAAGGTGAAAAGGAATCAACTGAAATCTTTTCATCTCCAGCCACTGGAAAGCCAGCAATACATTTATTTCAATCTCTCGATCTTCATCTCTACCAGTAGCAATATATTTGCAAAACAGGACAGAAGACTGCTGCTAAAAAACATGGCTTTAGCCACAAAGAGTCCATTCTTTTTTGATGCACATGCTTTGCAATTGTGGCTATCCATGGTGAAAACACGTTACCTGGCAAGTTCTGAGAAGAACAAAATAGGAATTGCACACAGGCCCCATAATGTGTGAAACATTTCCACTTGGACACATTTTTCCTTTATCCAAATGGAGGGTTATCAATTCTGGAGTCCCTCTGAATCTATCTGGGAAATGTATTCTGTATTTTGGCAAAAAAGTTTTAGCTGGGATTAGCTTGTACAGTAGCAGGGGATGCACAATTTGACTGGCCATGTTCTATTCTCCTACTGTAATTCTGTGGAGTACCAGCTGAGATTGACGGATTATTAAATCATCAGTCAATACATTCAGCATTATAAGTGCTCTCAGTTAATACAAGCTGGCTCAGTCCAGGAAAAGATATAAAGATCTGTCATTGCCGACACATTGTCTTCTCCAATTCAGGCTGTCAGACTGACCAATGAGGACTACACTGAGTTTGTGTAGCCAAGATCAGCCGCCAGGTCTCAGTATTGATCAAGAATCTAGACTGAGATTTTTTTTATATATATATAAATATATATATAAAAGGCTCCCTCAGCCAGTGCCTTTTTTTATTCCATCCCAAGTGCACTGGCTAGACCCCCTGATTGGTGAGATAAAGTGGGCCCTGCATGTTACGGACTGGCTTCACCTTGTGTTTTCCAAATGGCCCCAGGGACCTGATGCAATCAGGCACTCAGAGGCGAGCGCGAGTGTGTCTGGTCTTGCAAGCCCACCATTAGCTCAGCAGCAGATGACCAGGTGGGAGATGATGATGACCTCTGAGCGGTCCAGAAAGGTCATTGGTCCACCCCACCATGGGGAAGAAAAGTGCCTCCTGTTGCATTTAAAGGAAATCCTGACAGAGATGTGAATGAGTGAGTGAGTGACTAAGTTAGCTGTCTGTGCATTCATCTGCTCTGTGGCATTGTTGCATTTAAATCAATTGATGTGATATAAATCCTACAGGGATGTTAAGCATTTCATTATCAACATGACCCCCCTGTGGATAACCCCTTATCCAAGATAAAACCATCTTTTGCAGCAGTATTTAGATGAAATATGCCCTTTAGGGGCCAATTAGCCTACCACTATGACAGGAAAGTGATTTATGAAAAGCTAAATGCTCTAACTTAGTGTGGTTTACAGTCAGATTTGGTTCCTCCTTAAGGGTTTTTAGCACTTCACCTCCAACCTTGCGTAATTTCTGTTTTAACTTTTTCAACTTGCCCCACATTCTGCACTGGTCAATATTTACCAGATCAGAGGCAGTAAATAAATCATACTTGGACCAGGAGGTCATAGTATTAAAACACAGAGGGTAGCACTGGAGAACCTGTGGAGACCCAGACTGTCACCTTTCAGCTGGTGATTTATAGAGAAGAGCCTTGACCTATAGTATAACACCCGACTTGCACTACAATTAATATTGATCCACACAGCCTGGAGCTCAGGCGTTAACACTGATGGCCAAGACAGTGGCGAGCAGATGGAGCATTTGAAAGGAAAATTTGACTTTCTGAACTGTCTTTTAGAGGATGATTGTGTGGTTGGAATGTGAAGTATTTGTTGCTTTGTGTGTGGACAATGGTCCACATTCAGCCTTGTCAACACTGCAGGTGACCTTTTAGTTTCACAATATATGTAGTCTTAATTATTACTTACTCTTTCCTGTAGTTTTATGTTTCACTCACTTTAGTTTCATGACACAAAATATGATATGATGGCAAGTATCATCTTGCTTACTCTATGTCACTATAGCACTTTACTAGCTAGAGAACAATTTTATTTGAATCTCTTCTAGAGGCGAACCTGTTCTTGAACACTGATTATCGTATTGTAATTTACAGTTCATCATATTACCGCTTAATTATAGTACAATTAGATACAGCCCTTTTATAGATGCTCAAATAAGACATTTTCCAGGTAAAATACATTTTAAGAATTTCAATTATGGGTAAATGATGCTTACAATCCAATGTGATCAATTGATTTGATCATTTATAAAGCATTTCACTACATCTAGTATGCATCAGTTACAACTATTAAAATTAATAAAAGAAATATGTGAATTATTTAGTAGTTTATTGTGAAATAATACTTGGTGCTGCATACGACTTTCAGAACCACTAAAGGTTGCACTAAAGCACGAGCATGTCAGACCAAAGCACTAGAACTACAGCCCACCATACTCCATTGACAAAAACAGTAATTTTACCTTGCAGATCATAAAACCCATTTCATTCAGACTGGACAGAAACAAAGTAAAAAATTCAGTCCGTCCACTGTTCCAACAATCAACAACTCTGGTTTGGTCAAAATAAACCCCTAATTCACCATGGCGGCAATGTAATCCATGGAGACAAAGGCGCCCATCAAGTACATTCACTAAAAGTGCTTGTTTTTGCCACTGACTGGCTCACATTGTTATTCTCTGTCTGACAACATTTATAGAAAGGATCCCTGCAGAGATAAACCTTTTGTTGAACCAGAAACAGCCAATATATCGCTATTGGCCGCCACCAGGCTCCATAGACAAAAACAATAATTTGACCTTGCAGATCATCGTGAAACACACTCCCACTTGACAGAAACAAAATAAAAAAATTACCAAAAAAAGGTCTTTGTTAGTCTTTAAGCGCTTCCAACAATCAGAAACTCTGGTTTGGTTTTAAAAAATCCTTAATTCAATTCGATGGAATAAAGAAACCGCCTCCTCAAAGCCAACAGTTTCTCAGGGAGAGACACGTCATCCCGGATAAAGAATGGAAATTGTAACATGTATTTTTTTTCCAAATTTCCAATGTGAAGTTGTTTTGTCCACTCTCAGACTAACAGACTTAAGCAAGATCTTCCACCACTCTAAAGAACATTTCAAAGTCGGTGCAGCATAAGGGTAGAGCATGAACATGTGGATGACATGTAAAAATAGCCATTTCACATTCGGCAAGGGCTCCTTTGATATACAGGAGAGGTTAATTGGGTGATTCACGTCCTTCCCCTACTGTTCTGCCTCAACGGGCATCAAATAAACACCCAAATGTACCCTCTGTAATGTAATTAATGCCTGTATCCATCTGTTATTAAGAAAATGTCACTCAACAGCACTGGCGCATGACATTCACGTCATGAATGGATGGTTGGCTAAATACAGAAAGTGTGCATTACGAGCAAAGTCATATCACAAAGCAGGGGATGAATTTACCATGGTCATCTCAGTCAGAAAAGCTGTCACTATCAACTGCACCACTTAAGCACTTTTTATCCTACTAGGATTCTCAAATAAAGTTGAACAAACTGTACTTTTTAAATTCTGCAAAACTATACAGCCTTGACTATGAATATGAAATGCTGTGCATGCCTCAGCACATCAAGCCAATATCAGCCAGTGGCAGGGTCAGAGGCCGAGAGAGATGGGCGCAGGGTGTATTTGTTGCTACTGTCATTCTTATTTTCTTATTCATTCTGCCCTGATAAGATGTCTTGACAAGTGTGACCTTGATACACACTGCTGATGGTCTGACATCACACACACAGAAGCATACTTTTGCCTTGGGCGTTCTGCAGGCATGGCTTGCTCCTCAGTTGCAAGGTAGTCTGCTGATTTCTCTACACCCAACTGGCCACCGGCTCCATGAGCTTTGAGGTCAGCAAGCTTTACATATGTAGGTACTAACTTCCAATGAAATGATAGTTGAACAAAAAGTGTTGTTTTTTTTAATAAGAATTGTTGCTTATGCTTTGGAAATACAGTGTATGAAGCAGCAGAAGCCTGTTTTACCTTGGAGTGAACAAAGGACCATAATCCGCTTTGTAGAATTACAATTTCTTACTGGAAGCGTAACAATTTGATTCCATGAGAATCCCTTGTTTAGACAGTATGACTTCCTCAGCAGGTCAGAATAGTGGAGGAGCAGAATTTGCCACCGAGCTGCCCTTGAGCAAGGCTTTTTAACCTCCAACTTGCCTAAGCTGTTCAGCTGCTCTGAAGCCGACAAATACAGTAAGGCTGTGTTTGTACTGGGCCGCTTCCAAGAACGACTTTGGAACATGGTTTTTCCAGGAAACAAGTATTTGTGCTCAGTAAATTTATCCTGGGTAAAGAAAAAAAGGAATTTAGGAAATTTCAGCTGTAATAATAATATGGGTTTTCTGAAGGGAGTAGTACCATAATATCAAGAACTTTATTTCTGATGATCAGTACCTAACAGAGTAACTCCCCTGAACTCAAGATGTAAAATGACACTATAGTTCAAATGAAATACATCAGATGATTCCATATTAAAGGTATAGTTTGACATTTTGTTTTCTTTCAGAGAGTTAGATGAGCAGTGTGATACATCCTTATGTCTGTGTGTTAAGTATGGACCTACAGCTGGGAGGCAGTTAGCCTAGCTTAGCATACAACTGGAAGTAGGGGGAAACAGCTAGCCTAGTTCTGTCCAAAGTCCAAAATCTGCCCACCAGCATCTCTAAAACAAATTTCTTTAAATGTTTTATCTTGTTTTTATTTCTGTTACACACTTGGAAATGTAAAAATGAAAATGTGTGGATGTCCTTTTAGATTCAAGCTACTTGCTTAATGCACAGCCATAAAAGTGGCATCAGTCTTCTCATCTAATGTCGACTAATGTGTTTATCAAAATGTCAAACAATTTTTCAAAGGTTTCAGCATATGTAAATGAATATAGCTTATTACATGAGCAAAGGAAACGTCTTCTTGACAAACATCATCCTTTGTTTACTAAAGATCTTTTCTCTTTATCATAAGCATTTCATTATAACGCTGATTATATAAATTAGCTAATTACAGAAGCTTTAAAAGCTGACATGATAGATCTTTATTACCCTGTCTTTATTATCTGAGCTTCTCTAAAACAAAAGCCTGAAAGGACACTATTGTTTATTTCTGTTCATTTATGCTCTGTCCCATGTATTTACTCTCTGTCCCATTTCATTTATTGGCGAATATGTAGCTGTGACGAAGGGGAGTCCGAGTTGTTTCTGATGGAATTGGTCTGGGTGATTTTTTCTCATTGAGGTTTTAAAGGCATTTTAGTAATTCACAGATCCTTTTATACTCACACACACTGAAAATCTTTTAATGAAAAAGCAATGCTCTTATCATTTTATGTGATCCACTTTTTTTTTTTTCCGTGGAGTGAAAGTCTTTGTGTCACTTTACCACAACAGTCAGCTAATGCTAAGAGAATAAAAAGCCTGGACTATAGTGATGTTTACAGCACAATGAAATACACACAGACTTTTTATGAACGCCATAGGATTGATTTCTTCTGACATTAAATGGGTATCACAGAGAGAAGAATGATTGTTTTATTCTCTTTCTCAGCTGGTCAAAGATGTCAAACTGACATTCACTGTGTGAGCCTAGACGCTTACTTGATGCTTCATAGCCCTTGTCTGGCAACTCATTCACATGCACCCCGTTGTCTGTACGACTATTTCTGTTTGTTTTAGAGGCAGAGGGTGGGGGAGAGTAAAAATGAGATGGCTATAGAAATGTCCACAGGCCCTTCAGTGTTCTGTTGTATTACTTTTTTTTAATCTTGCCTTTAAGTACCTTCTTTTCCTCATTGATATTCCAGGTTTTTGTGAGTTTCGCAAGGCACCAGCATGTGGAGAATGACAGTCAGGCTTATGAAAACCTGGTGGACACTTCAGATGAGATCCCGTTGGAGTCTGTGAAGACCTCCCAAGAAGCGGAGAAGGTGTAACACCCATGAGAAAATCATAACACATTGCACTTACAGTGGGCCAGCAATAAACCTTAAACAAGTATGATTGGGTGGGATTTGCACCGACAGAGTGACGGGTTCATATTGTGCCTAAGGCTTTCTAAACTTGTCAAACTTTTTGCACTTCCTATTTCAGTCCCCAGGCACACCAGTGGTGCTAGTGTTGGTCAACAATGACATTTCATTTTTTGTTTTGTTTATTTCTATCCAAGCATAATTCTCCAACATAGCTGTAATTAACTGCAATAACATAATACCCAAGCTTATAAAGATTTTTCTGTCTATAAATCCTGCAAATCCTACATAGTTAGTGTCTTGATGAAAGAAAGAATAAGGAAGGTCACTGCACTACAATCAAGAAAAATCAAACTGCATTTCAGAAAATACTTGAAACGAATCAATTTCCCTTTGAAAAATGACTGAAATATTCTTACTGCACAGGCAGATTTTTTTACTTTCTCTATGTAAAATAAACTTTAAGAACTAAATTACTGACAAAAATCACTTGATAAGATGGAGATCTTTCTAGTGTAGAATGTGGTTTTAATACTGTATTTCAAAAAGTTTTCAAAAACTGAGCCGCCAGTTGGATTTTGTTTGGAGTATATTGCTGACCTTAGTATACCTCAGGAGTGTGAAAAGACCAACTGATTCTCCAAAAGCATCAAAAATTGTACAACCTTTAGGATACCTCAGGATTGAACTTCAAATTGAATGATATTTTAGAATTGTTTACACTTGCTGTTGGTTATAATGATATGTTGCACTGTAAAATCATGCAAAAGAGAAGAGCTACCAGATGTAGTCAGTGAGCCTTGCTGCAAAAAAGTTTGATTACTGATATTAAAGAATATCAACAGGCGACAAATGTAAGAATATTCTGAGAACACAAATCCCAAAAGACATTAAACCACAGTTAGTTCCATTGCTTTCGCTGACAGGCACTTTAATAATAAGTAATTAATAAATACAACATTGTCAGATGTGTTGACTGTGAATATCTGAATGAGCCTCCAATGAGCTGTAGATGGTGTTTAATGAAAGACACTGAGGTTGCAGCAATGGGACAATTCAGAGTCAACCAGCTGTCAAACATGTTGGGTGTGCAAGAAAGACAGCACATCCCATGTGTGTACTAACCACAGCTTACAGACGACTGCAACTGCATTCAATTCAGCAATCAATGAATGTAAGTGGACACATATCAGGAAGATCTCTCAAGAATTATGAATGAGCAGGAATAGATTTATATTTTATGAGATTTTTAATGCATTGCCTTGTGAAATCTATTTTATTCATGACTTTTTCTTTGTGGAATCTAAACATGACATTTATCACTGAGATTTGTTTTTTATGTCATAGGGCATGCTGGTATTAGCAATGGTGTGTTAATCTATTACCACCAGAGACTAGTATCACAGAATCTAGCACTCCGTCTCATGCACAGAGCTGTGCAGTTAAAGTGAATACATTTTGTCACAATGTGCCTTTTAAACATCCAGGGATAGCTTTGAAACACTTTGATCCTTGAATTTACAATGTTAAGATGTGGAAACTATGTTATATTATGCAAGTATATAGACCATTTCATTGGAATTGACCATTTGCTAAGCCCCGTCCAATTTAGTTACTGTTGCTATGCCTGTCGGGTTTACCATTTGCATATTTGCAGTTTACAATGATAAAATTGATGAATATAGCACTCAAAATCTATTGTAACTTTTAAAACATTGGGTCCTTGATTGAAATCACCCCATGCTCAGACGGTTAGCTTGCATGCATGTTCAGATTTTTAGGCATTATGTTTTCACTTTTAACTTTCAAGGGAAAGGTTTTTAGGATTAGAACTAACTCATTTGTTTGGCAAACTTAATGCCATCTTGGGTAACATTGGCTGGAGTTGCTGGAGTGTAAACCTCCTCAAATCCAATTAAGAGCGGGACACAGCTGCTAACATTAGCCTATAAACTCTGGTAGCACAGACAATGGGGACTTACTAGCTTACACAGTGAATGTGCCAGTCATGAAATGGGCTTCTTTGGAGTAATTTGTAACAAACTATGTAGGTAGTTAATGATATGCTTACTATGGCCTTGAAGTAAACCCTAGGTTACTACTGTAAGTATAGCTAGTTAGCTTGACATGCTAACAGTTGCGTTTAAGCAGATAAACTTTATTATTCATTCCTTACACACAAAAAAAAAAAAAAACATCAACCTCCAAACTGTTTATATGCCAAATATTGCTCTTTCTACTGCCCCATGCTTCCAGAGCTTAACAGTTACCTACAGTAGATATAGTTGCTAAGCTATGATTGTTTAGCAAATGGTAAATTATGTTACTGGTTAACTGCCATTTATATCAATTGTTGATAATAGAAAAAGAGCAGCAAATGATGTAAAATGGCTGTCATTTATGTTTGAATTACACTGAACATCGTTCAAGATTCAAGAGGTTTATTGTCATAGCTGTAATATGTTGCAAATGTACTGTATGTCTTAGACAAAATGTCACTCAGGAATGTTTTATGTGCAATTTTCACCCAGGAATATGTAGATATAAATGGAAAGAGTTATTAATAGCTACATTCTTATTATTTTCAACATTCTGTACTGTACTGTAAAACATTGAGCCATTGTAAGTGTCCTAACAATTAAAAATCCCAATGCTCATTACTCATGCAGCTTACATTACTTGGCACTTACTTCAGAATGTAAATACTTTTTCAATTCGCCCCTCACAGGCACTCTGGTTTACTTTGAGAGCTTGACATAATTTGTATGCTGTGCTAAGTCCTCACATTACTATCATGCCCGTTGCAAAGAATAATGAATGCTATTTGTACTGAATATTGCCTCATGCCAAGACAAACGATTAAACATTTGCACAAATTGTAATGCGACTCTGACTTTAATGTTTGCACATTGGCGTGTTTGTCCACTGATTCATTGGGTCCGAGTTTGAAAGTCGCTTTAGTTCAACTTTCCACATGTTGTTTTATTGTCTTGTCCTTCTTTTCACTCGGTCACGTCTTTCACTTTGAGTGTAGCTGTCAGCTGCAGGCTTACATTTGTTGAGCCTTTCACACGTCCATTCCTTAACTGAGACCATAGGATGCCAGAATACAGACTGCACAGAGTGGGTAAGGCATTTTATTTCACATTTACTGGAGTTGCTCTTTCTCAAAGGGGAAGAGACGTTCTGTCTGCCAGGTGTCTTGGAATAAATTCATTTTTTTGTCAAACTATCACACAGTCACTTTAGTGTTTTCGCTTTGTTTTTTATTATATAACTTTCTCCAGCAAATTCAAAGCTAGTATGCCCTAAGGTTAAAACTATTGTTTTCTCAATTTCATTTCAAAATATAAAAAACTCTTGTTTTGCAACAGCCTGTCCTCCAATAATTTATTAGGATGGCTCATTTTTATGTACATCAAAAAACATTTTAATACCAATTTCCTGTTTTTTCCCCCTCTCTTGACTAGACTTCGATTGTTTGCTCTGAATTCTAGAGATGAATGCATATGGATTTTTCTGTTTTCTCTTTCAGGTGCAAATATATTTGTTTTTTCTTGTAAGTGGAAGTCAGATGAAGAAGGTAATAGCAGCAGTCCTATGCCATCTTTCAGCTGGCTTAAGTATTTAAATTTGCAACTTTTCTCTGCTTTATGTCATGAAAATTAAATATCTTCTGATTTGATCTGCTCTGAGAAACTATGATGGACATTTTTCACCATCTTCTGACTAGATACAATCATTTATTGAGAAAACGATAAAGTGATCTCTGAAGACTTGCAGCCATACATTGATTAGTTTATTAGCAAAGTATGTACGTGTCATGCTTGTGTCTTAAAGTTTCCCAGTTGTGAAATGCTAGATGTACTAAAAAATAATAAAATTTTGATGTTAATTGTGTGATAAAATATACTAAATTACATATGCAGTAGGCTATATACAGTATAATAATGTTGTACATGAAATTTAATTAATTCTGTTTAAGATTATGAAGATGTGGGTTGAACTACCCTTGCACTGTAAGAATTAGCAAATCTCTTGTATTCATGTGAGTTTTAATGGCTCTAATGCGACCTGTATGGTTCTTCAGTGATTCCATTCCACTCATATTTCCCACATACAGCGAGAAGTCTTAATCTTGGCAAACTTTAACTCTCGTATCTACAGTTAATGTTTGGGCTTTCTGCATGTATCACACCTCTTGTCTTTCTTTGCTCATTAGAACGCTGAGCTCTGGGGCACACAGCCAGAGGCAATCAGTCAGGCGGCAACTTCACAGAGGCGATAAAACTCTAGTCTTAAGGTAAGATTACTTGTCACATTCCACCATTATTCCTTCGCACTTTCCGTCCCAGTGTAATACTTAGGAGGTTTATGAGGTTACATTACAGATCGGGAGAGCCGGGGACTGAGCATGCATATATAGGCATGCATGTACACCGATCAGCTATAACAATATGAGCACTGACAGGTGATGTGAATAACACTGGTTATCTGGTTATCATGCCACCTGTCAGTGGGTGGGATATATCAGGCAGCAAGTGAACATTTTGCCCTCAAAGTTGATGTGTTAGAAGCAGGAAAAATAGGCAGCGTGAGGATTTGAGCAACTTTGACAAGGGCTATTGTGATGACATTGGGATGGCTAGACAACTGGGTCAGAGCCTCTCCAAAACAGCAGCTCTTGTGGGGTATTCCCAGTCTGCAGTGGTCAGTATCTATCAAAAGTGGTCCATGGAAGGAAAAGCGGTGAACCGGAGACAGGGTCATTGGCGTCAAGGCTCATTGAAGCACGTGGGGAGCGAAGGCTGGCCTGTGTGGTCAGATCGAACAGATGAGCTACTGTAGCTCAAACTGCTGAAACAGTTAATGCTGGTTCTGATAGAAAGGTGTCAGAACACACAGTTTGTTGGTATGGGGCTGCATAACATTATAACCACCAGGGTGCCCAGGTGGTATATATATATGTATATACCGAGCCAGACCACATTTTTCCTTCGCAGACCAAACTACTAGAAGCCTTTCATTAAATGTTTATTTCGTTTTCCAACCACTTTCTGTGCAGTAGTAGGCATCATTATTTGGCATGGAATGATGGAGTCGAAAGATACACCCAGGAACACCAGGTAACAACACATTAAAGGTATTTTCCATTTCACAGAATTGAATACTGCTGCACCAAGATTTTTGGAGTGAAGTCATTGCTTCCTCAAAAAAAAAAAATAAATCAAAAGAACCTGGCAACATATCCTTGTCTTGTCATCAAATTAGCTGTGGTTTAGTGTTTCTTTGTAAAATCGGCCGTTGTGCTTTTAGATGCAAGTATAGATCACAGGCATATTACACTGATAATATAGCTCATACTATACATACACTAATGTTTTCCATGACTCGACATTTTGCCAATCTCGGTGCCAGGTACAAGAATTCAATAAAAGGCATTGTCAGTCGGAATGGGAAGATTACAGGAGTTAGAGGAGATTCAATGATCTGCTCGACAGGCGAGCTTTACAGAAAGCTCCTGCCACCTCTTTCAATCTGTAATCACCCTTTGTACTCTGAGTTTGCTGTTCTTGCTTCGGGGTACTTGTTATAGCCTGTCTAGAATAGGTAGTAATTGGAACAATGTCTCTGTTCATCTCACTGCAGTCAAACTACTATAGACACTTCAGGGGAACTTGTACTTTTTCTTTCTGTCTGGAGTCGTTTTTAAAGTTATCTTATATTTTATTTTATACTTTATTTTTAGGTTGTTTTTTGGGGGGGGTTTCATGTTATTTGTCGTAGTCTTTGGCTTTATAGTAAACCGTAAACTTTATTGAACTTCCTTTTTAGATACTACAGACTATACATATATATATATATATATATATATTATAGCCATGTGGGAAATTGTGGGAAAATTAATAGTGTTTTATTTCATGATTCTGCTTTTCATCACAAAGATTATTCTGTGAATGTCAGTCTGCTAATCACATAGAAACAATTTATTTACTTATTTTGTTTTCCTCTATGTTGTAGAACTGAACTGTAGCAGATTAAAAATCGTAGCACCATTGACATCCCTTCATGATAACTTCACATCAGCAGCCATTAAGTTAAGACTGTAAGTTGCAAATTATCACTCTTATACATGTATTTCTTTAGAATACTTTATTATGATCTTCTTTTTTTTGTTGTTGCAGCATTTAAATGCTACACTTCTTTTCCTGAAGCACTCTAAACTTTGAAAAACAACTTGACTCTGGTACTGGCAGTCCTTGAACTGATTGCATGTGCAGTCATTTAAAAATAAATTTGAAAGCATCTCTTCAATTCAATAACTGAAAGGTCTCCACGGTGTTTCAATGGGCCTCATGCTGATACAGATTAAGGTGTTAAGCAGACATGTGGATTTTAATATGAAACTAGCTGGTGTTGTTTTAGCGGATTGGACACTAATGTAGGGCAACTGAATGAGGATTTTAAAGTAGGAGAGTTATGCTGCATTCACATGTAATCAGGCTAACTGTAACTGGATGTCATGTTAGTGGATGAGAGCAGGATGGTAAACTTTTTGCCGTTCTTTGTGACAGTAATTTAACAAGGAGAAAACATGGACAATCTGGACACTGGCAGTATGAATCTGATATCCAGATGGAACATTTTTGCAGGCAATACTATTAACCATTCTTTAAAATATTTCTACTAAATTCAAATATAAAACACATATGCAATTGAAATGTCCTGTGGCAACCGCAATGTCCCGCCTGAAGCTGTTCCTCACATAAAAGAAAGACATTGACATTTGGGGATTGCTACCACAAGTGCCCCAAATCTGAGTGTTTGAAAATTGCCCTTTTAAAGCCTTTGTTGTGATCGGAAAAGCTATTTTCAAACCTAATTATGGAGTTGTTTTATTATTTTTTATTTTTTTACTTTGAACTTGCTGTAACTATTTGCTTGTTTGATGTTTTGTTATTTATGTATGAAATGATTTATTTTCCATAAAAGTGTGTCCTGCAGAAGGGAGGTAGGACCAATGCAAACAATGTAATTAGTGAATGTTGGTATTGGTCAGCATGGTCTCATCAAGTGCTCTTTACATTGTGATTTTCTTATGTGATTTGATGTTTTTCTACATGAAACAGGATGCTGGAATGGAATTAAACACCAGGGGGGGGACTTGATTTGAATATTAAATATGTTAGCATTTAGATAATCTCAGTTAAAAGTACATTTTATCTGCTTTTTCAAGTTTTAAAAGAGACAGCTACGGGTTTTCTTCTGTTGGGGGGGTTGACCGGAGCACCCTCAAATGTGATCAGATTTTACTGGAGGAGAAAAGCATTAAAATTGAATTTAGAAATACAGAAAAATGCATTTGTTACATATGTTACAGTAGATAATTACACATATCCAAAGACACAAGATAACATCACAGCAAATGCTTTTTTTATGTCCATGAGAGCCCTAATGATCAGCACATACACCACTGAGTTTCACTTGGACATTAAAAATCCAAGGTAAATACATTTTTAGGATGCATCAGGCTCATTAAGTTATCTAACACAGTGATACACTCAAGTCTGTTTTCCATGTTGTTGCTCCAAACTTGCAGAGAGACAAGAGTCACGTTGCAGTGTTGCAAGTTCGTCCGTCAGTCAAGGTCAAACATTCATGTTCTCTCTCTACCATAAATGAAAAGTGTTGATGAGAAGGAAAAGAACTGATGAGCATTTCAGGTGGAGAATAGTGAATGAATGGTGTGCATGCAGTCACTCAGAACTGAATTTAATGCACATCTCTGATCATTTTTGTCAATTTTTTAAATAATATAATATTAATGTGAGTACAAAGCTGGTTTCATAGTTTTTATTATAATTCCTGGAACAAAAAGCTCCTTTAGTTTATATGTTATGCTCTGCATTTTGTACAACGCGTGCACAGCAGGTCATTTTCACGATGACTAATGTTTCCTGCATCGCCAAAACCTCATGGAAATCAGGCATGCACTTATGTTTTGTACGTAGCATAGTCTAGCATGTGTGCGAGCACAATATTTGCTGTAGAAATGAATGTCAGCAGTTTCTCACAGACAAAAGAAAGGGGAAAATATAAATGATGGACTCTACAGCTGGTGTGAAATATCACATGTTGCCTTGTGGAAAAGCTTCTCCCCTCCTCCTCCTCCTCCTCCTCCTCCTCCTCCGGTTAATTGCCTTTGTTGACATTTTTATGCACACATGCCACGCTAAACTCTTCATCTTGTCTCCCGGTTTGATTAAGAGCACGGAAATACCATCTCCTCTTTCTTCTTCCTGTCCTTTTTTCCCCCAGCTCGAGATAGGACAGAAGAGCTTCCAAAAGTATTTTTTCACAGCCTCCCTTTTACAGCAGCCATTATAGTTGAGTGTTTATCAGTGATATTTCCCGTTTTATATAAAGTTAGCGTTACTTCTTTAATCCCTGTGCGCCACTCTGATGTGTAGCAAAGCTCACACTGAGTGGGTATTCAGTAAATTGTATGCAAGCACTGCTTTGCACTATTTTAAGCAAGTCCAGAGCCTCATACTGCTGCTATATGTGGCCGAATGACCCCTGTGGAAGCTCGTGTTGACATACCATGGGGATGTGATGACACATTCTGTGACGGTGTTCAGTTTAATCAAATCTCTAATCTTTAACAGTGCAAGATTGAGCCAGAAAGATGATCAAGTATTGTCGCACTTTTTGTCTCAGAACCATTTAAGTTCCACCGGATGCCTTTTTTTAACAGCCACCCACCTCTCTGGTGCCTCATGCTGAGGGATGATGAGGGCTCAAGCTCACTTCGTGGGCCCCAATTCCCTTTTGATTGGTGTTCATTTAGGATCTCCTGCAGTGATGAATGCTGCAACACCGCTGCGAAGTCAGAGACATTTTTCAGCACCTTCCAGCTTTTCTTTTGCTGTCCGGCTGCTGTCTCCAAAGTGCTGCTTGTCTTAAAAGGCGGTGGGTGGGGCCCGCTGTCACGGCACCGTCAGGCATGAACTGTCTGGTGCTCTGACAGATTACGGCCATGTTAATAATTTAGCTTTCTTTAAGTCACCTTTGCAATCAGTGGTGAATTACTTCCCTTCCCAATTCATTACATCATGTCTCCTCTGGACTTGCTTAGCTTATACAAATTGCAGTTGTCTTTTTTTGGGGGGGGATTTGATTATTACACTTCCACAATATATCACTGGAAAATGAATCATCCACAAACACCAAGGGCAGTCATGATCAGCAGCTGAAATAAGCCAAGTATTTAACCAATTCTACTTGGATGTTTTTTCCAAT